CCACGCACTCCACCACCCACTCACACCACGCACTCCACGCACACCACGCACTCCACGCACTCCACTCCACTCCAGACTTATGGGGGAGGGGGAGGGGGAGGGGGGTTGCGCAGCGACCGAAAGACAGACAGGTACGGGTAACGTTGAGGGTGACGTTGACGTTGACGTTGACGTTGACGTTGACGGACCCCCGGACCCCGTGCCGTAAGACTCTAAACGCATGGGCACGACCTCTCAGACCTACCTCTACCCTGGGGGACCTTAGGCTTAGACTGACGGGCTCGACCGGGGGCGGCCGGGGGAGGGGAGGGGAGGGGAAGGGGGGGTTCACACTCCACTCCCCACTTCACTCCCCAGGTTGGCCTCAAACACGCGCGCAATTAGACGAATGCAAGCAGGCCTGCACCGCTAACACTAACAGCGGGCCCTAGCGCACAGTCGCTGCCATACCGAGTACCTGAAGCGGAACTGTGGAACGGCTGTGAAAGCCGTCGCCGTCTCCAGCTCCACGACAACTGACGACTGGCGACTGGCGATTGACGACTGACGCCTGACGGCGCTCACGTCCACCTCGTTTGTCGCTCCTCGCTCGTGTCGCTGGAGAGTCGTCCGACCCATCGTGTCAGCAGTAGCTGCTGCTGCTGCTGCTGCCGAGCAAATCGACTGCCCCTGTTCCTCACGACGCGGTCCTGCGCTTCTGTTCCCAACTTCCCACCAAGAGGCTGCTGTCCCCACGCCCACCATGTCCGAGGCGACTCAGGCGACCGACCCTGGTCTCGTCAAACCGTTTGGTACCCTACTACCGAACCTCCAGCAAGTACTCCGTACAGTATGTGAGCCCTGACTCCCTGAGGCCTTGAACCTCACGTCCTACAAGGATGGCTCTCCTCCCTCCCTCGGTGCTGCTTCTTGATCATCCTGGAACGGTTAAGCCTCCCCCCCCCCCCCCCCCCCCCGCGTGTGCTCTTTTTCCCCCCGGAACGGTTACCCCCCCCCCCCCCCCCCCGCCCCCGGCGTCGAGCACTGCCGTCTATCCTGGAGCAACAGGATTTACATTACCTTAGACCCTGCCCTGCCGAAATCTTTATATATGTTTGAAAGCGTTGTTCAAGTGTGCCTGGCTTGGTCCTTGAGATCCTCTTCAAATATCATCGTCTTCCCTCCTCCCTTCCTTCCTTCCTTCCTTCCTTCCTGCGACCCCTCCAACACCTTGCCCCCAGCACAAACACATCTCCAACAAGACCGTTGTTGTTCTGTTGGAACGGAACGGGGAAACACCGCATCCTTTCCACACTCGCGAGCTCTCACACTCGCACTGTTAATAAACTGCCTCCCCCTCTTCCCCGCTCACGCATTCGCTTCGTGTGAGATTACCAATCAGGATCTACTTCCCGAACGCTCACCACTTCCACCGCCATCCTGAGAGAAGGGCAGGCAGCCTAAGGCCCCCCCCCCGGCCATTCGCGCGCATCTAGCCTCTCGGCTCCGTATATATATACTCGAACGTCCTCCTCTCATCTTATCAAGATGGATTTGACCCCACAATCGGCTCGGTCACCTGCTTCGCCTGGCCACTACACCTCCAACCCTCAGCAAGTCTATGAATATCCATCGCCTGCACAGAGTGATTCTCGATACCGGTCGACTGATTCACTTCAAGGCCTGGGACTCTACGCATGTCCCATGTCAGGTTCGGCTGATGGGAGGAGTAGCTCGGTGACAGAGGTTCAGCCTTCCACAGCTCCCAATAACTGGCCTACAACTTCCCTCCAGCATCGAGAGACGCCGAGACCATCTCAACCCACGCCCAACGTTCTCTCTGCAGAGTATGATCCTTTTGCACCCTACCATCCAGCAGTACCAGCCCCTTATAGTCATGATATATATTCTACACAACACGCTGAAGTTTCAATATTACCCGCTTCCCCAGTCCCCTCAGGAAACACATCCCAACGTTCTTCTTTCTCTTCTGCTCCTGCATCAGAGATCTTTACCCAAGCTGGATCCATCCACTCCTATACCCCGCGGATCAAGATGGAAGACCATTCTGGGTATGCGTCAGGGAACGAGTCCATGTTGATGAGCTCGCCGCAACTAACCAGTATTCTTGTCACCTCGGGCAGCCCCTACCCGGGGAGTCTCGAGACAACCTTCTACCATGACCCGTCTACCATGGGGTGGCCAAAGCTTGAATACACCAATGTTCAAGACCTTCCGTCCATCTCTTCGTTACCCATCCCACCATACGGCAGGCGTTCGGAAAGTCAAGAGAGAGGGCAGACTGGTGGCTCCCAGAGCCAGCGAAGTGGCCCTAGCACAATCGCTCGTACGAGAAACCCGCGAAAGCTTACCACCAAAGAGGATGCAAACTTCCAGTGCCATATCAAAGGGTGTGGCAAGCTTTTTGGACGGAGCTACAACTTCAAGGCCCACATGGAGACCCATGATGCAAGTCGAGAATATCCATTTCCATGTCCCCTGAAGGATTGCAACAAGAAGTTTGTGCGGAAGACAGATTTACAGCGACACCACCAGAGCGTTCACATGAAGCAAAGGAATCACCGCTGCGACTTCTGCAGCAGGTACTTTGCCAGAAAAGATACCCTTCGGCGGTGAGCTTGAAATTCATCATTGCATGTGAATATACGCTAATTGATACAGACACATGGAAGATGGCTGCTCTAAACGCTTCGATATTGAAACTCTCGATCTCAGGCCTCAGAGCTACAGCAACGAGCAAGGCTCTATGAGGGTTCCTTCTCGTCCTCAATCCAGACAACCATCTTACAGCTCTTCAGCTCATTACTCACCCCCACCTGGGAGCTGTTCAAGTCGAGGCCCGCATGACGGCTCTCTCACGTCAGCTCCAGGCACATTCATGGACCGGCAGGAGTACTTGACCGGAGAAAGCAATCAAGACCCAATTTGGTCCAACTGATCGGTGGTCTTAATTTTGGCCATGACCGGTTTCATCAACGCATTCCAGTAAAGCGTTGCCTTGCAGGGCCCCCAGCAGCGCTCGACATGGATGAGGCAGTTTGTGTACAGGAAGTTGCCAGGTCTTGGGAGCTGCTGACGGTGGCAAATTACTCGAAATATCAACGAGCTCAAATTTCAAGATCAGGAGAGCCATTCAAGAATTTGTTAGGCGTGTACCGAGGGGGTTCTACAAAGTGGTCGGAAGGACGGGGTACAGACGGGGTTTGGTTCAGCATGTTCGGATTCACATGGAGTTCAATCTATTTCTGTAGAATACCCTTTCTTGGAGGCATTGTAAGACTAGGGGTGTATCTTTTGGTTGGCCTTGAACGGCGAGCATCGCGCCGGGGAACGGTCATTCCTGGATTGCAGGTCCGCAAGATGGAGCATGATTCAATGAGGGCACGGTAGAAGGACAGACAGCTAGGCAACAGCAAAATCATAGATGCTTGTTTGCTGTCCCAGAAGGGACAGACAGTCAGAAATCCCTTTTCACGATTTGACCAATCATGGCTCGCTCTCCCTCAGCGCTCATTCGCTTGTTGACGTGTGGAGCGGTGCGGTGTTGGCGAGCGAGTGCTGCTAAGTGGGCATGTCTGGCGGCTATGCTGCGCTAAGGACGCAGTCAGATGCGAGAAGGGAAAGGTGCCTCCCCTGATCATGAGGTCTCGCTGGACGAGGGTCATGGAACATGGACCGTGGACCATATGCATGGCAGAGTGGCCGTTGGAAACGAGTGAGCGTGAGTGCAGCCAGTGCTGGGGCGACGGAATTGCCTCTGGTGCATGCATGATGGTTTCTGGAATTGCATGGGCTGTACGTACATTTCACAAAGGGATGGGGAGGGTGGCCGTGGCCATCTCAGCAACGGTAAGCGACTGGGATCATGGGATATCGGGTCACCGAGATCGAAATCCCGCAGACAAAGTCGAGAGGGTCTTTGAGGGAGCATGGAGACGGCCAGGGGAGATGAACGCATCAGGAATCGCATCCCTGCTAGCCTTTGCTATCTCGTCTTCTTTCTTTGCGCAGCCGCCTCTCGATTGGCGTCGAGTGCGTTAAGACAAGGATTATTTAACCGCGCGGGTTTCGAGAGGGTGCATTGTGCGCGCACTGGTGCTGATTGGGGAGCAACGGAGGAGAGGGTGATGGGACGAGGCTAAGCAGGGGAGGGGCCAGCGGGTAGAAGGGATCCAGGATGCCTTGTGCAGAGGGGGGACCTCAGGTGGAGAAGCCACAATCGACTCATGGGAAAAGGCTGCGGAAGGGGCTGCTGCAGTGCTGCCATCCTGCCAAGCCTGGATTTACCAACTGGGCTTCAACCCAAAAGAAGGAAGGTCGTTGTTGATGATGCTGGGGGCGGCGCGTGAATGGCGTGGTTTGGGTGGATTCGGTGGATTCGGTGGGAGAAGCTTGCCTGAGAGAGGGTTTTTAACTGGGATTCGGGGATGCTGGCTTGCTGGGATAGCCTTACCCCACCGACTTGGCCCAGTGACCCCCTGACTGTTGGCTGGTTGAATGACAAATATACGGTCTCCGCTCCTCGTCGATCCGTAAGGCTGTGGCCTCGTGCGGCTTGGCCGCTTCCACGAGAACCGGAGCAACTGGCCAAGCCACCAAGGATGGTAAATTGCTCGGACCCCGGGGCCCAATTATTCAAGATTGGCATCATTTTGGCACCCATGGGAACCACTGTGTTGGGACCACGGAGGGGGGAAAGGCCTCACCGCAAAGTGGTGGGTGGCATTGAGCTTTGAAGATATTTACAATTTTGTACGTAGCGGTGGCAGTGAAGCAGAGGCAGAGAGATAGACACTTCAGGAGAAGCGGCGCAGGAGAAGCAGCTCAGGATGAGCAACTTTGACAGCCTCGGCGCAAATTCACAAGGCTGGGTGCCATCTGATTCAGGGGTATCTCGTTTAAGGGCCAATGGCTGGAGAGCTAGCCAATTTCATGCTCTCGCTTCGCTTTGCTTCGCTTCGGAACTTAATTACTCGACGGCTAGTGGTTCGGAGCCTTTCTCCTCGCTTATGACTAAGTTATTACTCCGCATGTAATACGAAGTATGATTGCTCTAAGCACTAAGGTTTGTTTTTAAAAATAAAATAAACCAACGCAAAGCAATTCATATCACTGGTGGCTCATGATGGCCCCCCCTCGTCTCTTGTTGCTGCTTCTGGCCTAAATCCACCTCAGAATGCCATCATCTCCGGTCCCCGCTGACTCATCTCTACAGACTTAGGAAGATCTAGCGGGTCTTGCCACGGCATCCAAGAATAAAATACGACGGGGCCAATCAGGGATCAGGCTTGTCCAACATCGCCAAAACATCGACATCAACCTCGGCGCATCGAACGCTTCTGCATGACACGCAGCTCCTGCGAAATGTGCCCTTGAGCTCTAGTGGATTCAAAGGTTACCTTTCAAATGCCAGGGAAAGCCTCGAATGCTTAGTTGCTCAAGCCTCCATTCTAACGTTCAGCTAAATGTCCAACTTAGACTAGGAGATTGAAAATGGGTGCCACTATTTCTGTCCACGGCGAGGCAGGAAATACATTGCACTGCCACGGCTCTACCGAGGCCGTATCTGTGAAATATCCTGTATGCAGAGATGCCTCGCCATGAACGGATTCAAACAAAATAGATCTGGATCTCATCCCATGACTCCTTTGGATGTTTTGACCATGCCTGCTGCTGAGCTGCACCAGGGATCAACGGCCCATAGGGCTTCAGGAACAATGCCAGAGCAAGGAAACTTCTTCATTCAGACCGTCCCGGTCCGCATGGCACAGCGCGGCCCTTCACGCCCGTTTTCTATTAGGTTTGAAGGTCTAAACTCTCCAGCTTCGTGGACCTGCAGTGACTGTTCCAGATGGGGCAGGTCGCTTCATCTCACCATCTCTCCAGTTGGGAGCCTGTTTGTCGTGTCTCTTTGTTTTGTTCGCCAAAAGTTCCTTCGCGAGGCACAGTTAGCAAGTGTTGCTTGTTATTCTCAATCGGCCGTTTTAATAATAATGTTGGCACACTTTTCTTGGCGGTAATTATCTTGCACAGCCATCCATTGTCCCTGATCAGGTATCTCCTGGATTTCTCTCTTGTTGACTAGGCTGCGAATAGAGAGTGAGACTTGGCGTTCCCCCCCCCCCTCGCACTGACGCGGCGTGCTGTGTTCCTTCCATTCTTCATTCATCCTGGGGGGGCCTAGATGCTGCCTGTGGGATAAGGTGACCAGTGTACGGAGTATCCCACGTTCAATAGGCGCGCTTGCTGGACCGCCCCTACCGACAGCTCCAATTTAGTGACGAATCTCAGCATCCAATATGCCTCTCTTCTCCCTACCTAATCCGCCGTTATCACGCCGTGGCAGAAGATGGTGTGGTGGGGTCATGGCGATCCAGCTCCAAGCCTTGAACGGTAACGAGCAACTTTGGCGGTCCGTCGATCCCCCAGCATTCTCAGTCTCCGCATGAGCACCCTCACAGCGTTTCCAAGGTTCTTCTAGTAGTGCTTTCGATGGGTCCCTCGCGCTGTTGTGCCGGACTAGTGCCTCCATTAAACCCGGAATATGCCCAGTCCACGCCGAGAATTGGCGCGATCTACTTCTCAGTGTTCAAGTAGCTGGAAACTTGACACTGTAGTCATGAAAGCGGAGAATATAAAACTATCACGACTCTCGGGGTGAGAGGTTCCGACTCATGCTATACGATCAATGCGGAATTTGACCTCGTGTGAGAGAGAAGATCTTGTACCTCGAGTGTTCATGTTGTCCTGGAAAATATATGCAATTGCAGAAAGGTATTATTCTTGGCTTATGGTTTTCATTTTCTCAGCAGCCTTCTTGTAGAGTTTCCTTAGTCAATTCCCTGAATGAAATACAATACAGGCATCTAGGATCGCGGTGGCCATGAAGGTTGCCAACTATTTCTCCTCGAACAAGAACCGGAATAGGCGGAGTCTCGACCAAGAGTCGGGCAAGGGCATTATGAACTCGCACCTCAGGGATAAAAATTTGGTGACTGGTCAAATAGCACTGCCTTTTGGGGAAGGAACTGCTGGTTTGACGAGGCGGAAGGTTCAGCTGAGTACCCGGCGTACGTTGATTGTTTATGGAATATGTTGCAGTAGATGCCAAGGCTTTCCCTTCGAATGTCAAGCATCCACCAGGTCCAATCGTCCTGGGACGCACATGTTTGCAATACGTAATAATGTGAGCTGTGGTAATAGCTTGGATCAAAACATACTTGGTATCTTCGATTTCTCGCGAAATGGGCTTAATAGACGTCCGGAAAGTACTGTATCCCCTACTGTGCCAACAAAGTACGCTCAAGGGACAGCATGATGATTCATGAAATAAATCGGGTACTTCCTGTCGTCCCTTGCATATTGGTGATCAGAACGGACCCCGGAAGGAGTTCTGAAACAGACCACCTCATTGATTTCAAACCAGAAGAGGAGAGGAACGTGGCGAAGTCGTGGACCAGGCTCATGACCCTGTCAGTCTAGACAATCCTTCCAATAGCCAATATCGCATGAAGGCAGAGACCCCACGAAGCTTTTCCTTGCCTTCCGTCCAATGTAACGCTATTCAGGTGGAGAAGGGCTGCACTTTCCCTTTCGAAAGGACGCTCCTGGAGGTTGGCAATGTATGTTCTTAAGATCCATGGACAACAGGAGTAAGTAAACTTTGAAAGTACATAAAGCGAAGGGATTTTGCATTGGGAAGTATCTGAAACAATCCCGGTGGACTTGGGACATTAAGAATTTGGTGCTGCTTTTGCCGTCCACAGCGAGACTGCGTCGACTTCTGCTAGAGGAGTCGATAGCCCCAGAAGCCATCCGGATAGCTGCTGGGAATGTGCGAAGAACCGTTTAACGGGAAACTCTACCGGATCCGAGGGGTGGGTCAAATTCTCGAAGGTGTCGTTTCCCACGCCTCCTTCTGAAAAGCGCTAATCTCCGTAAACACGCCACGGTTTAAAGAAACCGCACATTCCATATCATTAGGTTGAGGGCACGGTGATTGTTCCAACCAACACCAACTTCCAGGTCTACAACATTGCTTTCCATCCACCCATCTTCGGCTTCTCCAACCCAAGATGTGCAGTGACTTGGCCGAAATGATCGACTCCCCAGAAGGTCTCCGTCTTTCCCTCCCCATTAGTAGCAACGAACCACGGTAGTCCAAAAGCGCCATCCGCCAACGCCCTATCGGTGTTCTCTCCCAGCAACTCCTTCCCCTCCTTCCCCGCCATCTTCATCGCTGTCATCACAAAGTCAGCACATACATCTCCAACCAAAAGCTCGACACGTCACCAGAATCAGGCAACCACCTACCTTTTCCCGCATCCTCCTCGCCCAACACCTTCCCCAGAATCTCTGCCAGCACCTCCCTCTCATTCGTCTTCTTGTGCTCAACCCAATACGCGGGGTAAAGAGCATCCAATGCTTTCATCAACTTACCCTGCCCCTGACTGCCAGGATACAAAATTGTGAGGGCACACAGTGTGCGCATGATGAGTAAAGTCAACGGTGGAAAGCCATCCAGCGTTTTCTCATCCATAGGACTGCAACGAATTAGCAACATGTTGCCTTGGGGGGAAGAGAGCCGGCAGAGAGCCGGGAGCACGTCTCATTCTCCCAACCAGTGAAGTGGGGAGCTCGGGGTATGGAACAAAGAGATAGATTAGTTACATAGAAAAGAGGCGCGCCCAACGAACTCGCTCCACATCGATCCATTTATCTTTATCTGTCGATGTTGGAGACCTGCGTCAGCGTCTACATGTTGTAGAACGAGCTTTGAGTGGACAGTACTTTTGACCTTGATTGGAGGTGTGTTACCACACGCCTTCATCACACCACCGAGGAAGATGGGAACATAAATGATTTCACATTTCTTGAACACGGGGTCATTCTGTAAACTCGATCGGATCAGCGTTCTGCTCCCTCCTAATGTCCACACCTCTTGAAAATAGCAATCTTCTCTTCCAGAGAGAATCGAACACAAGTCATTTAACTGAGAGGGTTGACTGCTCCTAGAAGAGTCATGCCGAGCACTCACACGTAGAATATAATAAGCTTCATATGCGAAGGGGGATACGGTATCGACATAAAGCGTCAATCTGGGGCCTGGCATTCTCGCATGCGTTGATCAGAGTCGTCGTCCAATGGTAGCTGCAAGCATGTGTGGGCTATGATTACTTGCTCAACAATCAGGAACAGAAATGTTTTATAATCAATACTTGAGCTTCGGAGCAGACTCGATGTCGATGCATGATATGAAGTGAGGCAGATGTGCCGAGGTTGGGGTTTGCACGGCGGGCCGTCGTCATTTGTGGGGAGCGGGGTGCGCGGTTAAAATAGGGGTTAGAGGCCTCGGTAACCAGGGACACAAAGTACATATCTCTTCCACACGGAAGTAAAGTTACAGAGAGAATGGCTACCAACCATCACACCCCGCTTCAAGGTTAATTATTCATTGTTATCGTCTCTAGGTGTGGGTATCATAGGTCTTTAGCTCTCTCGGCTCTGTCTGCTCCAGAAACAATGCCGACACAGCAGCTCACAATTTCGATTTCTCTCGAACCGCAGACACCCCCAATGTACCGCCACTTTGCCATTCTCCAGCTTCTAGATCTACAATCGGTAGAGCCTCTCAATTTCTGATTATTCAACTCCCCTTTTGTGCTTTGTGGCCAATCTTGGCAGACTTCATGCTCGGTAGGCAGTGGCTGCGACCTGGTCTCCGTCCGACCTCAACCACCACCAGTCTGACGAAATCAGGGCTTTCCCAGTAAGAGCTATGCGCCCTCAGCATGTTGATATACTGGAAGCTGAGAGGGCCTGAGTCTGAGCATAGAAAGTAATCAATCTGGCCATTATCATTCAACCGTCCAAACTTTTTCTCGGCTATTTCTTCACGCGTGAAGTCGTGCACCTCCATCTCCAACTGAGAAGGGAGGCGGTTCATCCCTGCCGGTTTCGGAATCTGTCCAACTGGAAGATCGGTTGAAGAGGAAGCGCCTGCGATTGACATCACAGCGTTACCAATGCTCTCAAAGAAACCGGTCGTGGCACTGGGAACCTGTGCTCTTTTCAAGCTTGCTGCATACTGAGGATCGACGGTGGCGTTGATTTGATAGGCAATAGGATCTTCAGGATGTATGATGTTGTACACATTATCCACCGCCAGACACCCAAATGTGCCGACATTACCGACAATAGCTTTGTCCTGCTCATCACCATACTCAGCCCCAGGTTTATTGTGACCTCTCCGCGGGAGCAGGCAACCCTTTTCGAGATACAAGAAGAAACCCGCTGGGCTACCACAGAAGAAGAGGTTGGTGGTTCGGAAATCGAAGCACTTGATGTTCATCTTCTTGCTATTTGGGTCGAACTTCGGAAGAGATGTTGGTTGGTTGCTCAGAATGTCGAGGGCCATAGCACTGCCAAGCGAATGAGCAATGATATGGACCCTGCCTTTATTGTGGAACTCGGGATTATTTTTGCACCATAGGCGGTATACTCGATTGGCCTCACTGATGACTGCTTGTATCATTTTCGGCTTGTGAATGGACATCCAATACGGGATATCGAGCATAACCTTTTCGATGAAGTCTCTGACAGCTGGGATTGTTGTTGGAGTTATGTCCTTCATAGAGAAATCTACACCCTCTCCGATTTTGTCACCGGTTTTCTTCGGCGCAGCTTCATCGAAGGACACTCTGGATCGCCAGTTTATGGGCAGTACCATAGCTCCACCGAGGTCCTTTCTAAGCACACGTTGGACGGCTTCATTCTCAAGTTCGACATTAATCGATCGCCGGAATGCGTTGATGGCATGAGTAAAGTGAAAGCTCTCCATACTCTCGGAAAGTTTCTGGCCAATCCCATGGATGACGAAGATCAGATCCGTGACGCTGCATCGCTCTTCCTGTGCTCTGCAAGCCGCACAAGCGTTCCCTTTCCTGGCATCTGCATCACCAGAGATGGATGCATTCTCTTCCGCCTTTTTCGATGCAGTCGTCTTTTTGGAAAGATGAAGCTTCTCCCAGGCTTTCCAGTCAAATCCTCTGACGACATGGATACCGACGGTGTTGCCCCTTCTGATCTTCTGCAGTGGCTTTCGGCCGTAATATGCTGAAGGCTGAAGATTTGTCTTCAATATGAACGCATTGTGAGCATCCTTGTAGATAACTTGTGACTTAGAATACCTCTTCACTATGGCATTTGGGCCCGAGGTTTTCTTATCCACATCATCAGGATCGATGGATCCTTCGGCAGCCGCTTCTCCATGTAAACAAATCGCAGCACAGTACGGATCGTTTGACAGAGGGTGATGCTCTGCGCCTTTGTGCGAGCTGGGTTTCTGCTTTGCATCTTCTGGCCAGAGGCGATGTGCTATCTTCTCCTCACCAGCTGCACCAACCTCGATGGCACTGTTGAGCTCATCATTCCATGTTTGGGACCATGGTCTGAGTTCTCTGTATCCAGACTCCAACTGATTGGCTACCGCTGGTTCCACAGGATACATTGTGTCTTTGTAAAACCAAGTACCTCGAGTGACGGCACATATATCATGGACTGGCGACCAGTAAATAGGCTTCATCTGCAAAGAAGGCAGCTGAACCAAATGTAGTCTCGAGACTCCCACAGGGACATCCACTTGATCCTTGATGTTTTTATGTGCCTTGCATCCATGGACTTGTATAGTTTCCGTCTCAGATGATTCTCGCTCGTTGGACCGTCGAGGGATTCTGTCAGCATTACGGCGTCCCTCGCTGGCTGTTTTGGATCCGCCGCAGTCGTGTTCTGATGGCTGGGGGCTATTTTCACGTGATGGCAATTTCACGAATGGCAAACCTGTCGTCCCAGCATCGCCGCCTTGGACAGGAGCATTGCTTGGCATAACATCCGAAGACTGGGGTGAAAGATCAGAATTATCTTTCTTTTTCGAAGATCTGCTCTTCGGGATGTTGATATCAGTTTCAGCCATGGTGACCTTGCCTGGTTTCTTAGAAGACTTCTTGCCATACCGATCCGAGCTGACTGGTTGTGGCTCAGCGTGCTTGTCGGTGGTCTCTGCAGGTTTTGTTTGAGATGCATCGTTTTGTAACTCAGGGCAAAAGTCTTGTTCGGAGCCTTCACGGTTCTCAGAACTCGCGTGCTCCTTGTTGTCCACCAATTCAGAGCACTCCGTGATGATTGATTCGTCATCAGCGCCGTCTCCTCGAGCCGGCTCAACGCCTTCGAGATCAGCTCTGCGTTTGCCCTTCGACGTGCCGTTGCCACGTTTCGAGCCTCTCGGATCTTGGTCTTGGCCTACGTCTGACTGCTGAGCCCTTGATACCTCGGTGGTGTCTTCCTCCTTTGCTTGACTGGAAGATTGCCCTTTCGTCGACAACTTTGGGTCCTTGGAATCGTTGGAATTGCCCAATTCATTGGGAGATGCTCGTGTGCTGGTAGATGCCTCAGCGAACGCAGAGTTTTGAGGGCATGTTGGGCAATCGCACTTGTTCCGGCCGTTCCTGCACAATGAATGACTTCTTTTGCATGCACAAGCTTCCGGTGGTGATTCAGGGCCGGAATCGTGTCCCAAGGATTTGTCGGCTCTCTTCCCTCCACCCTTCCGATCCTCCTTGCCAGGAGATGCTGATTTGCCTCTCCGTTGATTCTTTTTGTCTGTTCCAGAACCAAGACCCAACCACGCTTCTTCCAGAGCGCTCTGGTCGTACGCCGAGAACGGTCGAGGAGTGTGTTTTATTGACTTGGAATCAGAGCTGGCAGGGGTAGGTGCTGCAGAGAGAGGATCGTCGATAGGTGAGGGAGAGGCATAGAAGAACTGAGCCTTGAGAGGTGGTATATCGTCGTCACTTATTGAACTAGAGAAGGTGACTGCCGGAGCCAGGCGGCATGTTGGTCCATAGGTATGGGCGACTTGAGACATGGTAGTCTGAGGACGTTAAACTCAAGCGCTCCAGAAAGAATCCGTGTTTGACTTACTGCAGGCGAGGAAAGATGTCACAAGAAAGAAGCGCAGACAAGTACCCGCCCAGCGGAATTAGTCGCGTTGAAAGAGATACTGAAAGCAAAGGGTGAAGCGTGGAATAGCGATGGCCCTGTGACTAGAAATGTAATTCACTGCCGCGAGAGGAAGAGGAGCGTGGGAGGATGGATGGGGAAGCGTTGTGGATGGGATGCAGATGGAAATCGCCTGAAAGAGTCCATCAGAACAATGACCTGGATGCTCTTCGGGCCACCTGGCAGGCAGGCACGATCGAGGAAAGGTGTTGTCGCGTTGTGCGTGAGGCAACCGCGATCCACGTTCCACAGCAGCCGCAGCCGAGCCACGCCTTCGGGGTTTCCTCCGATGGCGATGACGTCACGAGGGGCAATCGCAATCACATGCATGACTAACCCTTAGCCTGGGCCCCTGAATGAAGTCCTGGACTACTGGAAGGCAGCTTTGTTGGATTTTTAATTTTAATTTTTGCATTAGACTACAAGTACATGATGGGAAAGGAGGGACGGATAACCCGACGCAGAAAACGCCTCCCATTGAGGAGGCAATTGCGCCCAAGCGATCTGGCTGTTGTGAAGAGTTGGAAAGAGAAATGAAATCGAAAGACAACTTAGGGGAAGTAGGAGAGGAGGATATCTTTTGGAGGTTGAAAGAATGAGACCAATCGGTCATCATGGAGATATGAGCTTCCAGCCCCAATCGAGTCTGGATCTTCCTGCAGTAGGCTGGCCAACCAACAGGTACCTAGGAAATTGAAACCCTGAGGATCGGACCGTCAACATCTGCCAAAGCTTGACCAAGTAAAATGTGCTCTGAAGCGAAACGAAAGAATTTTTAATCATACAGAACGTTCATACAAACTGCTGAGTTTTGGGAGGCTTAGAGTGCTATCCTCTGTAGGATTCTGGAACAAGTTTGAGTCCGCCGTACGGATTATCTAAGGACTGGCCCCTGGACGAGCTGTCGTTTGAAGATTGGCTGTTCCATTTTGGCTCTCTTCCTGTGAAACCCAGATCATTAGCTCTGGCGGCTCGCATCGTTTCAATGGCGGAGGCTCGAATTTGTTGAAGCCTTAGCAAGAGCGGCTCTCGGGCACCTAGTAGTTCGAGGATCTGTTCAATGTCAAACAGCAACTTCAGAAAGATGGTGTCCGCATCGCAAAATGTGCGTATAGCCATGAAGCTCGCAACTTGTCTCCAATTGTAAAGCGTTGCGTTGATTCTAACGGCGTTGCTGGCTCTCTCTCCATAAAAGCGTAGGCTGTGTTGATTGACTGCAACGAGATCGCGCTGAGTTGCCTGGTCATACATGAACTCCAGAACGGTGGGTCGACCTTTCGCCTTCCACGTGTCCACAGTCTTCTTGATCGAGTCCATCGCCATACGGCCATGGCTGAACTGATTCATGAGGAAGGTATTAGCCGTGTGAACGAGCATCAGCTCCACCTCCATGTAGATCCTGGCTTGTTCTGGGGCCCCAAGAGAAACAGAGAGAACGGCGACCTTTGGGTGCTTGTCGTGAGGCCGTGAACCTCGGCTAGTTGGACTTAAATCTGCTTTCTCGGCCTGTAGTTTCGTAGTTAGTACACGATTTCTGAATAATGGTAACAGTACTCACCAGTTCCCCAATCTTTGTCCTAAGCTTTCCCATAACGGAACTCTTTTCCTTTCGACCAAGAGAGGATTTCTTGGACTTAAGTTTTACCGCCTCTAACTCGTCAGGTGATCGTCCAAGCCAGCCATGCTCGCCAAACATCTTCTTCATTGGGGAACGAGATCGCTTTTGGGCGGTACTTGAAGTTGGGCTGGCTAATAAATCCGCGTCACTAATTTTGATGTCACACTCCTCGCGCTCGGGGACGTCGCCAAGGATTCTTGTTGGTGATTTAGTCATATGACGGCTTGGGGAGGACGAATTTGGTGGAGGTCGGTGGTTATGGCTTTGAGATAGGATGTGGGAGGGAGAGCAAAAGTCCTGAGTTGTATAGCTGTCCGGAGGAAGTTGGCGGGCTGGTGTACCTATAGTATCACCATTCTCATACAGGTGGCCACGGCCAACTGCCTTTCTGGATTGGGAGCGACCACGGCGAGTTGGAGAGGCAGACTCATCTTCAGCATAGTATGCAGAGACGTCCGGACTCGGAGTTCTGATGCGTCGTTCTGGGGATCGGCGAGCATTGAAACGGGGAGACGACTCGCTTCTGTACATGGCGTGATGACTATTTGATTTTGGTTGTGTATCGTTAAGAGGAATAGGCTTTCGAGTCATATACATGGCATTGTTTTCGGATCGAGAGTTCTTCATGTGAGGGGCCCTGGTGCCGGGTACCGCATCGTCGTTGCCCATGAAGTCTGAGATTGTAGTTTGACGAACGTCCTCAATCACACGGGGGGTGCCAGGCTCGAACTCATATGGGTTGATGACGCGTGTAGTTTGACGGGCGTCCTTCATCACATAGGGGGTGCCAGGCTCGAACTCATACGGATTAATGATGCGTTCAGCTCTGCTAATCCCAGATGCTCTAAATAATGTTAGACAGCTAACCAGTTACACTTTGTTGAGAACCTTACGTGTCAGAAAACCCAGTCTGGTGCTCCGCTTTGCGAGTTGGAAGAGCCATATCAGCACTGACTGGGACGAAGTCGCCGATAATATCTGTGGAGCCAGAGAGATACCGCTCTTTGTAGCTCGATACGGTTGATCGCGCTGCAGAACCGCCGATGGAAGGACCAAAGATACTGGTGGACGCCACGCTTGATTGTGTTGGCCGACCAGTGGAGGAATGCTTGCCTCTTTGGCGACTGTGGATCTTTTCGCGACAATTGACGTCGCCAGCGGCGGCCGTGTCGTTGTCTCTGCGTAGAGAAGATGTCCTCGGGGGATAGCTAGGGTTGCTCGAATGCTTGGGCGTCTTGTTGTCCTTACTAGGATGTCGAGGTCGTGAGACTCGGACTGGGCTGGGCTGTTTGCGGATGCGTAAAGGTTTGGGTGGAGAAGAAGGAAGACTTCGATCAGGATCTTGATCTATATCCATTTGAAGCTACCAGTGCTGATATATTTGCACAGTACCTATTGGTTCATATTGTTCTCCGCTATTGTGTATGTGTTTATGGTTTTGGAGAGGGATAAATTTGCAGCGGCAAACGCGGCGAGATGACGGCTGCTGGAGAAACTCCGAGTCTTCTCTCATAGTATTCACCATGCCACGTGCATGTTCCGACTTCTAAATATCCCCAAATTCGCAAGCCTCTAAGGTGCAGTCATTGGAGGCATAGCGCACCCATTTCTTATCTTCCCATTTCTTGTAGGACATTTGGAGGACACCCAGTCCTCAAACCTTGGTCACTTGGATCGAGACCACTTCTGGGCAGAGCTGCTCCGTTTTTGAAAGGATGTGCAAGACAAACCACATATTCAACAGAGCAAAGCAGGAGAGGCTTCAGAACGTTCAAGATTCCCCAGCTTTGGAAAATTCGACGGGATTTGTTCCCATTCCGGGGCAGGAACGGCATTGCCAGCGAAATGGCACCTCACACGAATGGATTCATCTTTCAAACAGGCCAGCCTAAGCAGGAAAGAGAGGAAGTTCACAACGCACAAAGGCAACGCCCGTATCAAGTCCCAAAGCTTCCGGGAACCGGAGTTGCGGCACCGAACTTCCGTAAGGCTCATGCAACGACTCGAGGATGCCCGGTGGCAACAAGACCAGCTTGGAACGAGATCTGGCATGCTGGGGGCGCCTTGAAAGTAGCCCGGAGGCAAAGCTGCGACTTTCAACGGCGCCCAATCACGGCACACTGGAGAGAGAATATGGAGGCAAATCTGCTACTGCAGAGCTTTTCACGGAACGAGAATCTTGATCAACATATCTGGCTGAGAAATGGAAACGTGCGTTGTAAGCACTCCTCATTGTTGGTCATCACCTGGCTCCCCTGGAGCCCGGGATGTCTCCGAGGGTCAACCTCGTACGAGCAAGGTTCGCTGAAGTTCGACGCAGGTTCGAGATAAAAAGTTCTCAACGTCAAGGTTTGCTGCAGTATTGCGAGGTTGAGACGTGTCCATATTCGGCATGATGATCGGCTCTTGCAAGGGACGTCAGTCCTGTCACATCAGACCCCTTCCCCGAAGCGGCCAAACTTGCAGGGGTTTGCTCGTTCTTGGAAAGCCGTCCATTTTGCCGCGACGCGAAATCCGCCACCAACGACCACACCAACTGGTGAACCCCGCGTTTGCAGCTCCCGACATGAAGATCCGGGTTTCAACTACTACTGTACGAGGACTTGGGGCTGCTCCAGGATGTGTCCGGCGGTAAAGCTAAAACCCAGGCGGCCGAGGCACGATAACGTCAAGGTGGACTCCGAGTTTCGTCCACTCCTGTATTTTTAAGCATGCAGAGCTTCCCTTTCCCTTCCGTCTTCTCTTTCTTTCCCATTGATCACAGCAGCTTCTTCTGCGCAGATACCTCAATTCTTGTCGTGGTATATTCCAAAGCTATTTGACTACACTCAGATTGCAGGCCATCTCTTACAGATTTCTTCGCTAACTCACAGGATGGACGAGAGGATGGCTCCCTGCGAGCGCATTGGCAACACCGGAGCAGCATCCACAAAATATGACATTGTCATCATTGGCGCTGGTCCAGTGGGTCTGTTACTCTCAACCTGTTTGGCAAGATGGGGATACAAGATCAAGCATATCGACAATCGCCCTGAACCTACGAAGACTGGACGTGCCGACGGCATTCAGCCCCGATCCTTGGACCTACTGCGAAATATGGGCTTGAAGCCAGCGATTATGGAACACGGACCTGCGAAAGTCTACGAAGTTGCGTTTTGGGATCCTAGCCCAACCGCCGAAGGCATACACAGAACAGGGACTTGGGCGAGCTGTCCGAGCTTCATAGACGCAAGATACCCCTTTACGACACTCCTTCACCAAGGATTGATCGAGCGAGTCTTTATAGCAGATTTGGAGAAGAACGGAGTGGAAATCCAGAGACCCTGGACCATAAAAGGTTTCAGAACGGACGAGGCAACAGATGCGGAGTTTCCAGTCGAAGTCAACCTGGAACATGTTGAAGGCAAAGGGAAGGAGACCGTGAGAGCAAAGTATCTTTTCAGTGGCGAAGGCGCACGGTCATTCGTCAGGGAACAGTTGAACATCGGCATCAAGCATAAAGACCCAATTGCTCATGTTTGGGGTGTCATGGATGGAGTTGTTGAGACTGACTTCCCCGATATCAAGGTAAGCACTCCGAGAAGGAATAGCAGTTCCCAGCTCTAACGCTCGGTTTGACAGATGAAGTGCACAATTCATTCTGAGCACGGGTCTATCATGGTCATTCCTCGAGAAAACAATATGGTCCGGCTTTATATTCAGATTGCATCTTCGACAGACAAGGATTGGAACCCTCGGAAAACTGCAACTGAGGAAGAGGTGCAGAATTCAGCAAAGAAGATTCTTCAACCTTATAATATCAAGTGGGAACGAGTGGAGTGGTACTCCGTGTACCCCATCGGACAGGGAATCGCCGACAAATACACTCTGGACCATAGGGTGTTTATGGGTGGTGATGCTTGCCATACTCACAGCGTAGGTATCTATCTGTATTAACAAATTACTGAATTGAGCTAACTGAAATTCAGCCCAAAGCTGGCCAGGGCATGAACACGGCATTTCTGGATGCTCTGAATCTCGCCTGGAAGATTCATCACGTCGAGGCAGGATTTGCTGACCGGTCGTTGCTGCATTCATATGAGTCTGAACGGAAACTCATTGCCGAAAACCTCCTTAATTTTGATGCAAAATACGCTGCTCTGTTCTCTCAACGACCACCAGCCGCGAAAGACGTCGCAGCAGCGACGGAGCAGTGTTCAAATAAAGATGACGAGGGCGACGAAAACCAATTCATCAAGACTTTCAAGGAGTCTTGCGAATTTACTAGTGGCTATGGAGTGGCCTACGACCCAAATTCTCTCAATTGGTCACCATCTCATCCTGCGCAATCCGAGGTGATCAATCCTAAAGGCAACAGGCTTCGGACCGGACGGATCCTGATCAACTCCGACGTCACTCGAGTTGTAGATGCAAACGTGGTGCATCTTGAGCAAGAGGTCCCTGTTAATGGATCTTTCAGGATATACGTATTCGCTGGCAACCCCACCTTGACTAACCAAGCGATCGACGACTTTGCACAGAATATGAGCAAGAAGAGCACGTTCTTCACGGCTTATTTACGTCGCGATATTGAAACCGTTTCCCATCACGAGCGCCACAACCCACACAGCCATTTTCTCACTTTCTGCGTTGTATTTGCAACAAAGAGGAGTAGCATTGAAATCTCGAGGGACGTCCCTAAGCTGCTGGCGAGATACAGAGACAATATATACGCTGATGATATTTGGGATCAGCGGGTCCCAGATGCGAAGGCTGCAGCTCATGCGAAGATGGGTTTGAACCAGGAGAAGGGAGGTATTGTTGTTGTGAGGCCAGACGGATATGTCGGCATTGTTACCAGTTTAGTTGAAGGCAGCGGAACGGTTGATGCGCTAAATGAATACTTTTCAGCGTTTTGCTCCAAGAAATTGGGCGAAGCGCGGGCACAGTTATAAAGAAATAGTATTATTTTTGAACAGAGTAATTTGAACATTGCGGATGATTCTGGGGCATTCACTCTTGCTTTACGTTGTGACATTGACAGTACCCAGGCACCTGAGCTTTCGTCATGAGGCTATTTGTTGGGGCTTCACTTTTCATGCCACTTTTTTGTGGTTTGAATGCACAATGCCACCTTCGCCAAACGACAGCGTTTACGATATTCGGGTTTGAAATGAGCAGAATCTGTCATTGAATCTTGACATTGTGGACTCGGAGACATTGCCTACGTGCTTGCTTGTTGGAACAATTAAGGTTGGCGCTAATGGGGCGCTAAGTGACCCCTGTGACCTGGAAATCTTATCAGCGCACGCTCAAACCCGCCTCCTTCTTTACTTGACATCGCGGAACATCAATTCCATCCACAAACATCGATGCCACAAACGAATTCTCATCTTCTAACGCTCGATGTTCACTTCACCTGATAATTCACGTCGCTGGACCCATTTCTCGAAATGACCAGCCTCAAGCGCAAAGCCGAAGAGCAGCTGACGAGGAGCTCCGTTGCCGTCATCGAGGTAGTGCATCACTGATCGGTATTGGAGGAATCGCGCTGACACCCCCAGCCTATCCAAGCACCCATGGCCATGTTTGATCTCTCCTTAAACCTTGTTAAGGCTTGGAAGTGGTGGACGGACCTGTTCCAAGGCTTCTTTCAGCCCCCTCCTACATACTCGACCATGACTTATGAAACGGTGGATGGTGAGTAGCCCGAATACCCACACGTGTTTAGATCACTGATGGGTTTCTAGTCGTTGCAGCCAAAGGCCACGTACAATCTGCTGAGCCTAGAGCCGACGGCGAGACCACGTTGAAGCGCCAGAAGACACGGCGACCCAAGCAAACGGCGACCAGATCCAAGTCTGAGGTTGATACACGCCGAAAAGGTGGCCGGGGAACATTGGACTTCGAGGGAATTGACGGCCACAGGGAGCTTCGCCAGCATATCGATGATTTCTGGTCTCCTCCAAGTCTAGACTCTTACTTCAAAAAACCGGGAGCGATTCGAGCACCAGTAGTTGCAAGAACACCAGAAGCATCAGTGGAAGAGGGTGGGAATCAAAGTATATTACATCGACGGCACTCTGATCCGTCACAGTCGCCAAGCGCTCCAGAATCATTGGAGTCAATACCAGGCCAGATCCCAAATCATGGCCGATATGCCTTTCGAACTTCGTCGGCGCGGCGTCCACGAACACCGGACTCGCTGCCGCGGGGGGGGTTTCGGTCTCTAGAGCCCACGGAAAACATGAGTATTGAGCAGCGAATGACCGACTTGCTTCTTGATAAGCACGATTTACCCACTTCATCACTCGGGGGTTCAATTCGGGATGAGAAAGCACAGGAACATAAACGCCAGGCACTAGAAGCTGCTTTGCGCAGAGCAAAAGAGCGTCGACTAAATCGTCGAAGCCCGTTAAGGCCGCTTATTCAACCCCTGGATACGAAGTGGGATTTCTTGGTCTACGAGGCGGAAGCTATGAACAATCAGCACCAAGTCATCACCAAATCTATGGAAGGAACCGAACTTCGGCTGAAAGACTTCCGAACTCTACTGGGCCGCCATGCCTGGCTGAATGATGAAATTATCAACTCGTATGTTGAATGGATTGTGCAGGCAGCCAACGACGATGCAGCTGCGAAGGGGCAAGAGTTCGGCGAACCAGCCAGCACTGTTCCCAAATTCATAGCACACAACAGTTTCTTCTACGAAAACTTGAGGAAAAAGGGCCCGCAGGGCACAGACCGCCTTATGAAGAGGAAAAAGGCACCGGGAGAGAAGTTACTGGAGGTGGATTCGGTCTTTGTTCCCATCTGCCAGGGAAGTCATTGGACAATGGGCGTTGTTCGGCCTGTTGCCAAGACCATTGAATATTTTGATAGCATGGGAGGTAGGCCACAGACTTTCATCTCCCAGATGCGTGCTTGGCTCCAGCACCAGCTTGGGGGGTTATATCATGCGGAGGAGTGGACCGAACCCAGGACGGCATGTGCTCGACAGACCAACGGTTATGATTGCGGCGTGTTTGTGTGCACGAATGCTCTTTGTGTTGCTGTGGGAATTGACACTTCGTGTTACGAGGAACGGGATATGGAACTACAACGGAGGAACATCGCAGCGGTGTTGCTCAACCGAGGCTTTACAGGGGACTTTGCATGGGATAAATGGGGTCTGCTTTATTAGGAGGAGTATAGCATTCTGGCGGCGTTTGGGGCTATGGCGCGCGTGGAAAGATACCTATTTGTTTACCGCGTAATGCGGGTTTTGTACTACTGCATCAGAAAGGGAGAAGCATGCTGCTCTCTGATGTGAAGACCTGGAGAGGGGCACAATGAAATCTCAATGATATGCTCATGAATTGAAGATTTACTCGAGTACCATCCTTACTCCATACAATCTCTGCACTGTGAGGAGTAAAAGCAAAGACCTTGATATTGCTGGACAATCATACTCCAGACGCCCCTGTCATTGATCCGCCTAACCCGTTCTCGTTCCTAGTGCCCAAAGGAGAAGCTAAAAGTTTGGGCTAAGGCGGCTAGCGGCAGGCGGGGGCATCCATCCGCAATGGGGGAAGCTCTCAGTGCATCTCCAAGACACACTTCGACCCATCTCAAACTCAACTGTCCAACCTTACATGCATAGCCGTGCAACCAGCTTGTACTTTTATCGACCCCAATCCGTATGATTGCTCGAGTTGGTAGTGGCTATGGCCCATAAGAAGGCAAGACAACGAATCAGCTATGGTGAGAGACTCCCTGATCACCGAACCAGCCATCGCTCACAGTTCAAAAAGTCCTGCCTCTTGCAAACTCCCCAGGCGGCCATAGATTAGGAGTGAACGGTCTTGCGGTAGACAGCGAACAGTCAATTTTGTAAGTTGACAACTTCAGTCGGCTTGCTGCGCAGAAAGGTGGGGTCCCTCCAGACCCTTGGGTTGACCAGAATATAGATACTCGGGAGGAAGAGATGGTGCCATTTGCGCGTGGAATCTCAATCTTGACCTGAAAAGCTCGATACCCTCTGAAAATCCCTTCGACTCGCCAGAAGATCCTCCCTCAGACTCGAGTTCCAAGACCGAGACCTCGACCACTTTCCGCGCACAAACACAGGCACATACACATTGGGTGAACGACATTGTCCTCGCGCAGAACAATACCGCTTTAGTATCAGCATCGTCTGACCTGACTGTCAGAGTATGGCGGCCACTTTCGAATGAATCGGAGGCTCCACAGACAATCGGGCAGCATGCCGACTACGTCAAGCGTATCGCGACACCCAACTCTTCTGCGGATTGGGTTGCTTCTGGAGGACTTGATCGACGTATCTGCCTTTGGGATCTAAATGGAGCAGGGAAAAAGCTTGAAATCGAAGTCGGAGACGAAGAAAAGAGTGAGAAAGGCTCAGTTTATGCATTGAGTGTGAGCCGAACCATTCTTGCAAGTGGAGGACCAGAATCCATTGTTCGACTATGGGATCCGCGATCGGGGAAACGAATTACCAAGTTCGTTGGCCATACGGATAACATCAGAGATATTCTGATAAATGAGACCGGAGATACCATCATGACTGCCAGCTCAGACCAGACTGTTAAAGTCTGGAGTGTTACTGCGGGACGGTGCATGCATACATTAACAATGCACAACGATAGTGTGTGGTCTCTCTATTCCGATGATCCCCAGCTAGGAATTTTCTACAGCAGTGACAGATCTGGGTTGGTGGTCAAGACCGATGTTCGGGGAACTCTCGGTGAGATGGACGATGGGCTTTCCCTTGCTGTTGCTCAGGAAAATGAGGGGGTTAATAAAGTTATTGCATGCGGAGATTACATTTGGACGGCGACATCAAGTTCTTCCATAAATCGATGGGCGAATGTGGACACTGGAGCGGATATCCAATTACCGGAAGCTTACAGACACCATCGTGTATCGAGCGCTGCGTCGAGGCCTAAACATCTATCACCCCCTCTCGCCAGTGGTCAGTCAAAGAAGGAAATATCAGCACAATCGGTTTTGAGAATTTCGAATACTGCAAGTTTTCCAGCGCCCGCTATAAGGGATTCTGAGGCTGCCGCTAGTTACTCGGCTCTTAGTGGTGCTCGAAAAGGATCCGAGATAATTGTAGATCCAGATATTGGCATCATTGTCCCAATACATGCGTTACCAGAGGAGACCATCGAGGGCCAGCATGGGCTGGTCAAGCACAAACTTCTCAATGATCGTCGACGTGCTCTGACGCTGGATACTGCTGGAGATGTGCTGCTCTGGGATTTATTACGTGTAAGACTTGCTAAAATAGATTGGATGCCTCTGCTGACTTTTAAAGTGTATACCGGTTCAGTCATTTGGGAAGCGGCATCTCGAAGACGTCGAGCCAGAAATCAATACGCTGGAAGCAGTTGCCCCTTGGTGCTCCATAGATACTCGCACTGGACGGCTCGCTGTAGTCCTGGAGGCGTATAACTGCTTCGATGCCGAGATGTATGCGGACGAGCTTCAAGTCGAGGAGCCTGTCGAATTTCGTGAAGATCAGCGCAGTAACGTCTTTCAATTTGTGACCCAACTTCATACAGGATTATGCTAACCAAAATTCCAGTCAATCTGGGGAAGTGGATACTGCGGCATATATTCTCTAATCTCATTGATGAGATGATAAAGAGGGATGAAGTCTACCGCAAAGAGCTTAACGATAAAATGAACAAGGGCGGCCAACGTGCGGGTGCGCCTACTTCTATTCAGATACCAGCCGGTAGTTGGTCAGAAATCGGTGCTTCTGCTAGTACTCCTCGAGCCAATGGAAACTCGTGGCCGATGACGCCCGGTATGGGCATCGGAGTTGCGACCCCAGCTCCACTGAACCATCTCCCTGGAGTTCCGGAAGATGGTGCTCCTTTGGATAAACTTACCTCTGATACAAGCCGGACGTCAGCCGAGAGAACGGGAGATTATTTTTCCAGTGCACCTCTTCCATCTGAGGGCACTTCAAAACCAGCTGCTACTCCTGTAGAGCCACAGCACGACGAGAAACCCCCAAAATCGCCTTCAGACGCGGACAAAGAGACAAATGGCAAAGATGGCAATACTCTCTTCGGGAAGAAATTCCGCATGGGTATGTCATTCGGAAGCAAAAAACTGGGACGTTCAGCATCAACCAATACGGAGAAGCCCGTCGTTGTTGATGAGAAAGTTGAAGATGGCTCAGAGACGTCTGAAAATGGAGAGAAGGAGAAAGAGGTCGATGATAGTTTCTTTGGCATTGTGCAGAAGATTAGAAATGAGTATGAGAAGGCTCTGCAGGAAAATCCAGACCAAAAGCTGGAGAGTGGTATTACCCCAAGTCTTCCAAACGAGACCCCAGTCCTAAAGCCGCCACCAATGACGACTGTCATTATCCAAGAAGAAACGTCCGGTGGAAGTGCAGACCTGTACAGGGGGACAGTCGCTACTGTTGGAGAAGATGCAAGTCTGATAGAAGAACGGGCTCCAATGTGGCTTGGCGATCTTCTCCTCAGAGTAAGTCTCCCACCCCATATCGATTTGATCATTAACTAATAACGCATTAGAACAAAATTCCATTCAAGGAGCCAATCAAGGTCTCATTCGTGTTGCAGCCTTGGCAAGACCTCCTACCAAGCATCGCTGGTCCAGACGGAAACTCTCGTTTGAATGCCAATAGGATGCTTCGAGTGAAGAAAATCCTAGCTTATGTCGCGGAACGCATTGAGGCGGCTCCAGAGAGTCCGGAGCTTGATGCTCTGCGCCCAGAGGATTACCTGGAACTTTATTGTTATGATCAAGTGAGTGCTTATCCCAACTTGAGGAATATTTCTGACAGGGCCAAGAAATTGCCCATCACGATGAGCCTCGCTACTCTTCGAGCTCATGTTTGGAAGGGAGGTGCAGACGTTATGTTATACTATAAGAGCAACGGTCTGAAGCCCATTCGTTATGAAAAGAAGCCAGAGTCATTGACGGGGGCATCAACTCCCACGGCGCAAGCCACATCATCTACATCATAATCAGTTTCCTACAATACCAGCTCGTTTGCCAGATTACATAATGTATATAGCCACCTCGAGCATTGAGTTGCCTTCCGAATGAGTCTGTAGTATATTAAATCATTATTGCAAGCCGTGAACGTTTGATCGAAGGCTTGAAGCTCTCCATGTGTAAAGCCAGCTCCCAGTCTCAAAGAAATGGTGGTACTCATCTATCTGCAGAACCCCAACTTGTTGATGAGGGACAGAACCTCAATTTTTAATCTATGTACAACACGCCATCTAAACACCTAATTAGACTGCCATCTCCTTGTGCTATAAGCTTCCCTCACCAGACAACGAGTTGTATGCCCACTGATATGACCCAAGGAAGATGGCTCCACCAGCGCTGATCCACAAGACTCTGGGTCCTATGCCTGCAAAGAAAGCCCTCGGTCCGCTGTTTTTCAGAATTTGCCTCAGCAAAGAAAACATGGCAGTCTTCTCTTTGGCCAACATCATTCTCGTCTTCAAAACATCCAGGGGGGTTGTTATCCCGGCAGCAACAGCTCCAGCAGCACTACCAAAGAGGCCACTCTCCAAAGCACTGATAGTATCCCTCCCTGATTTCCTCCTTCGATATTCTCTCATAGATTCCCAAAGGGGAAATTGTATGACCGTGAACGGCACCTCCCTCATAATTGTAACAGACCATCCCCGGTACAGCTCCATCCAGACCCCAGATACACCGATCGCACGGTGTTGAGATAGAATTGCCCGCAAAGCGAATAGCGAAGATGAATACTGCCCAGCCTGGGCCCTCTGCTTCACAACCTCTGTAGGGACCCTGACGGCACACGCAGCCACCTCTCCAAGACTAGCAGCCAGCATGTGTTCAATTGGTGCAGCCCATTCTCCCGCCTGTCCTTCCGTTACTTGCTTCGCGTGCCGTCTTGCGGAGAGAAAGCTCTTTGAGTATTCGTACGTGCAGAAAAAGAGCGCTGCACCGGGTGCCGAGCCAACGATTGCGCTGCCAACTCCACGGTAGATTCCGGAGAATCCCCCAGATGCGAGGAATCCGGAAGATGACTGTAGCCTGGTCTTCAATGTGTCGAGGGGGTAGAGAGAGAGGTCGACGGTTGTGCCAGCAAGAGCTCCAGAGAGCAGGGCTGTGGAAAACGACCAAGGAGTCTGGGACGACATTTTATGCTTTTAAGACACCGCCGAAGTTGCTCCAGGTAGGAATATTCTTCAGGTTAGGGCAGTGGCCGAGGCCAGCAGCATTGTCGAGGGCCCATGCTCGTGTGGCTGATGATGATGATGATAATGATGATGATGTCGAGGAGAGCTCGACTATTTTCCTATTTATTTTGACGCGACACGCGTCTCTCAACCATTTTTCAACCTCCAGGTCACCTTTTCAATTTGTGAGAGGTCGACAGGGTATGGCATGGAATGGGGCCAGCCAAAGTTATTCAAAATGCCCTCTCTTCAGCTGTTCGTCCAATTACCGTAGCAGAATTCGCAAATGCCCTGCTCAAGCAATGGGTTCCACAAGGCCGTGGACGTGACACTCTTGGTACGTCTTCAACGAAGATGCTTTCACTAGACCTTCATTCTGATTAATTGTAAACAGGCTTGGCCATCAGTGGAGGTGCTGATTCAATGGCTCTTGCAGCTTTGTGCTCTCAACTGCAGGACCTTTCTCGCTCTCCACATGCCAGGACAGAGGGACAACCTGAGCTGAGCTCTCTGAACCCTCTCAAATTTCGGGCTTTCATCGTGGATCATGGCCTAAGAGCTGGCAGTAGTGCAGAAGCAGAGGCTGTATCAAAAATCTTAGAAGAACGAGGTAATGACTCTCAGATAAATGAGAGCTCGTCGAACGCTAATCATTACAGACATCGAGACCCAGATCTTGAAGATCAAATGGCCTAGGCTCGGCGATCCGGCGAGTCTGCCAAATTTTGAGTCTTTAGCCAGAAAATATCGTTTCCGCTTGCTTGGTAGAGCTTGTAGTGACCTAGGAATCGACTCATTGCTTCTAGGTCATCACGAAGATGATCAAGCTGAGACTATTTTGATGAGACTCGCCAATGGCCAAGGCACGAGGGGTCTAGTTGGAATTAAAAGTCCGGCTGGTATACCAGAATGCTACGGCATCCATGGAGTCTATGAGAGCGGCGGATATGACAACACTCCAGGAGGAAACATTGACCAATGGAAGAGGTCGGTGCCCGCGACCTTCAGCTGGTCTTGGTCAGACTACTCCACAGCAACCCAATTTCCCATTGAAAGTGGCGGAATCCAAATCTACAGACCCTTCTTGAACTTCAGTAAGCCTCGTTTGATTGCAACATGCATCACGGAGAACATGGAATGGTTCGAGGATCACTCCAATATCGAGCCCACTACCACTATGAGAAATGCAATTAGGCATATTTATGCCAATCACTCCATGCCTGCTGCTCTCACAAAGCCTGCACTTCTGGCTCTGTCGGCGAAGCTGAATGGCCAACAGGCTAATCGATTCGACATCATGAAATCATGGCTTGCGAAATGCAAAATTACTCATTTCGAAACTCGTATTGGGACTGTCAAAGTTCGTTTTGCCAACTTAAACCAGTTTCGAGGTCCTGGAATTGTGTGGCCGCCTCCAGGTGCTGGCCTGATCGCAGCTGAGCTACTTCGTGAAATCATCCAGCTGGTGACGCCTCGAGACCATGTTGATTTAAGCTCTCTGCACAGTGCCGTGCAACACACATTTCCAGAAATCTCACAACAGGGCGAGCGGATGCCTCAAAATACTGCATTTACTGCTTCTGAGGTCTATTTTCAGCCTGTGCTGGCGAACCCCTCCAGAGGTCCATCCCCCAAGGCCACAAACCAGAAGACAGAATGGATCCTCTCGCGTCAACCTTACCTGTCAAGAAGACTTCCAAAACTTCAGTTTGCTGTTCTAGCCACTCCAGGTTCCTGGTCCCCTTGGCACTTATATGATGGCCGTTACTGGATCCGAGTCCAGAATCGCAGCACGGGATCTCTCTTCATGCAACCGTTCAGGCAGGAGCAGCTTGCCGACTTCCGAGCTTCGCTTAAGAAACCTGATGGAACTCTATTAACAGGAGATCTAAGGAGGAAGGCGCCTGGTAATATTAGGTGGACCTTACCCACGATTATGAGGAAGGAAGAGGATGGGAAGGAAACGCTGATCGCCCTGCCTTCACTAGGCCTCAGTATACCTGGAAGTATGCTGAGATGGGAGATGAGATACAAAAAGATATGTACCGATCTGATTGCAAATACAATCTTGGAATGGACCTAGTGGAGGGCCGCTGAGGTCTCTCAAAAGGCACCGCAACCTCACGTTATACAAGAAGGTTTCGTATTGCTAATCTTCCAATGGATGAAAACATCATAGAGCATTGATGAGAAGCAGTGAAGATGAAGCAGATCTTCATAGCATAGAAACCAAATATTCTAAGATACCAATGTCCACCTAAGATATCTGACAGCCCCTTTGACCGTCTTTGACCACGATGTGCCTGAATGAGCCAATGCTACAGAGCAATACTCCCTGGCAGTCTAGAGGTTATGCATGTACGAGCTCTTGGATCTTTATCTTTTGTCAGTTTGTGTTCGCTCCCTCAATAGATCACATAATATCACGTATTTGAAGCATTTGAGATTGTATTGAGCTTCATTGATTGCTATATCAACAACATAACCTGTATACTGAAGCCCGTTTGCCGAACCCTGCCGAGTATGGGTATCCTGGAACGCCGTGTTCGTTTGAAAACGCCATCCCAATGCAGCCTTCCTGATTTATAGACTTCGGTTTCGTCAAGTAGTATTTTGTAGCCCGAGCAGAAACCATCGTGCCTCGATGTATCAAGCCATCTCAAGAGGCATAATCCATCAGGTTACTGCCTGTAATCTTGGCAGTCTTCGGATTGGTGATTCCGGATATGTAGAGGGAGAAAGCAGTGCCTGGGTACATTTACCTCAGACGCAGAGCCTTCTTCGTGTTTTCGTAAACGACATAGGTAATGCTGACCGCAGGAACGACCTTCAGCAAATTCGGGGTGATACCCTTGAAGAGACCTCTGAAACCTTCGTTCTTAATAGTTCTCTGCGCCACGTCCACTATTCCGGTATATGTTGGGGGATGCAGCACCGTTCCTTGAGCTTGTAATCTTGTCCGCAAAAGGTTGATAGGATACACAACACTCGCCCCGAAAGCCCCAGAAAATGCTCCAATGCAGCCTGTAGCGAATGATCCTGGAAGTGCGTCTTCTTCATGGCAGCCTAACCTCTTGGCACTGTGTTGCGCGAGTTTGGATTTGAGAAACTCAAACGTTCCGAGGTCGATCGCAGAGTAAGGAAACATGCCAATGAGGCCCATGGTCAATCCTCGATAAGACGTGCGAACCAGTCCTTGACGGTACATTTTCTTTGCTGTTTCGATAATGAGTGCGTTTCCATGAAGTCCACCAGAGACAGTTTCACACTGCATTCTGCAGGCTGTTAGCGATCGTACAATGATAGAAGAGGAGGAGTCTCACCGAAATTTTAGGGTATCGATAGGATAAACGAAGAGCCTGCAATGGAACGTAAGTATTGTGGAAAGGCTAGAAGAGGGTGAAAGCGTACTGGGAGACAAGACCACCAGCTCCACCTGCCACAAACTTTGAGTAAGGATTAATATTCTGTGGATCTCCATGGCCTTCAAGTTGCGCAAGGGCCCTCTTGGCGGCTTCGTAAGACCCGAACTTGATTGCCGACTCGGGCATAACCTTCAGTACGTTTAACCCATTGCCTAGGAGAGAGTCAGAAGCCTCCAAATACCCAAGGTGAGTGGTCGGATCAGACTTACCAGCAAACAAACTGCGCATCCCTCCCGCCTTCCATAGCTCTTTGGCAGCAGCAACGAGAGGCTGGCCCAGCTTCTTGGCTGCGGCCACCGCGTTACCCTGCTTTGCAGCTTCTATCGAGTCTTTCGGGGGGCCCACGTTGGCAATGAGGTATACCTTTATTCGATCAAGTGGAGCAGTGGCAGTTCTGGAGACAGCACCAGCGACGGCCCCCGCAAGGAAGTAACCTGGATCGGGTAGAACAGAAATCAGCCATGACCTCTCGAGCGTTGCAACATCCTCGAAAAACGGCTCCTCGCTCTGAGCGAATAGATCATCTTCATCAACAGTGGGGTCGATGGCCGTTTCGACGAAGTGAGCGTGGTTGTGTTCATACATGGTTTCTGCTGGTGGTGTGATTTCTTGACCTGATGGTGAAGTTTTGGCTGGGAAAGAGCGACTTGATTTTTGTGGTGGTTCCGCGATCTTGATAATGGCGCCAAAGAGGATTGAAATGAAAGATCTGGGTCTACCTAGTCCTTCCAGAGTTTCCTCGCTTATAGAAGTATCGCCCTCTGAATTCAATGTGACTGTCGACGAGTAGTATGATAATACCGCCTTGAGGCCCGGATTTGCGTTGGTGGGGAGGAACAGTAAAAAGTTACTGTCAGGTTCGTTAGCTGCGTTTGTACGGACGGATCTGTGCATTTAATATCAAAAGATGGGTTTTGGCAGTGGCTCGTGCCATGTTCGCGGGCACAGCTAGTGAAAAGCAAGCCCGCACACATGTATACAGCTATCTGGAGAGGCACCCTTTGCCAATTCTTCCCACTCTCCCAGAAATGTTATTGCTTACCGCCACTCGTCGAAAGTTATGTAGCCCTATTTGCAATTAGATGGTGGCAGTAAGTACACGAAGATATAATAAACAAACATCGTGATTCTCGTCTACTTCTGCAAAAAACTGGTCCAATTTCGAATTTGGAACAGTAAGTCCAGCCCTCTTGAAGGCCGCCTTCAACTCCTCCTTGTCTAGTTTGCCATTATGGTCTCGATCAATGCTATGGAAGAGTGAAAACAGCTCCTTCTCGGTCCGCTCGACGAAATTGCGAAACTCTGAAGAGGGATAACTCGTCAGCCATGTTTGTGTGCTGATCACAATACGGAACTAGAAAACACCACCACAAGAGGGCACAGAACATACCCTCATACTGGATCATCTGGTCCCCATTCTTATCCATAGCCTTCACCACATCCCTGAGCATATCGTTGGCATTTTTCAGAGCTGGTCACAGATCAGCGATTCAGCGCCGGCAGGCTGGATACGAGATTGCTTGCGATGATCGATCCTGATCAACCCCTTCTTTAGGCCATTGAAATCCAGCTCGCCCTTATTCTGAGGGTCGAGTTTCTTCCAGAGGTGCTCAATTCTTTCATCTCTGCTATTTTGCGATTCTGGGAACTCCATCTCGAGAATCTTGGCTGTCGGGATCTCAATGATTGCTCATGGTCGATGGAGAATTGACCCTGAGCACCTTGGCCAATTTCGTTATCATTGAAGCAATGCTGTGAACATAACTTAGGTCTGCGAAATAGTGCGGCGGATCTGGGGAAGAGCTGGGCTAAGTGAGCTTCAAAATTGTGAGGTCTGAAATCCATGGAAGATGAGGCATCATTGCAGCCCACTTCGCTTGTAGAACCCGGCCATTGCAGGGGTGGTCATCAGCCTCGTGCCGAGCAGACAGCCTCCCTGGCGCATTGCTGGAATCTCTGTCTGCAGATTTATTCCCAGTGCTTTCATCTATGTCCGTTCCTGTCTGTCTGTCTTAAGTTATCTGAAGCAGCTGGAGACAATAGCTGCTTTCCGTAGCCCTGAATTTGAGCTCTGCCCCACCCTAGATACATCCTCCGACCACCTCGAAGAATCTGACCGAGCCCTCGAAATGGCAGCCAACTACTGGGAATCGACTCAACGGCGTCATTGGCAATTCACCCGAGAGAAACTGGAAGTTCTGCGGAAGAAATTGGAAGATGAAGATCAGAACCTTGTGCAGATGTACCCTCTTCCAGCCCTACGACATCTCAGCATATATTTCAACCAGCGTAAGCCACCTCATGATAGGTGTACACCTTTCTAACATCCTCGCCATTACAGAAGTTGCACGACTTGGAAAACGCCTTGGCGTACGGCAGCAAGCCATGGCAACAGCACAGCTATATATCCGTCGTTTCTATTCAAAGGTCGAAATCAGACGGACAAATCCATACCTAGTTATAGCAACTGCCGTATACTTGGCATGCAAGATGGAAGAATGTCCGCACCATATTAGACTTGTTGTCAGTGAAGGTCGAACCTTGTGGCCAGGCATGTTCAACTTCGCGAGTATCCCCTGGCTTGCTCTGACTCTTGCCCAGACTTCTTCAGTAGTGATACGTCAAAACTCGGGGAGTGCGAATTCTTTCTCATATCCGAAATGAGCTCCCAGATGATCGTTCACCACCCTTATAGGAGTTTGACCGCCTTACAAACGACATTCTCCCTCACTCAAGAAGAGTATGCTCTCGCCTGGTCGATCATAAATGATCACTACATGACCGACTTGCCTCTCCTTTACGCACCTCATGCAATTGCCATAATGTCAATTCTTCTTGCTCTGGTACTCCGCCCCAATACCACTGGTATTCAATCGGCGGCCAGTTCTGCTGGTACTATCGCGAGTGCGGCACATGCAGCTCTGAGCTCAGCTGGTCAGACGAAGAACGGAGGTGAGAAACCAGGCGGGGTGGCGCGAACAAAGGTGCAGAAGCTTGCCAACTGGCTTGCGGAAAGCAATATTGATATAGAAGCCATCGTCGACTGTACCCAGGAGATCATTTCCTTTTATGAGGTACAAGAACAATACAACGAGAAGCTCACAAGGGAGCAAATCAACAGATTTGTCAAAGCACGCGGGCTGGACAAGTGAAGAAGAGGAACAAATGAAAACTTAGAACTGAAAGGTACACATTAAGTTCTTGGTAATGTTCAATATCACAGCGACGATGTCGACGAACGTCGATACTGGGATTGCAGGAATTAGAGACAAAATTTGAGGCCAGATGATGTCAGACTTGCAAATGGACTTTGCTTTTCCGCCTACCAGAGAGAAGTACAGTAGTTAGTAGGCAAGCGAGGTATTCAAAAAGGAGGTTACGAGAAGCGGGGGGGGAGGGGGGGAGGGCATTTCCGCTCTCTGTGTTCAATGCGGCACGGCAGCGATGTCATCGATCAAGACTTTTCAGAGATGAGAAAGACGGATAAGTCTCGAAATCAATAAAGTGGTCTTTGATTTATCTCGCTTCTTCTCGAGACTTCAGTATTCGCTCTGTATCGGGGCCGTTGCCAAGTCCGCGAGAAGAGGGAAAGCGAATGAAAAGGAGCATCCCATTAGCATTTTCAAAGCAAGTGTAAATGGACCATAGATATTCCGGCAACAACCTATGAAGCAAGCTCATACGGTTTAAACCTTGCAGACTTCGAAACAAGAAAGACTGCCTTTCCAATATAGTAGAGACTCTTGATTTACAGACAGTGAACTATGTTTGTTCCGAACTCGACATTTTGCAGCGCCCGGTAGCGAGCAATTCTTGACCTCCGGTCTCTAGCCACCCTTCTATCAAAGGTAAAGCGCATAGCACTCAGAAATATATTATTATTAGAAATTGCTTTATTGTCAAAGATCAGGCATCAGGGAACATCCCAGAATTTCTGTTCTGCAGAAATTCACGAGGCATGACAGGCTTGGTAGGGCTCAATCTATGACATATCATGATTGGCTGAGGTTTCATAGGGAAGGAGGCTTGCACAGCAGGGGATGTGGGCTGGTAGGCGCAGCAAGCGCACGATGGCTGTGTGTTTGAAGATATGCAGTCAATTTATAAATATGACACCGGACAGGCCGTTGACGCATTGGTCAATGGAGTAATCTGATCCCTACGCAAGTGGTGGCTGAGGCTGGAAAAAGGAGGAGATTATTCATGGAGAAGCTGGGCCAGGGCGGCGCATGAGAGGTCGAAGGGTTCGAGCTATGACCAAGGCGGGAAAGGAAACTTTATGCGGATGTTTGCTTGCATCGGTGAGCGGATTGATCTTCACCCTCTTAAGGGGTAACGATCATCAATCGAGAATTCCAGATGCTTGTGGATGGATGGTGGGGCCTGGTACACGCAGTCTGTATTCTACATTTTGGCGGTAGATCTCAGAACATGCGATGAACTCCCTTGACGAAGCAGAATTTTCTGGAGAATACTGGAGCTCTGCCAATACAGCAAGAGAGAGGAAACAACTCTTCGCCAAGCTTCTGTGAAACTAGGGGGCAGGGGCGGCGGCCTGAGGCATGAGAGTCCGCCGTTCACTCGCCGACCCCACAATACAGTATCGCAGACATCCAAGCAGGTGTTTTTTCTCTCGGGCTACATTATAGCAATAAACACTGCATCCTGCTCCTACTGAGAGCGTCGATAACATTAGACTGAGATGCAACGATTTCCGCAGACGACAGTACCTGCGACAGCAGGAATTTGACTAAAACCAAGATGGCAGGAAGCGAGCCAATCACTTGAATGCGGTGGCAAAACCACCCTAGCGCCTTTCTTGTCTGCTGCTCAAGCCCGCCCCGAATCCCCTCGATCGCCTCTGCTTACCAGCCTCTACCTCGCCCTCTCCCACCCAACAGTCCCAGCCTCCAAACATATCAAGATCTTCTCTTCCAGCATTCTCAACTGTTCCTCAATCAAACTCCTCTGCGTCTACTAGACAGCTATCTTCGCAACACACTCTGTTGGTCACCTGCCGCACCCCAACAACACTGGCGCTTCCCTCACCGTCTTCTCATCAACCATGTATCACTACCAAGCCCAAACATCGCATACATCGGCACACCACTCTGGAAGGGGTCGCAGAGCACCCCGCTTATCCCAACATTCTCACAAGCAATTCCGAAATGTAAGGAAAGAAGAAGAAGCGGCTGTGGTGTCCAGTTTTCGTCAGCGCTTCGAAGCGGGGCGATCCTTCGACCTCGACGATGACATGGAATTCTGCCCAAACCTCCTCTCCGATAGCGATATAGTATCTATTAATTCCTCGTCGTCGGATCGCTCGTCGCTGTCGAGTGGGTCACCTGAAGCCAGCCCACAATCTCACCAAGTCTCTCCCGATTCCGGCTTCACTCTCAACTCCAACTCGAACCCATACATTCCATCGTACCAAAGCCAGCCAACAACCCTCAAGCTGCATCAACCGGCTGCAACCCGGATCCGTAACGCAATCCCCATTGTTAACCCAAGCACCGGCATCCGAATGAACTCGCCATCTCCGCCCTCGGTCTCGCCCGCCAGAATGAGCAGCAACCTCGGTCGACACTGGTAGACTGCCTCTACTGTTCCCTCTGATCAGTAGAGTCAGTTTTTCTTGCGTCGCACTGATTTGCTATTCGTAATCTCGTCATCTGTCATTCTGGCGGTCAACACCTTGGGCATCGATTTCTCCGGTTACGGCAACCCTCCTCAACGAATCCTCTGTATAAATTCTTACGACTATCCCACCAAATTCCTTGAGACAGCGACGGCTCAACTTCCGATATCGATATACCCTCTGTTTATATAATATGAGACGGTGTTTTCATCCACAATGATGGCTTGATTTTGAGCGCGCATTGCATATTTTTGCGACGGTGTTTTGGCTGGCATTAATTTTCGGGCGGGAACATTGAAGCGGCGACTTCACGGTACGGGTATATGAAAACCAAAAGATATATCATCAGTTACATAGAACGATTTCCTTTTTTTATCGGAGACGGTGTTTTGAGGGTATCTACATGGAAACGGGGCAAGATTTCTCTCAATCTTTTCTTGGATTTATCTCACAATGGGTATGGCGGACAAGGTGTCGGTGTGCAAAGGTTGAGCGTTCTTGTATGATGAGCGCTTCGGTGTTGTCCTTGGTACTGAATGGTCTGGGATTATTAGGCTTTTGTTTGAGCGTTTGATCTGGCGGGAGCATTTAGGTTGTCAGATCGAATCGATCATGTCATGTCATGTCATAACTAGGGACGAGCTATATGATCTATGTCTGCAACAGTGGGTGGGCTTTGGTCATTTAGGATCGGAGTACCCTCGAATATATTGTCTTGTGTTCATCCCTTCACTGTCAAACCGTGCTGCAGAACGAGCCTGGAGACGTTTACAAGCTCGCGGTGGACAGAAAAAGCGGCAGTCATTTTCAAATGTCCCGGGTCAAGCTGGACATTGTAAGTCTAACCTCTCTGAATGTGCATGCGATATTATACATTGAAAGTCTACTCGTTGTAAATGTCTCGGAAATTCTAGAAAATTGATTCCGGCTCCTCTACACACTAATAAAATGTTCCCATTTGACTTGGGACATTCAAGATGAGTGCCGCTTTTTCTGTCCACAGGGAGAGCGAGGTCAAGTGAAAACCGCTCTTGTCCAGTTTCGCCCGTACGATTCAAATCGCAGGTAGTGAAACAGGTAGTTCGATATCGGAATCTCGACATGAGCATTTTCCATTTCCGTCTTTGGACCTGAGCTGTTGCTGCTATAGCCTGAGCTGTGGGTGAGCCAAACCTGAGCCAGGCTGAGCAAGTGAGCCAAGGAGGTGAGCTCAAGGTGGACAGGGGCGACCCGTTTGGGCTCCTCGGCTACGACTGCCGCTGGCTACGGCAGGATTTTAGGCGGTAAGTGGTCGAAACACTCGAGCACCAGAACACCAAATTCACGAAATTCAAAACTACGAATCGCATGCTACTTAAAATTAGGCATAGAATTGCACTAAAATTATACTTAGACTCGTACTTACATTTAATGGGAGCCCTTTATATATTGCAGTAAGCTATCCCTAGGGAGCTCTTTATATGCAATACGAAAAGAGCTCCTTAGGGGGCAGCTCACTTGGGGCAGCTCCCTATAATAATAATAATTAGCCTATCTTAGTATATGACCTAGTTTTATATACTAGCTATAATAGTTACGGGCCTTGCATGTCCAATTTCAAGTGGTTTGGGTTTTTTGGTGTTCTGGTACTCGAGTGTTTTGACCACTTACCGCCTAAAATCCTACCTTAAGCATCGCTTATCTTCTATTTCAACCTCTCCCCAACTTCCCCTTCCTTCGACATATTTGTGATATTCTCAATTGCGACAATGGTATCATTACGGTGGCCATATATCGAGGGCCCTTCAATATGGGGAGCGAAAACATCGGCGTATGAGTAAGTATCGTCTAATGGCATTCGCAGTCGTACGATTGATTTGATGTCCTTCTACAGATTCTGTGAAATGGTAAACATTACTTCAAAGCGTGTCTTTACAAGACCAGCTGTCGATTGACTTAGGATTTTTACATGACTCCATATGTTGCAGAGTTCGTCAACACCCTGACCAATTTAGGTTACAGTACGAATCCCTCTACCCCTCCTCAGGACACAGCGCTAATTTCGATCGCAGTCTATCTTGGAGTCAGAGGAATCAAGAATTCTCGAAGAGGTGGTAACGATAGTGTCGTGAATCTATGCTACTCCATGCTCGTCTTCCTCGGTGCAGGCTCCGCCGCATACCACCTGAACATCAAGCACGAAACCCAGATGCGTGTGTCTCCTCTCTTGCTACCCCAAATCCCACGCTGATAACTTCCGACAGTGGACGAGGTATCCATGCTCTTCACCACAATTAGTATTTTGTATGGCGCTTTCAGCATCACCCTTGGAAGCGACGCCAGAATAGCCCTCGCGACGCTTTTGACCGGAGTCGCTTTGTTGATTTCCGTCAATCACGTTGTTGTTGGCGATGTTGAGCGTTTCCGGTTGTGGTTTTTATTCCTAGTCCTGGGCACTTTTGCACAATGCGTGTGGTTACTATCAGCAAAGGTACCAAACATCAAGGTCAAGAGGGAAGCTCAGCAGCTTGCGACTTATGGCACAGGTTCGTTCCAGCATCCTTCAACCACGAACTCCAAGAATTTATTGCTGATTTCTCATGCCAACAGTGGCTTTTGTTACTGCTTTTATTCTCTGGAATATCGATAATGAATTCTGCGACGAATTGACCTCATTCAGAAATGGCCTCGGAATCCCATGGGGCTTCGTTACTGAACTGCATGGCTGGTTAGTGGTAACTCTTTAGATCTGAGGTCGTGACTAATGAACTTCCCAAGGTGGCACCTCCTTACTGGTCTTGCGGTCTACTACTACATCGTCTTTGTTGAACGACTGAGGCTCTACATTAAAAGCACCACCGCAAAAAGATCAGGTGCAATCCAAGCCAAATTAGTTTGGTCCGGAGCACTCACTCTTCCACAAATTGAGATGTCAGCCAAAGAGGATTGATAGGACTGGACCAAGAGGCAGGAGAAGCTTCTGGAATAATCTGAATTGAGTTCTGGAACTACAAAACATTCTGAGAAGGTGGAAGGGAGGATGGGTGAGAGGACAGGTAAAAGGATATGTGAGAAGATGGGAGAGAAGATAGGAGAGAAAAGATGTAAAGGCAAGAGGGAGATAGTCATTTATAGAGTACGAAGCCCCGGGCAAATCGCAGAGAACGACGTCAAATACCCTGAAGTAAGACGCAAGAAAATGTCCTTGCATGGAAGACAAGTAGACGGGGATAACTGTCTGGGAATGAGTTCTGGCTGGCATAGGTTGTGAAATTGCAGTGGAACTGATTTGGGATCCCTGGCTGGGAAAGGGGGCCTTTTCGAGCCCCTCGTTAAAAGTTGACGATATCTGAGATGGGTGATAAAGACCTGAGCAGACATGAGCCGAAGCTGAGCTGTGCCTGAGCCAGCCTGAGCAAAGGCGGCGCGAGATCACATGAACTTGATGGTTGGGAGGTGTCGAGATTCCGGTCAGGAAACTTGAGATCCAACTCATCAGGTCAATGACCCAAGTGAGACCTGGCGCTTCCCCAGCAACGTGCCCCAGATCAGCTCAGATCTGAGCCTGTTGATCGACTCGCACGCACCCCATTTCCAAACGCCGAAAGCGGAAATTCCCTCACGCGCTTCCATCGCTTGAAGCCACTCTTGAAGCCCACTACGGTTCCCCATACCATGCCCCACGCAGGACGGTGTTCTAGAAGCGATGACGTATCGGGCTTTGATACCCGAGGGTAAATGTACCTGAGGAGCATGAGCGAACGAACGCAATGGAGATTTGCTTTAGAGGAAGCTAATTTAGTGTCCTTGATTGCCTTTTGATACTGATCATCATCTGAGGAAAGACTTTGCAAGGCAGAGGGATTCTGAGACTTCAATTGATACTTCCTGCGTAATCTTCAAGGCAATCATTTGTAGGTCCTCACTCAGTCCTTTCAGAGGAATTGATATTCTCAACTCATCTTCAATCAGCAGACAAGATGTCTTTTCTTTTACGAAACGCACGAATTGCCGCTCGGCCGGTTATTGCTTCACGAGTTATGCCCTCGAGGGCTTTTACGAGTTCAAGCGTGAGGCCTCTCAAGGAGGATGATCGCCGTATGTTTCCTGCCCCAATAGTGTAGATTAAGGTACATACTGATAAACCTCTCATGATGTAGACAGTCCAGATCTGGCGGAGCAAAATGAGAGACACAAGCAAGACCAATTGCAGAAGCAAAAGGATGGGAAGGGTCATTGGAAGCCAGAACTGGCAAGCAACAGCGAGGAAGCTGTGAGTTCCCCTCTCTGACTCTCTGAGCGGGCTCTGGAAAGATCCTCTTGCTGATGTAATTTTCTGGGCATAGGTAGCCGCGGATCGTCAAGCCGGTGATCATACAATTGAGGAATTGCAGAAGAAGACGGCAAAGCATGCGGAGGAGAAGCACAAGTAGGTGGTGTCTCATGTTGGTTTATTCTTTTGATTGAAGAGCACGCACAGATGCTGATTCGATATCTCTGAATAGACATGGAACAAGTCAAGATCCTGGGTTGTGATTATTGGAACTGGCGAAGTCAGTCGGACTAGAAGTAGAAACGAGGTTCCTGGTGAGCAGGAGAGATAATTGTACCATTCTCCCAAGGAACATTGATGGTGCATGACACAATCGTTTACCTTTGGGACTTGTAGAAAGAAGTTTGAGCATTTGAACACAGTATTATGAGTTGTAATATTCTTTGCCCACGGAGCCAGCGACGATCAATCTACCACAAGCCAGCTGCCATCAATGGCTGAACTCCTAGAACACCTCCAAATGCAATAAGATACATCCGAGAGCCACCCGTTTTCCTGAAACCTTTATTTCAATATAATGATCAACAAGACCAATATTATGATCAGAACAACGATGATCGTCATCTGCATATTGTCCTTCGCCTTCCTAGCTATAGTTCCTAGGTTCTTCCTCGCCTTATCGAGCCTTGTTTGATGCCTATCCACATGTCTATCAACGTCATCCAACATCTGAACATGTTCGTCCAACTCATCCCCAATCTGAATACTCAGTTCCCTCTGTCTTCCAATCGACTCGCCTAGTCTATCCAACGCCTCATCTTGTTCGGCTATCACCCGTGAATGATAGGCATGGATCTGTTGATTGTCCAGATGAGATTGATCTGGTGGGCCCGCTGTAGGGTCGTCTCGATAGGGAAAGAGGGCGTTTCGGGCTTCATCCTCATCCTGAACCAAAGGTGCATCAGAGAATCTGACGGACTTTGGGGAGGGAGCGGCAGAACTATTTGCTGTGTCTCGAAGGGATTTTTTGAGAAACGAGGAGGAAGATGCAACTCTCGGCCGTTCCGCAGCTCGTGCAAAGTCCTCGGATAGAGCGGGGTCGTTGGGATGGGATATTGTTGAGGATGTGGTGTCTGTAGGGACTCCCCGGAATTGGGATGCTAGATCATTGTACTGTGATCGAAGATTGTTTTCTATTTCTTGAAGTGTAGTTGATGCGCTGATGGCCCTGTTAGTCCGGCCTTCAAACCTGAGACGGGGTCACCTACGCTGAGTCTCCTGCTTCTTGCAAACGCACTCGTTCCTTTGTGACGTTATCGAGCCCTTCTTTTAAGGAGTCAAGTGACCGAGATATATGACCGTCTTGCGAGGTAGGCTCAAGGTTCAGTGATATAGCTCGCTGCCTTTCCAGGAGAGACAGCTTGATGTGATCCGCCAGCAGGAAGTATTGATTCGGGTTCGCCATGGTGCCGCCTGTTGGCTGTTTGCAATGGCAAAGGTTCTTTCTGGTCCTAGACACGGTGTCGCCAGGAGATGGTTGTACGGGTCATGTGCCAATGTTTCTGTGAATGAATCAAATAAATAGATCTTGCGGTGGAACCTGGAACGTTTGGTGATGAGAGATAGGCGTTAGAATCTGGTGCCTTGCCGGAGTACGTACTTTAATTTCTGGCCAATAAGGTGGCGAGGAAAGAACGACTAGCGGGTGCGGGCATGGTCCAAAGCCGACTTGCCGACATTCATCAAAGATGTGGATATCCCGAAGGCGAACTCGAACTCATCAAAGTCAACATTCTTCAGTTCAACGTGCGAGAAGGGTGGGTGAGGCTGCCTATCTATGAATGCCCAGTCAGCCTCCGAACTCTCAGACTAGTTTGATCCACGAATCCAATGAACACGTCCTTCTACACCCACTTAAACCTTCCGCATCGCCGAAACCTCACGTGCTAGTGGTGGACTCTGTCCCTGTCCTCAACCTCAGCCTCCTGTCCCTCACATCTTGGTCCCCGTCCTTGATTCTCCTGGGCTGGCGTATTTTACCTCCATGAAACATGTCTCATCAAGGACACTATCCTCCTCCAAATACGCCATCCAGCGACTACAGTCTCTCGCCAAGGGTTAGTCGACGCCAGCCTCGCAGCAGTCAGATGACTCCAGACAGACCAGCCAACCTCAATATTGCACATTCTGTGGATCTGAGGGCTCTGGCATACGTTGGGCCTGTCGACCAGAACCTCATCTGCGCTATCTGCAGGTGTGCCTTGGTAGACCCTGTCACCACTCATTGCGGCCATACTTTCTGCCAGTCATGTATCAATGATGCTCTGTCTCACAGCCAGCTATGCCCAGTCGATCGGTCACGGCTTTCTTCAGGAGACTTGGCTCCCTCCCCGAGGATCATCGTCAATCAGCTGGATGACCTGAAGGCAGAATGTCCGAGCTGTAGCACTCCATATGCAAGATCGATGCTCGAAAACCATCTAGAGAGATACTGCAAGGAGGCTCTTATTCTCTGTCCTGGCAAGAACACTGAGCAGAGGTGCGAGGAGACTGTCAAGCGAAAGATGTCTGACAAGGGTTGTCTTCATTATACAACAGAATGTCCCGATTGCCAGGAATCACTTATGATGGTAGAGATGGAAGACCATCGGGAAAATTCATGTGATGAAAGAAACAGGCACTGCGAGCGTTGTGGTGCAAAGCTTTTACGTTGCAAGGAGACCGAACATGAAAAGGAATGTCCCGATGCCATTGCACCTTGCAAGTGGATGGAGTACGGTTGTCAGCATGAAGCAAAGAGAAAAGACCTGCCCCTTCACGTGGATGATTGCAGCTTTAAGTTGGTTGGTCCAATGGCAGAAATTCTCAAGAGAGAAATCAACACGCTCCGATCCGAGGTCCGTACTCTCACTGAGACAAACCAACTCCAAGAACGGCGAATCAAATTTCTCGAGAATGGCTTCAAGGATCCCTATCGACCTTTGGACTACTCGGATTTCTCCGATCAGACGCTTTCCGCCATTCAAGAAGCTGGCAACCCTGAGCCTCTCAGTGCCGGCAACGAATACCTGCTGTCTCTACTCGAGGCTCAAGAGAGTAAGATGAGTCAACTCTCTGCTGCTATGACCGAGAATGAGGCGAAGCAGACAACCTTACTCTTTAATGAAACCATACCCATCAAGAACGAATTGGCCGAAATCAGAAGTATGCAGCAGACTACAAGCATGCACGTTCGTTGGTTGTTGAGATTCCGCTTACAAGACAATCATCGAAGACTTGGAACAGGACCTGGCTCAAATGGCGGTTCAGATGGCGGTGGATCAAGCAGTGATGCACCGCTGCCACGAAGATTGAGTGACGGACTGTCGAGAGATATTATCACAAAGTTGTGATGCCAGAGTGGCCTAGAAACGGGGGCAGCATTTGGCAGTTGCTCATACAACGCATTGCATTTGGAAGGGACATGGTTGGCGTTTAGGGCTTGGATGGCATGGATTGTAGAGTCAAATTGTGTATACCCACGGGAGGCTCAGGCTTCGGCGTTACGGTTCATAGGAGACTCGAGATAGACAAAAAAGGGACACCTATTCTCAATGTTCCAAGTCAAGATGGATATTTCAAATTGCCTCTACGTGCCATCGATGACACCACATTTTAAAGGACACAATGTGATTTGAGAAATTCGCTGAATGCGGAAACGGGTGGTAGAATATTAGTTCCACCGTGTATAAAGGTTCTGTGCATCTTTTCGTTCTGCTCATAATTTCAGTCATCCCGGCCAGCCAGGGCAACATGAATATCCAAAGACTCGCTCGTTCTCATCAATCGTAAGCCATAATGCCCGAAGTATGTGCAAGAAACAGATTCAACCTAGCAAGGCGCCATCACAAGTAAAGAAAGTCCACTCTCCGCATGGCATCTAAAGAAAAGAAGTGCAGACCACCGCAAGCGAAGCAACTCCCAGCAATACACTCAGGCTGGATTTCAAGGTTTCGCCACCGTTCTTTTTCTTAGTCGCCGATGGTGAAGCCTCAGAGCTTGTTGGGGAAGCTCCGTTGGGATTGTTACTCTGATCATCGGCCAATATGGTAATCGCTAGATTCTGCATGATATCTCCATTGCTCTGCTGGACAACCTGGCTGACCTTTGAGGCTGTGACAGGCACCATCTTTCCGCTGGGAGCCGGACTGATGCCGTTGTCAATAAGTGTCTGTGCTCCAGCAGGAACATCGGGGATGGTGAAGTTACTACTGAAACCAGAGGTGGTGATCAGAGAAGAGGTGCATTTTGGCGGGGTGACGGAGACGTTCTGAGCAGATAGACCCTGAAGATAAGTGACGTTGAGAGTATTAAACTGCTTCTGCAACGTGTCGTAGTCGACGAGGAGCTGAGCAGAACCGTTGCTGTTGATTTGCACAAGACCGTAGTCATCAGGCTCTTCGGAATATTCGTAAACCATACCGCCAGATAAGACCGGAGTCATTAGAGGACCATATATGACTGGGACTTCTGTAAAGACTCGAGGTGAAGGTTTATTGCAACCATATTCGGAGAAGAATACGGGGACACTCGTGCTGCTGAAGTCTGATACCAGTACATCGTAGCTTGACGTTGTGAAGGAGGAGGCTCCACACCATGAGTAGCTGTTCAGGGCAAAGAGGTCGGCTCGGGATGGGTCTGTAGAGGAGCCCGTAAGGGTACATTGAAGATAATTCCAAGTATCAACCAGAATTGTCCGGACATCTGCAGCACTGTAGCTAACGGGTATACTCCTCTTGGAGTGCTTCGCAATGTAGTTTTTGAGGTCCCGGATGACAGCCTTGACATGTAAGGAATTGCATAACAATGAGTGTAGGCCGGACTCACTCTCATATACGGTGGCACGACTCCACCTGAGGCGAGATCGTTGATAACCTCGTTTCCAGCAAAAAACAACAAGGTATTCTCATACGACTTGAAGGCCTCTACAACGGCAAATGTCCGATTCAGGTATGAGGATGTGTAGGTGGTCCATGGTGCGCCACGATCGAGACTCTCTCCAGCCAAGGGGGAGTTAACGTCAATCAACATGTAGATGCCAACCTAGCCCAATCTTAGCCGTGCACCCAATAAATTTTGTGGATTTGCAATTGACGAACCGCGTTGAAGATTGAGGCGCACATATCATGGTTGAGGTCAGGATCGACATTATAAACACGAATAGCATTCACGCCTTGTGGCTATCAGCATAGTCCTGGGATTTCCCAACGCTCATCTACACACCCAACCGCTGCATCAAAGCAGCATCTCGAAGGCAGACAGTGCCATCACTCAAGGGATCGATGCCAGAGCCCGGGTTGTAACCGGAACTTCCACCGGGTTGATATGCGACTCCAAGAAGCTGGAACCTATTGCCGGTGACTGCATTCACGAGGTCCGAGCCTTTCACCACAATCGATTGAACAGCGAGGGTGGTCGCGCAAAGCGCAAGGAGCGCGATCTAGATACAACATCAATTAGCAAGAGTTTCCAATATGAATTTGCGCTAAAGAGTCACGAAACGACGTTCGACGGGATTGCGCATGAAACAATGGGAGGCGGGGTTCTCCTACGGCGCTGGAAACAAGCATGGGGAAGGACCGAATTTCCAATGTTTTTCTCGCAACACAATTGCAAACGAGAGATGGGTGCCTAAAGACACGAGCGGTAGTGACTGCGTAGAAGAGGAATTAAAGAGAGATTCCCCAGAAAGTTGGTTTATTTGGTTGTTGCTTCCAAAGATGAGTTTAATCTTGGTTAAGAGTTACCCTTGCCTATTTGAAACAAGCGTCTCGGGAGATCGGCTGCTTTCGATTTAGGGGGGCGAAAGCTTAAATCCTCACAAGCGAGACTTCAGCTTCCAGGGTGAGTTATTATTCAGATGCATGACCAAGCATCCAAGGGATCAAATGCAACTACTCTGCCGTTATTCAAGTGTTTCACACCCCAAACCCCTCTTCCCTCTCCTCGTAATCCTCGTCACCCCCCTGTTCTCCACTCCTTTCCTTGAGCTGCGTGTTCTTTGGTGTCAACCTTGATTTCTCCCCCCAGACCTGACATTCATCACAGAAGCCCTTCCTGTAAATGTGTCTCACTTCCTCAAACTCACACATCCTCGTATGTCGATACTTGTAGCAGTACGAGTGAACATCAGTCTCTTTCGTGTGAGCACACTCTGTGAAGATGGTTTCCCATGTAATGCACATTCTAGCTTTTGTTGTTGGATGAAGGTGGCTTGATTGTCCAGGAGATAAGTTGGTAAGTGGAACGTTGAGTTAGAACCCGAATTTTGAAACGAAACAGCAGGCTGTATCAGCCTTTGGAAGGACATGCTGGTGTGAATGGGACAATAAATATCATCACCTGAGTGGTTGGAAATCCCATACGATTCACACGCACATATGAGCTACCGGTATTAACTTGTTGCATTCAAGTTATTTCCCTCTAAAGTCCTGCGAATTCGTATAACGGGGCAATGCCCCTTCTAATCCCTCCAAGCTGTGGAACAATGTATTGCTCAACAGCATAGATGACTTAAGGTTGCTCTTTCTAACAAGCTTGCAGGTGTAGCAGAGTAAACTTCGAATTCTTAGGACGCAAGCTGTGGAAAACTGTCAAGATATGGAAGGCTGCACTAGAGGTCACCACACGCCCGTGCTTAGAATGTATAACATTTTCAAACCTATTTACACGAACAGTCTAAACAACTTAATGGACGATTATGAGTATCTATTTGTAAAGTCCTGAGCAAATTTGACGCCACGATTTGCTCTGTACAACAAATGCCCAAGCCTTGAATGCAACCTTTTCATCATCTCATCTACTTAACCCGTGAACTCCTTCACCTTGCTTTCGGCCAACCGACCCGGAATGAGAGCAAGGGGAACAATACCGCTAACGTGCATCTCCGGTCCATAAACATGCATGTCTAGTTGCAGCTCTTGGCCGACAGCCTTGATGTTTTTCAAACCCTCTTGGTAGTTAGGTCCAGCACGTCTAACCCAGATTTGAACCTTGTGCTCGACGAGCTGGGAGGAGACCTCTCGAAGAGCTCGGATGACACCCTTGAATGTCGAAGCGACGTTGGTAAAGTTGGCAATACCACCACCGATGAAGAGAACCTTGCCCTCAGGATACATTGGAGCGCGGAGCATGAGGTCGAACACTGTACGGGCGTAGTGATAGGTCTGGGTCTCTGTTGGAGCACCAGAGTATTCACCGTAGTTCGCAAGTTGATCGGCAAAGCCACTACTGGCAATGGCATCGGCATAGACAACCGACGCACCACCACCAGCAACCAGGGTCCATACGCGACCATTTTGGTTCAGGATCGTAAGCTTAAGCGATGCACCAGTCTTCGCATCGAGCTCGGCGATGTAGGCTTCTTCCTTACTCATCTCACGACCGAAGGGAGCAGGGAATTCCATAGGTGGTCCAGCGTCGATGTTAACCTTTCCATCCGTTGACTTGACAGCGGCCATGCCCAACGCAGCGGGGGATCGTGCAACGGCCCATTTGACACCACACTCGAATTCAGCGGTCTGGTCGAGCTTGGCTGCCAAATCCAGGAAGTGTACCTCAGCAGATGTTCCTGCGGCGTTGGGGATGACGACCAGAGGGTTGATTTCGAGGTATGTGAATTGGCAGTCGACGTAAACAGCGTACAGTCTTGTGATGAAGTCAACAAGGACATTGTGGACACCCTTGGGAACCTTCTTCAAGAGCGTTGCAGCAAGTTCCTCGTTCGAAGGGTACTCGGAAAGGTCAACGGAAATGAGAATCTTCTCGGCTTTGGCATCGACATCACCAACGTCGACACCTCCCTCGTGTGTGAAGAGGATCCAATCGCCCTAAAAGGAGAAGACATGGTCAGCACGTGGCATGTGATAGATAGACATTCTGATTGGAGGAAGCATCGATTGCGGAAGAAAATAAACTCCCGGCTCGCAAGGACGAACGGAGGTGACAGCGGCAACTATCAAGCACATGCAGATACAGGTCCGAAAATGCATGTCGATTCGATGGGGTTTGGAAGAGATGTGGGCCTCCTGAAATGTGATCCCTGGCTTCCGCTCGCCCGCTGGATATCTCGCGCCGAAAATTGGAGTTCGGCCGAGCCACAAAAAGGTCGTTGTAACCCACATTCATATGGGAAAATTGCACCAAGTTTAAACGACCTTTTCGTACATCCGCATGCCATTTGGTCCGGGATTTACCGGGAGGTTATATTTCGACTTTGATCCTAAAACTTTTTGGACAATTCGGACTCTCCCAATTCCCACTCTTCTTTCAAGCTGGACAAGATAGAGGAGCGAAGCTAGAAAAAGGCAAAACTTACTTCTCGCTGAGAATTAATATTGATATAGTACTCTGTTCCCTCGGGATGCGGTACGAAAGGCTCGACCAGGAATTGTCTGAGGACGCCGACCACAGTCTCAACCTTCTGCGGCTTTCCAGCACGGGCGGCAATCCATGCCTTGGCTTCTGGCCATGTCTTGTTCAGTGCTAAGAGACCACTCTTGCCTCGTCGTTTGATGAGTTGATCGGGCTTGGCCACGAATTTGGCACCAGGAGCCAGGAGCCATGGATATGAGACCTCGGCTTGGTCGAGAATTGCAGAGACCTCAGCATCTTCTGGGAAGTAGAGGGAGGCGAGTTTGGAGGGAGGATTGTGGGTAGTGGACTTGGGAAGCGGTGAGGGCTTGATGACGGGGGCCCGTGTGAGGTGGTAGTTGAGGATGGCCTTGCCGTCAGCTTCGAGGATGGATTTGGCGGCCATTGGGAAGGAGTTGAGGTATGTTTACTGCTCAATTCCTGTCAGTGTGCGGTGCTTGCAAGGTGGTTGTTTGCTGACAGAAATGCTAAGCTTGTATGTATGAAAACAGTCTTCAGGACGTGGTTTTCGTTGAACGCCGGGCCACTGGGATTTCCTGAAACAATCGGCCGAAGCGTTGATTGACGCAGCGGACCCAATTGAATGCGGCGGCCTTCTGGACCGAGAAGGCTGAGTGGCGCTTGGGGGGGTTGGGACGAAGTGGGAGGGAAAAGAAAGTGTTCAGGGACCGAATTCGAGGGGCAGCGATGCGATGCGAGGGATTCAAACATGAAAGAGACGACGGGTCAAACGTACCAGAGGATTCTTTATCAAGGCGGGGGTGGATCTGGTGTGGTGGCAGCTCGAGCGCAAAGATGTTGGCGGATCAGCAGGATTTGGGAATGGAATGGTGTTGGAGGTGAGGATTGTTGTCGACCTGTGCTGTGCTGGGCTCGCAACAGTTGGGGACCTCCGTCGTGGGCCGTGCTGGTACGGCATTGGTTGGTGCAACTTGGTGGTGGGCACAGCATCGGCCACGGAAGCTCTTCCTCGTGTCCCAGGCTTCCTCCCACGCCTCCCTCCCTCGCCCTCACCGTAAAAAGGTCGATTTCACTGCTAGCGCCTCACTCCCCCAACCAGACAGGGGTCGGCTCGCAGGCATCCTCTCAACATCCCGCCGCCGCTTCCCACACCCGCTCTTCTCGGTGGTCCGTACCTGTTGCACCCCGTCACCCGTGGTTCAACAACGAAACGAGTCAATCGAGTTGACCGAATTGGCCTGACTTGCTCGCTCTTGCGCCAACTCCGTCAAATACTCGACCGCACTGCACTCTGTCCACCCTCCTCCCATCTGCGCGACTCTTCACCTCCACGATTGTTTGCCTCTCTTCTCTCGTCTCTCGTCTCGCGTCTCTCTGCTCATCCGTTCCTCGAAACCCCCGGGCCCTTTTGTTCCTGCGATCCCGTCTCGTTTGATGTAAGCCGCTTTTTTTTCTCGCCAGCTCCCACCCGAAATCCTCCCCAGCTGCATTGGCCAAACACCAGAACAATTGCCATCTCTAACGCTGCTCGGTTTTCCAGTTTCGTTCCTTTTCACAATCTTCACGATGCCGTCCGTCACCACGAATGGGACGACTCCCAATGGCACAGCTCCCAGTGCTGGCCTCTCTGCCAACGACAACATCCGCCGCTTTGCAGCTCCCAGCCGGCCTCTGAGCCCTCGTGCTGAGCACACTCTCTTCCACGACAAGACAAGATGCTTTGTTTACGGTCTCCAACCTCGGGCCGTCCAAGGCATGCTCGATTTCGACTTCATCTGCAAACGCAAGACTCCCTCCGTTGCAGGCATTATCTACACCTTCGGTGGACAATTCGTCAGCAAGATGTACTGGGGCACCAGCGAGACGCTGCTGCCAGTCTACCAAGACGTAAGCAAGGCCATGGCCAAGCACAGCGATGTCGACACCGTAGTCAATTTTGCGTCGTCACGGAGTGTATACAGCTCGACCATGGAGCTCATGGAATACCCACAAATCAAGTCAATTGCTATCATTGCTGAGGGTGTCCCGGAGAGGGTAAGTCTGAACTGCTCTCCAAGATTTGGCTGGGCTAATTTGTATTTGTAGCGTGCGCGTGAGATTTTGCATGTTGCCAAGAAGAAGGGTATTACCATCATCGGTCCTGCGACAGTCGGCGGCATCAAGCCCGGATCTTTCAAGATTGGCAACACTGGTGGTATGATGGACAACATTGTCGCATCCAAGCTCTACCGCAAGGGGTCAGTAGGATATGTTTCCAAGTCCGGTGGCATGTCCAACGAGCTCAACAACATTATCGCCAACACAACAGATGGCGTCTACGAGGGTGTTGCTATTGGCGGTGACAGATACCCCAGCACAACCTTCATTGACCACCTGCTCCGATACGAGGCCGATCCTGAATGCAAGATCCTGCTTCTATTGGGAGAAGTTGGAGGTGTTGAGGAATACCGAGTTATCGAAGCGGTGAAGACCGGAAAGATCACAAAGCCAATTGTCGCCTGGGCCATTGGAACTTGCGCAAGCATGTTCAAGACCGAGGTTCAATTCGGACACGCTGGTTCATTCGCCAACTCTCAGCTCGAGACTGCTGCAATTAAGAATAAGTCAATGAAGGAGGCCGGTTTCTTCGTCCCAGACACCTTCGAAAATATGCCACAAGTGCTTGCTCAAGTCTACCAAAAGCTTGTCAAGAATGGCACCATTGTGCCTCAACCCGAACCCGTTGTTCCAAAGATTCCTATCGATTACTCATGGGCTCAAGAACTCGGTCTCATCCGAAAGCCTGCTGCTTTCATCTCAACAATCTCCGATGACCGTGGACAAGAACTCTTGTATGCCGGTATGCCAATCTCCGATGTCTTCAAAGAGGATATCGGTATCGGAGGAGTGATGTCATTGCTTTGGTTCCGTCGCCGTCTGCCAGACTATGCTAGCAAGTTCCTCGAAATGGTGCTTATGTTGACTGCCGATCACGGTCCAGCTGTTTCTGGTGCCATGAATACGATCATCACCACCAGAGCAGGAAAAGATCTCATCAGTGCGCTAGTCAGTGGTCTCTTGACCATTGGATCACGATTTGGTGGTGCTCTTGATGGTGCAGCCGAGGAGTTCACAAAGGCGTTCGATAAAGGTCTCAGCCCACGTGACTTCGTCGACACCATGCGCAAGCAGAACAAGCTCATCCCCGGAATTGGCCACAAGGTCAAGTCTCGAAATAACCCCGATCTGCGAGTTGAGCTTGTCAAGGAGTTCGTCAAGAAGCGCTTCCCCAGCTGCAAGATGCTGGATTATGCTCTTGCTGTCGAGTCGGTCACAACGTCCAAGAAGGACAATTTGATCTTGAACGTCGATGGTGCCGTGGCTGTCTGCTTCGTTGACTTGATGCGCAACTGTGGAGCATTTAGCGCAGAGGAGGCCGAGGATTACCTCCAGATGGGTGTCTTGAACGGTCTGTTCGTTTTGGGCCGAAGCATTGGTTTGATTGCCCATTATCTTGACCAGAAGAGACTCCGTACCGGCCTGTACAGACATCCCTGGGATGATATCACTTACCTTCTCCCAAGTTTGTCGTCGGGTGCACCAGGTGCCGAGGGCCGTGTTGAGGTGCAAATGTAGAATTCGTTACTGGTCGAACCCCGGGAGTTAGTTATTTGCTGTGTACCATGTAGTAGACCAATGATCAAAATAGCACAACTTTAATGCACAAGAACTTAATCAAGTCCTGATGGCCAGAAAGACGTCTCATTGCTCTTTGTTTCCTTTCCCCCGAGGTTCCCTTCACATATTGCAAAATGGTGGCTTACCTTTGCCACCAAGAGCCATATGTAGAAGTACAGCCAAGTCAACGCCGTATGCCCCCGCAACTCCAGCACATGCATATCATACACTTTCCACGTATCCTTCACCCTAGTCTGAAGGTCATGCCTCGCCAATGAGCAACTTCGAGCTCATCAACTCATCCACATGCGCCCTCTCAATCTTATCGTTCCCCTTCTCCTCTTCCTTCAACAGCACAGCCAAGACCTCAATCGGCGGTTCCAATCCCAGCTTATTAGCCCGAACCCACCGCTTCATACGTGCAATACCGATGCAAGGCTGTGACTCCGGTCAGACTCCCTCCATTTTCAAAGTAAGAGGAATGGAACTGGAATTGGTGGTAAACAAACCCCAAACTGCGAGCTCATATCAAACAACCTCAAGATCTTCTCCTCCAGACTAACATCCCCCTGGTGCACTCTCGGCGCCTTCCGCTCCGCCTCCCTCTCCTTCCAATACCGCTTGATCTGCGCATCCGTCACCTTGCTCGCTCGCTCCTCCTCCGGCGTCCGCTCGCCCTTAATCTTCTTAACCTCGACTTGAGCCTGTTCCGCTACCGCAGCTTCGGAGCTGACGTGCCCGACATCAAGATCAATCGCCTTCGGGTTGATGGTGTGCGCTTTGTCTTTCGTGGACGAGGGGGCGGCGGGCTTGGTGACTTTGTTGCCGAACGAGAGCGTCTTTTGCGAGCCTTTTGCGGCAGGTCCGCTCGAGGTGCGGGTACGGCGTGTTGCTGGCATCGTTGCTGGCTTTTTGGGAAGAAGGTTTGGGGGTCTGGAAAGGTTTGGGTGGTTGCGATGTTAAGTTGGAGGTCGATGACGAGGGGATGGAAGGTGCGTTCGCGGGGCAACGCGCTTTCGAGCTTGAGAGATTTCGCGAACAGGCGGCAGCGAATCCCCTTGCGGTAATTGGCAATTGGTCAGATTCTTTCATCTACAAAATGGTACAGTACTTCTTCATTTTAGAAACTTGTAACCTCGAGTAGAGGTTAGATTATAATGCTTGAAATATGACCTTCTTTCTCCTTGAATTGCACTTTGTATAGCCCGAGAAATCCTGCCAAGGTTCAGCTAATTTCTCTCAATCGATTCATCATCTATGTCTAATATCTTTCTCTGTACAAGGACTTTTGCAATCAAGAAAGAGCGTTAAGAGCCCCAGCAATAACACCAGTCATTTCTAATACTTTCTCATCTTCCAACCTCCTCCCAACACATTGAAGGACCACCGGAGTTCCATCATAGAACTCCGGATCATAGTCCGCCTGTATGCCAGCATCCTTCTCATTCAGCGGTTTGAACGTACTCCTTACCTTGTCAAGATTCTTATCTGCAAACGTCACTGGGAATGTACAAACTGGGTAATCTGCACACTATTAGCAAAAAATTTCCCGTGCCCTAATTGTACAAACTCACCCAGAAGATTCCAGACGCCGGTGTAGTTCACGCTGAACAGTTTTTGAGTAATCCCCAGCCTGGGGGCAGTCCATGGTGATACAGGAGTAATAATCCCATCCATAGGCCCTTTCCCATTTTTGGCAGTAGCAGACCAGCGATCCAAGTAGATTTTCTGGAATGCGTTTCTTTTTGTAATCATCTCCCTTAATTTCGTGGGACCCAGAGTTCCATGCTCTCCTTTTTTGTAAGTAGCCTCATATTCCTTCATCGACTCGAAGACTGGCTCATCATGCTTCAAAGTTAACTCAAGGATCGCAGCTCCTCCAAGTGTATAGAATGAAGAATTCATATCATTAGCCATCTCTTGATGGTGCAACGGCTCCCAGTCGAAAACTTCATGCCCTGCCGCTTCCAATGCCTTCTTGGTCATTTCAAGACCACGAAGGATCGGCGGGTGGACCGAAATATCTCCGTCGTTGTCAAAAACCATACCAAATCGTAATTTTTGTCCTTTCGGCTCAATAACATCTCCCCTCCATGGAACTGGGTAGCATTTCGGGTCTAAAGTCCAAGGAGATGCTTCTGTCGAGATAACAGCTCTACAGTACAGCTTGAGGATCTCGAGGGACCTAGCCATTGGCCCGTTATTCGAATAGATAAAATCTTGTCCACTAATGCCGGACTTCGTTCCGTAAACTGGGAATCGCCCAAAGCTGAATTTATCAGTGGCCTATTTCTTCAAAAGGTCTTAGAACTCACGTTGGCTTCAACCCATAAAGCCCATTGAAGGCACTGGGAATTCTGATGCTTCCCCCAATATCCGTACCAACACCCAAAGGACTGCCCCTCATCGCCAACAGAACTCCCTCACCACCGGTGCTACCCCCTGAGCTCGTCCCACTGTGGTACGCGCCATTCGTCTCCCCCCAAACATTGCTGATCGTCTCCATCATCATCATTGCGGTTGGTGTTGTCGTCTTGACATAAAATACAGCCCCTAATTTTGCCAGAATCCCTACAAGAACAGTCTCCTCGTTTGGCTTGGTAGGTTCATTGGCATAACAAGCCATTCCGATAGATGATGGGTGGGGCGGCGTGATCATGCAGTCTTTAAGGGAGATCGGGAGGCCGTGAAGAGCCCCTATCACCCGACCAGTCCGTTCAAGGTGCTCATCAAGAAACTTGGCGCGGGAAAGAGCCTCCGGGAAGAGGATCTCCGTCAAGCAATTTGTCTGCTTCATCAGCACAAATCCATCATGTGAGTAGAGGCCAAGGACATACTAATTGCTGAGCTACAATTGCGGCTTTGCAAAACGCTTTGGTAACTTCCAATGACGTCCATTTTCTCTCCTTGATCTTGAGGAGAATATCTTCTGCGTTCGATTCGATGATCTCTAGCTCGGCTGTTGTAAAGTGTCCCGAGGTCCTAGGAATGGTTGTGAGATTTTGTGGGAGGTTAGTGAGCGCTGCTTTAGGAAGCAAGTATTCATCAGGAATTGCTGCTTCACGACGCTTGAGAGCTATTTCGGCGATTCTTTTGTAATTTTGTCCCATCTTTGAATCTGAGCGTCTAAATTGAAGTTTCCAGGCGAGGTTTGAATGAGGCGAGTGGCGAATATCTTAGCAGCAAACTAATTCGGAGAGGCTTTAAATATTGAGAAATCCTGAAGACAGCTGAAAGGAGAGTACGTGATTGCTATCGAACAGTAATGTTTCCGATCTCGCTTGCCCGTAGCCCAAGGACAGCTCCTTCCATATCGCTCCAAGGTAGATAATTATTTACCTTAAGTGGGGGTCTTGCCAAAACTTTACCGAATTGGGCTACGGATCGCCACTTCCATATACATTCTGGTCATGTGCTCTATAACAACCAGAGAAGCAGATATGAAATTACAAAGTCCCGGACATGAAAATCTTGAATGATATGAGTCACCCGAGGACATCGATCTTCCCCCACACACTATAAGAACCACCTCAATGTTCACAGCGTTCAGTGAGGTCAACGCTGGAGAGATTTGTTTTGATTACCTATTACATATCTCTATACCATGAATTCCATCGCCCTCTTGCTCGTGATACCAGCGGCTTTCGTATTCACATTCAAAACGCCAACATTCGATATTAACAGGTTGATATCCGTATCGCTAGCTGCTGTTCCAGCTGTTACCAGCGCAATCTGCTGCCCAGCACTCTCGCACGCGTGCGTTGTAATCTTGTTCGTAACACTAGCCATATTGTCAATAGGTGCTCAGTACATTGAGAAGGCCAACTTACAATGCTATAGCCCCCGCTGAGCCTGTGCCGTCACTAAGATTTGCTTTACTGGCAGTGTTGTTGGCTCGCCCTGCTGCAGTACATGCAGAAATGGCTGCCGTATCAGCTGCACTGAGGGTGGCAGCATTGGCTCCTCCAGTTCCAAGCTTCGCGATCGCGGCCATAGCTTCTGCGGAGATGGTGAGCGTGCTTGGAGCTGTGACGCCGGCGAGAACAGTTGCGATATTGGTTGTGCTTAAAACTGAAGCTTGAGCTGAGGCCAGCAATGAAAGCACAATGATGGATAATGACTTCATGATAGCGAATGATCAAACGTGAGAGAGTGTCTTGGGCCTGTGAAGGTGGAGGTCCTTGAAGTAGCGGCGAAGGGAAATTTTTCCAATATTTATACAAGAAGTAGATGATCAACCAGCGTCAGTATTGAAAGAAGGGACGATTAAAGATCGAAGATCAAGGTGATCTTGATGATCTTATAAGATAGTGCATAAAATATTAATTATGGAGTAATACGGCTACAAATGCCTGTCAAGGGGGGTTTCATCTCATGATACATCCGAAGGGTGTTTGAGTTGTCCAAAGCGCGGCTGTCAGATGTATCAAAACTTCGCGAGCGAATAAAACATCAGAATTTCGTCTGATCTCCTTCACCACAACACTACACATGAAATAAATTCCAGAACTGTACTAGAAAGTATCACACATGAAAGTCTGCACAAAACTCAAGTAAACGACCCGAGGTAATTTGAAGGTGGAGCCTTTGGCACGGGCCCTCAGCACTGAAACACATTCTTCCCGGCAAAGAATGATGAGCTTTGGGTGATGATCATGGACACTGGGGTCGTAATAGCGATGTTGAAGACTTCTTCAATCAGTTGCTCTTTTGGCTTTGAGTAGGGGTATGTCTCCCCTGGAATAAAGCCTGTGTTCGTTGATGTTATAGAGACAAGCTGAATTGTAGGGATGATAGCTCTACCATCATCTATAGACGTTTCAACCTATAGAAAAAAGAGGTAGAACGCATATGCTCAGATGGAGTTGTGTCCTTTTGGACAAGCACGTTGATAGCATGGCTGGGAGTCAGATTCATCTCTTTCCATTTGGTAGAATGCGTCGAAGAAGCCACCATGCGCCGGTCTACCTGTACCTATGTGTTCCATTAACGCCGTTACATGCCACAGCTACGTTCCTCATGCTAGATATCAAGCATTAGCCGAGGAAAGAGCCTGCGACATAACCTTCACTCACTGTCTAAATAATCCGCCGCCATCAATAATTCCAAGCAAAGTTCAGGCGGGATCTCCATGTCAGGTACGTCTTCTCGATTCCGATTCTTGTGGTTGTAGCAGAAGTACTCGGCGACTTTTTCCAGGACGATACCACTGTTGTAGCAGAATATTAGTAGACTATTGTAAAACAGATAGAAATCATCGCTAAACGAAAATTTTGCAAGAGATTTGGGCAGTAGCCTGCGGGGCGAGAAGAACGCGCTTTCAGATCAACTTAGTCTTCATGCGGTACCCCTCTCCAGAATGCTGGAGATTTGGGCCTATCAGACAGCCTTTATCGTATTGTAAATCATCACTGCTGTTCTCTTGCCTCCTCGAACTGTCTCCGCGAAACAGAGGTGGATCCTTCGAACCAGAAGAGGGAGAAAGCACGCCTCAGATCAAGTGTATGAGCGTCATCCAGCGTCGCTACTTTGCTCGCGGACGAGAAAGAGGGTCTGTATGCGAGGACTTTGATATAATCATCGACAAGCTTTCCCTCTAACAGATCATGCTACATCTCAAGCTTGCTCCTCTCGAATAATCGTAGATTCGTAGACCGGGCGCTCGAAATATTGATGAAATGTCGGAAAGACGTACTTGATTTCCTCAAAATGACATCGATCGCCACGTTTCGTTTCCAAGAAGCTCCCTGTTTTCAAGTAGTATCAGAAGCTGTGCCATGGCTGTGTGGACTGTTGAACTCGACTCACCAGCCAACATCTTCTTGATTGCTTTGCTGATGCACGCAGCTTCTCGCAGGACGACGAACTCAAAGCCATCGCTGGAGATGAGGGTCACGTACTTGCTCGAGCCTTGTTTCTGGCTCGAGCTCGCCATGGTTGGTTGTTTGGGCGGCTTCGTAGATGGTAGAGGACGCGATCTCGCGGGCGACGCGGTTTCAGAGGCTCATCAAGGTGTGTAATCACGTGACAAGAGCATCATTGAACCCAGCGAAGGGGAATTTTATCCTTGTAGGAGTACTTGTTACCGTATTGACAAACTTCTGGATATTCGGTGTGCTCCTTGTCGCCGAGAGCTTTGGTTTTGGTCTGTCATAAGGTGAGCTCTAAAGTTTTTCTGCTTCAAACCCCCAAACTCACAAGGTGTCTGCAAAGAAAGAATTCATCCACTCATCAAACATTCATTACATTATGGTGTCTAGCTATAGAGTAACAACTTTAACCCCGCGATTATACACACTATCAGCTATTCTTGAGAATCTTTCGCAAACCCGCAAACCGCCCCTTAATCCCCGATCCATAGCCAATCTCAACCACCGCCTTCGTAAACCGAAACCCTTTCTCCGTCTCTGGGATCGGATACCTGATCTGCTTCGGGATAGCCGTCTTGATCCCCGCCCAGCCCCACCTATCGTCACAGACTGCCTTTATATTGCACAATCCTCTCAGACCCTCCTCTCCCGCAAATCGTCCGTATCCGCTTCCCCGTACACCTCCAAAGGGCAACTGAACGGCGTAGTAGGCAGCGAAGTCATTGATGGCAACCATTCCTGTCTTAAGATGCGTGATGCATGCTTCATTTTCAGTACCTCGATTACCGAAAACAGAAGCTCCAAGACCGAACGGTGCTGAATTGGCTATCTTGCAGGCTTCTTGGGTAGTCTTGGCTTGTATGAGTACACAGATTGGTCCGAAGCATTCTTCATTCGCAATGTCCATTTCCTGGGTGACATCTACCAGGAGGGTGGGTTGGAAATAGTGGCCGGAGTGGTATTTTGGATGATTTAGTCTCTTTCCACCAACGAGAAGACGTGCACCGTCCTTGACTGCCGATTCAATGAGTTTCTCAAGTCTGTCAAATGACGAATCGGAAATCATAGCGCCCATGTCAACCTGGTCATCTTTTGGTGCGTCGAGACCAGAGCCAACTCGAATGGCCTTGATGCGAGGCTCCAATTCGAGAATGAGTTTGTCATAGACTTTTGGAGTGGCAATGACACGTTCGATGCCAATACAATTTTGTCCTGCTGCCTGGAAAGTGCCTCGAAGCAGGATTTCGACGATCCGGGGTATGTCTTTGTGAGCGGTATCCAGGACGATGGCAGCATCTTTGCCACCTAGCTCGGCCAAGACCGGGGTAAGAGATTTTGCTGCTGATGCAGCGACAAGTTTGGCCACTGGTCTGCTTCCGATGAAAGTGATATGAGAAATTGATGGATGTGATGTCAAGTAATTTGCGGTTGAAGGCCAGGTAGACACAACTTGAACCAAGTTGGAGTTCTGACCGCAAACGTGAAGAGCGCCTTTGACGATCAACGAGAAGTAAGTAGCACTCCAAGCGGTATTTTCGGACACCTTGACAACGATACCGTTGCCTGCGAAAATGGCGGAGATAATTGGCCCGACTAGGTTGTGGAAAGGATAATTCCAAGAGACAAGCGCAGCAACCACACCGAGGGGTTCATAACGGACCACATTCTTCTTATACGCCATAAGAAGGTTTGTCGGTCTTCGAGATGCGGTCAAAGCCTTCTCTCCGTGCAATATCGTCCAGCGAAGCTTCTCCACCGTCACTAAAATCTCTCCAAGCTCAGCATCGATCATTGTCTTGCCAGAATCCAGACAACATATCCTGCAAATATCGTCTTGGTTCTCAATTATGTAGTTCTGTAGGCATCGAAGGACTTGTCGGCGTTGGGAGAACGTTGTGCGGGCCCATCTTTCCTGTGCTGATTGTGCCTTTTCAATTGCGCGGTCGATGCCCTCAGGAGTTGCAGGATTTACGAGTCCAAGGAACTCGCCAGTCGCCGGCGCATAACACTGTATTGCTGTTGAACCAGGAGCCTGCAATGGGTTAGAACTGACTGTAAATCGGGCAGACTCCCTACCTTGATTGATGGGTTTTCTAGCGCTGTGCCATCCCCCGCAGGTTTGGGTACATCAATCGAGTACCTGATAATGGGCTCGTCCTCCCAAGCTTGAAACCATTTGCTCACAGTGAACATCCACCAGAGCACGAAGATGACCCCGCCGATCGAGCCAAAAATGAGAAACAACATCCTTAACAACGTCAGTCTTGTCCTGCATGCGATTGCAGCGATATGATACTCACAGCTGCCTCTCGTCCAGTTCGTCCACCAAGCCAAGGGGCGTTCCTCCTTCTTCGAGTAATGGCATCCTGGCAATTCGTGATTCGAGCTGGAGCTCACTGCGTGTCACGCTCCACCACCGTTGTGTACACTACTCGCAAATCGTCAATCGCAAAAAATTACAAAGAGATGAGCTTTGTGCCTGCTATAATCGCATCTGAGGTAAGGACAACGTGCTGAAGCGGGCAGACCTGAAAAGGTATTTAAAGGAAACGTTGAGCCTCACGCGTCGATAATTTTGAGATCTGGGGAAGGAGAATCCCTGCTAGCGCCAACTTTCACTTCAGCCTGAGCTCCCTCGGCCCTCCCACCCCTCGTATGCCTGCTTTAGGCAGCGAGCGCTATGCGGATTTGGGGGCAAAAGATGCATTTTAGAGAAAACATCGATTTTGATACGGACGACTGAGATTTCAGTGAAGCCGTTGCGGAAAGTCTTGAAATATATTAGTAGTGATCCAAGCCTTGTAGCTGAGAGTTTTGGGGAAATTTTGACAAGATCACAATGTTCCACTGTTACGTCGACAGGTACGAGTTTACAATGTTCTGAGTTTTCTGGAACGATGAGTCTTTTAAATTCAGGATGCCCCAGGCCACAACGGAGCATTGGCTCCATGGTCAGAATGTAGAATATTATATCGCATAAGCTCGACGAGAACTCAATGACCTAGCGCTTTATAGTACATCTCAATCTTGTTTTGCCTTCCATAAAAGCCAATGCAGCACTAAGTCCATGCTAATTCAACGTCGAAACCATGCAGGCACAGCGCAGAAGGCACATAGCTCAAATAAATCCATGACAAGCTTTCGTCACCGTCGATTCGATCGACATTACCTCAGATCTTCTCATCACCATCAATTTGCTCAGCCTCTCCGCCATCTTCAACCTCAACTTCATTCTCCTCGCCAGCAGTATCATCTCCAGCCTCGCTCTCCTCACTTGGGACGTCGCCTTCAACTTCAGCTTCGCTCTCCTCAGTTTCGTCATAATCACTCTTCTTGCCTTTCTTGCCCTTTGCTCCCTTCTTTCCAACAATGGGTTTCGTCTTCTTGTTTGGACTTCCTCCAGGCTGCTTTCTCGCCTCGTTACGGGAAACAAGGTGCTCAATCGGACAATTGGCCTCGTCCCACTCTTTCGTTCCAGCACTGGTATTTGCTCTGCATCTGCCGCAAGTCTTACCGTGACGGAGGAACAACTGGTGTAGAGAATATTTCAGATGGTCCGGCACCCGAACTTCGCAATGACTGAATGTCTGGTCCCTCGTGGCCTTCTCAGGAACCCATCCAAGCCACTTGCAGTGGCGCCAAACATGAGTGTCGACAGCAAAGCTTGGACGCTTCATGCAGAACAGGATAGCACACGAAGCCGTCTTGACGCCAATGCCAGGTAACTTGGTTATCTCCTCCATGGCCTCATCCGTTGTCATCTCGAAAACATGATCCATTGTAAGCAATGACTCATCGAACCTTGTGAGCTCTACATCCTTTTGTCTTCGCGTCTCATGGTTTGCTCCGAGGGCATCTGCCGGCTCACCAGTCTCTTTCTCCTTAAGCAACTCGTCACGACGACTACGGTTCCGCTCATAGACCATTTCAAGGATCTTCTTTATATCAGTGCCCTTCGTCTTCGCCAACCCGCCGGACTTGATTGACTCGATGACGGCCGAGAGATCGGCTTCATGAACTGCATCCCAATTCACGCTTTCTTTGCCAACACCAGAGGCTCGCAAACCGAATTTATCGATCAAACCCTTCAAGGACAAGTTTGCATTGTTGGCCGTGGTTGATGCACTCAATCTTGTTCTGAGTATAGCATCAAGAAGGTCAGGAACTTCGCCACATCCGGCAATGTCCATGGATGGTGGTGGGACCACTTTTGGCTGTTCAACAGCACCATGAAGCTCTGAAAGCAACCGATTAACCTCCTCGCAAGCGTCAGGAGTAGGCATGGCATGTCCCAGAAATGGCGAATAGCCTGGTGTAAGACCGTAGGGGTGTTTCTTTTTTCTCTTCTTGGATGCATTTCCAGAAGCGTCAATCAGCTCATCGACCTTGTCGAGAACATCTTTTGAGGTGTCGAAAACTTTCCTCATGCGAGGAGTTCGTTTCTTCTTCGGCTTGTCCTCTTGGAAAGCCTCGTCCTTGATATCTCCATCCTCACCTACGATCTTGACAGTGTTGGCCGCACGGCGACGACCACGTCCGCTACGAACTGGAGTTTTTGGCGTTGACTTCTGGTCATCACGATTTTCGGCACCGTCGACCTTCATCAGGAACTGTGTGAGATTGGCATCATTGGTAGAATGCTCCGACTTGACTCTGTCTCCATTGGCCTCGAGCATCAAGGAATCAGCGCCCCTTGCAATGTCTCCTTGTCTGGGACGCTTGCCAGCTCGTGTAGGTTGGGCCTCATTAGATAATACCTGGTCAATGTTCGATCTATCAGCCAGATCACCCTTCTTGCCAAGTCCATGAGGAAGGACGTCCCATCCACCCGTAATGGGCTCAGGGACGGTTTTTCTTGTCTCCCGTTTCCTCTTGGCAGGGAAACTTGGTGTGGGACTCGGCAGTATTGCACCAGAACCTATGCCTTTCGAAGCCTTGATTTCGAGAAGGGTTGATTGTCCATTCTTGTCTGATCGATTAAATTAGTGATGAGTTCCATGACCTGGTTCCAAAACTCACATCCGTTGCCTGCCAAGGGTGTTGCAAGAGGAGATGAGAGGCTTTCTGCACCAAGGCTTTCCTCCAGGAACGCTGCCTCACGCTCGGCAGTAGCACGAGTAACTCGAGGCATTTTGAAGGGACCACAATTAACCAGACTGGTACGGAAGAGGCGGTGTGAAGTTGGAGTGGGCGCCAGTAGCCGGACGAAGAATAAAGAAGTTGCGGCAAATCGTGATGCGAAGGTGGAGTGGACGCCAGGAGGGGACAGGCAGAGAATAAAGAAGAGAGGAGTTGCCGGTGGGAGAGGGGGAGAAGAGGAGCGAAGTTAAAGGCGAATCCCGGTGTGGATACCGCAAGCTGGAAATGGCGGGTACCGTCAGGATTGATTAAGCCCAAGGAGGCGAGAACTGCGCACCAAGCTGAATATGGCAGGAACTGTCAAGATCTGTGAAGCCCAAATGCACGGGAACTGCACATTAAGCCTAAAATGGCGATTGCAGGCAAGATTTGTACCTCAACCCGAAAGATTTATACTTTAAGCCGAAAGCAGTGAGAATTGACAGCATAAGATGGGTGAGTAAGTGAAAGACCTTTTATAAATTTGGTGATTCTAGGAAGGTGCGTTGAAGATCTTGGCGGAAATTGACAAGGGAGACTGGAAAGCGAGTTCCCAAACATCGAACTGCTGGTACTTGTTCTTTGGGACCCAGATAAGAGGAACGATAATCAGGCAGGCTGGAAGGTTGCCGGAAAGAGTTCCTGATCGAAGTTTACTGAATACAAGGCGGGTGTAGTTGGAGTAGTGAGGAAGTTAATTTTGGAAGCGAAAAAGAGTTGTTTGTGATAGTGGTTCGATCGAGGTGCAACGAGGGTTGCTAAAGCCCGAGGAATGATTGCCGAACGCAGAGACAAGCAGGGGAGATTGGAAAGCGCTTCTTCTACTGATACTCAAGTTAGCCGAGGACATTCAGGGCATGCTATCCATCTCTGGAATGAAAGGTAACACTAAAACAAACATGACAATCTGCTTACCTTATGGACTCGAATGAGCCCTACTGTCAGAGAGCTTGCTCGAAGGAAACACCCTAGAACCTAGGTCGCCTCCAAGGTTTGAAGTGACCACAAGGTATTGTGATTTCAAGCCCAGATACACCGACTAATCGTCTCTATAGAAGAGAGGAAGTTGACCTAAACTGACAAAATCTGGAAAGGATACCGTGTCTACCCGAGGACAGGGGTAAAACCGAGTCGAAAACGGAGTTTTGAAGTTGCAGATCTCGAGCTGTCACACAACTCAAAGCAATCAGCAGAAACCCAACAGTTCACAGCGGAGTACCCTTCGCATGATATTTGCCTTTCTGCCGAAGGCGATTTGGATGGAATGGTGGAAAATGTTGAGGAAGAAGGGAAGCAGTCAATGACGATGATGAACAACAAGGCTGATCTACGTTCGAGGTCGTCTTAGCCTCGCGCTAGTAACTCGCTAATTAAGCGAAGGTCCGTGCATCGCCTCCTTTTACACTTCCCCTTCGGGCTATCACAGAGATTTTGAGTGGCATCAGCGCAGCTTGGTCCTGCGCCGTGCCAAAAAAGGACTTTACAAGGCAGTGTAATTCATCTCTTGAAGGAAGGGAGACAACATTTGGAAATACCTGCTTGGACCATATGCAAAGCTTATGATGGGAGAATTTTCGGAAAGGGATCACAGGATCTGCTTGGAGAGTATCTTAAAAGGGCAAAGATTCTACAGTACATGCAAAGCTAAACTCCATGAAAAGTCAAGGAGACCGCCACTTTTATGTGTACGATATCCAGTACAGCGTCAATTCTCCAACCCGAATTTCACTCATACCCTCTGTGAGGATCAGTAGCAAAGTTGTGCAAACTGTTATTACTGTCAGCTTCTACTCCCTTAAAAATGTTGGAACGAACATACCTGATATCGTGGCGGTCTCTGACTGGAGGTGTACCAGATTCCTCTCTCTCGCGTTTGCGTCTGGCATGTCCATTCGCATCTCCGTTTACAGTTTTGACGGTACCATTGATTTCTGGCACAACTTGGCCATTCACATTTACCTTAGCACCTTGTGTGACCATTGCCACCTCCGTTTCGCCGGCAACTCCGTGTATAATGGCTTCCTTTGCCTTCTCCAGGACCTTCATCTTTCGATTCTCGCCTCGAAGTCTTTCCAGGTGCTCAAAATATCCAGCTGTCACTGGAGTAACGTATTTACCGCAGAACACACCAATTTCAAACTCCTGAGCTGGGCCCCGGGGAGAGAGCTCAGCACAGGCTGCTTTCAGATCCTCAAGCGACTGATAAATGACCTCTTCGGCACCGATGTGCTCCGCAATTGCCTTACGATCTCGGTTGTGTGCTATGAGCTCCTGGGGGGAGGCGAGATCGATTCCGTAAATGTGGGCGTGCGTGATAGGAGGAGAGCAAGAAGCGAAAATAACTTTCTTTGCACCAGCTTCTCGGGCCATGCTAACAATTTCTCTGCTGGTTGTACCTCGGACGATGCTATCGTCGACAAGAAGTACAGTGCGGCCTTCAAATTCGGAAGGGATGGTACTCAGCTTTCGACGCACAGATTTCTGTCGAGCACCTTGGCCTGGCATAATAAAAGTTCTGAACACATAACGGTTCTTGACGAATCCTTGAACGTACGGAATCTTAAGTCGCTCAGAGAGGCTTGCTGCTGATGTGTTGGAAGTCTCGGGAATTGGGATGACCACATCGATCTCTTTGACGGTTTCCTCGTCAAGCGTACGGACTATGGTGTCTGCGAGCTTGTATCCCATATTTTGCCGACTGTGATGAACGCTAATGCCATCAATGATAGTATCAGGCCGCGCAAAATAAACAAACTCAAAGATATCTGGTGAGTACGCAAGCTGAGGAACAACTTGGCGAAAGACGGGCGCGGCGCCTTTTCGAATGATGACAGCTTGGCCGGGCAGGATGTCCACAATATTGGAGAAACCTAGTTGGCGCAAAGCAACTGATTCAGAGGCCATCATGAAATCGGTAGCTCCAGCTAAACTTCCCGATGGTCGAGATCCGAGAACGAGTGGTCGAATGCCGTACGGATCCCGGAAACCAAGAATACCAAAACCAGCTAGCATTGCAGTACAGGCCCAACCACCAGTGCATCTCCCGTACATCCGCTCCAAGCTGCTGAACAGGTCTTCTTCGTTGACACGAGCTTTTCCAGTCTCGTTGAGCTCATTGGCAAAAACGTTGAGCATCAACTCACTGTCGCTATCAGTATTGACATGTCTGTGTGCGTCCCTGTCCAAGAACTTTCGGAGGTCTTCGGCATTGATCAGATTTCCATTATGAGCGAATGTGATCCCGTATGGGCTGTTGACATAGAACGGCTGTGCCTCGGCGCTGGCACTGCTCCCAGCAGTAGGGTATCTCAAATGGCCCAGGCCCATAAAACCGGGAAGATCTTGGACCCGGCTACCATCGTTGAATACCTTTGCAGCCATGCCATTTCCCTTACACTGGTATATGCGGCCTCCCGAAGCACAAGTAGCTATGCCACACGCGTCTTGTCCTCTATGCTGGAGATAATAGAGAGCATCATGAAGGTCGGCAGCAGCAGTCGTCGAGCTGGGATCGTCGATATGGCCGAGGATAAGTCCTAGAATGCCACACATTGCGACAGCAGGTGATTTTGAGTTCTAGGAGTTCCTATCACCGTGTCAGTGTGTTCAGGAATGTAGCTGCTTGAAATGAGGGATAGAGATGTGTGTGGTTCAGGCAAAATTTTCATCCGCAACGTTGAATAGGAAGTCTAACATCTTAATAATAAAGTTTTCTATCATCATAACCACAGAAGACCATGCGCAAAACACTGCTGAAGACAGAAGAGAGCAGCAACTTACGTCAGTGTTGCTGTTGAAGAATTTTCTGTTCGAGACGCGTCTCGGATTAACTGATAACGGGGTGGGTTTAATGGCGGAAAGGGTGAAGCATTCTCAACCAAGGGGCTTCTTCTTCTCCGGAGGGGGGTGGTTCTCAAGTCGAGTGTGAAGTTGCGTAGCGTTGCCGGGAATTATTGGCCACATTTTGAAGTAGTTAGAATTCATCCCACTTCGCGTTGCGAACTTTTTATGTTCGTGGCTAGGCTCGGTTCCACCAAAAGTGGAATGTGGGGTGCAGCTAAACGGTTAGGATGACATTCCAGAACAAGCTGATGCTGCAGTCTGCTAATAGGAAAATAGAGAATTCCTGGGCTTGAGATTTCTGTTATAACATTCTGTAAAATTATTTCACAGTTAAACAATTCCTATGGTGTTCTCCTGGTGCGTTGATGTAAGAGGTTCCGATTGGCCAATCGATAAGGAATGGCGCTAACGTAACTTGATTGCCCGTGTTCCGATATGAAGCTTCTCCGCAACAAATTGCAATGTCCTCAAATCCCATTTCCTTCAACATGGCTAGCCTGGCAAAATTATGCTTGATCGAACACGGAAGGCAGAGGTTAATGGTTAAGCAATCATTTACTGCCATTGCCATAGATAGATCTCTTATTTCGGTCAGTCCTCGCCTCTAAAGAAGTCTTGCTTCAAGTTCTCATCATTTTCTGTCACATGTCTACAATGAAGACAAACTATCTCTATCATGTTTCAGTTACTGATGTTAACCAATCATCAAGTCATTACTTAGTCAGGAGCTAGGCAGCAGCGTATTTAAACACCACAATTATTGTCTTGTCAAATGTAGCGTCATTTTCCCTCATGGCTCTGAGCACAGCATTATTTCATTAGGATATCAGTCTCCTTTTGAATCAAAGGACAAAGGCTGACAAGAAACAACACTACTGTCGTCTTTTTATCTGTGTTGAATACCTGCAGACACCCAGGATCTATTGATAGACTAGACCATTGTCAGCCTTCAAGAAACACTTTCTAACGTCAAGAAAAGCAGCCTCAGAAACTATTGTCTCAGGTCTGTTGATGTTGTGAAGAGCATAAATCGTGATATTATAACCAGATCTTCGTCAGAAAGTGAGCAATGAGAGGCGTGGACCCTAACAAAGCTTGAATGAGGTCCCTTAATTAAGCAATTATAACTCTCCAGAAATTCCCAAGGTTTCCGATATCATCTGCGGGATATTCCAACTGCGGGGCAATCGTACAAGCTGACCGCCTCTGCAATTGAGCCTAGTTGGTGAATTATTAATCGAAGGAGCCTCATTCCAAGATACATCCCCTGACTTCCATACCTTCCGGTGCCCTCGCCTCCAGATCCCGTTAACCACAAAGACATCAAGGAGCGAATCCCAATACTACGCCGAGTTTCTGACTACCACGTTCCAGGAGGCATTGAATCTTTCACAGATCTGTCACATCTCAGAGTACCACATTTATCTAGTCAAATTCCTTGTTGCGGAAGCCTCCAGTCAAGGCGCCTACCTTCGACTAATTTCTTGTCGGAATACTTTCCTCCAAACTGCAGTTGTAAGGGTGACGCAGAAGAGCGAACCCTAATGCCAAAACAAATTTCCGTTCTGTGAGAGCATAGAAGGAATTAAAATCTTGTAGGTACTTCCTGCATCCTCGATCCGAGCCGGTGAATATCTCACTTTAAGGTTCTCCACTTCCCGTCATTATTCCCTCATACACTCTATCCTATATTGCCTTTTAGTGTCTAGACACTGAGGAGCGAACCCCATATCAAGAGAAAACCTCCAACATTACATAACCGCAAACTAATTGAAACCTGCACAGATCTTTCACATCGCGATGGCTCCACTCCGGCATCGATCTATCATCGTCATTGATGATGAAGATGATGTGGCAGTAGATGACGATTTGATAATCCATTATCATGGTATGATTCACCTTCCAGTTTCTGTTGTCATCTCTTCGATCAGAATCCTTTATCATCACATCACATCGAGCTGGCTGCAGCTGCTTCATGAAGAGTTCTGAGTGGATCGGATTTCACACGCTGGAGCTTGCGGTTCATCATTTCGTTACAGCACTTGTTAACTTTCCATGAATAGGACCCTCTTACTCATCTTCTTCGCAAGTCGCCAAGCCAGCATCTACTCCGGGAAATACCTCTCGTCAAACCACCCCTGCCGTTCAACATATCTCGGAATCTCTGGATAAACGTTGCACTTCGAAGTTACCCAAAGCTTCTATCGTTTCACAGTTTCGAAGTCTTGATTGGAGTCCTAAGACACCTCGATCAGAGAATATGACGCCAATTCAGCCCAACAAGCCCAGTCATGCTTCCAGAATCTCGTCGATGAGCAGCGCATCGAAAGAGCGTGAGAGATCATGTACTCTTTCGCTTTCGCCTACAGAGCAGTCATGGATCAATACATCAATGGGCGGAACTGCTGGAGAACCGATTGAACTTCTGGCCAATGACTCTGGTGGAGAAGCCGAAGGAAAAACAGCGGAACGCCCAAACAGAAAAGGGCGATCTAGGGACAACGGATCTTATTCTCTCGTCCCAAAGAGCGGAGCTGGCCAACTCCAGCAATATATCTTGCTAGATGACGATGACAAAGACGGAGATGAACCACCGAATGCACTGACTCGAAGTTTGAGAAGACTCCCCACCGCCGACGATGAGCTGATTGATCTTGAGGAAATCGAAGACGACTTGCTACAACTTGATGATCAAGTGCTGCAGATTGAAGAGGCTTATTTTGGAGAGGCAAGACCACAAGATGGCAGAAAACCTTCTAGAGCAGTGAAGATCGACCCCCGAAATACCGAAATTGTCTTCCCGTTTGTGAGAAAAGAGTCTCTCAAGCACATTGGCAGCACGCTCATCCCAAATAAGACAGTCGAGTTGAGTGATGGTAGCTTTCTGCGCATCAAGGATGTCGTACTCAACACTCAGACGAAGGCGGTGACATTACGTGGGCATCGACTTCAGAGAACTCGAGATATGAACGGGATGCTCGAGAAGAAGATGAATGAGTGTCTTCTTTTCCTTGAAGTTGATCTCGACGATCACAGAGACCCGCTGGCGCAAGCTATTGTTGAAACTCCGCTCACCGAGGTCGTCCAACTTCGGAACGTGCGATACACAAACGAGAAATTCCCCATCAATAGGAATTTAGACTTCAATGAGTTCAACACTAAAGATGCGGCGCTCGAAACTGGTGGTTTAACTGCTCGCTGGAAGTACACCTGCCGATACGCCTCTGCAATCAACAGATATCATAACACTTTTGAAGAACGATCCTTGGAGCGTCTCATCCTGGATGAGTGCACCAAGGGATATTCTACCCCAGACGCAGCTCGTCGATTCAAGTGGCGGGGTGAAACTATTCTTGGCGGTGCCTACCAACCTACTATTGACAAAGGGGGGGCCATCTTTCTTGCAGAGAGTCGCCAAGGGAGTATTGTCAGCATCAGAAGCTCAGAAGAAGCTGATGAATTTTCTCTCGTGCACGTTCATTCAATCGACGACTCTTCTGACGAAGAGGACCTCCGGAACTTCGTCAGAGAAAGCTGTTCCCATCCCAAAGTCCCCAAGCGAAAGCATAGCCAGCTAGGAGCTTCCTCTTCGAGGCGGGTCCCTAGCCGTGGACAAGGTCAGAAGAAAATGAGACGTGCAGAAGAGGAATCCGTGAAGGAAACCAGGGAGGAGATGTCAAGAATGAGTCTGCAGCCTGGTCAGAAAACGGGATCCAGGACCAACCCAAAGGTTATAGACCTTTCATCAAGGTTATCTGTTGCTATTGATCTCACCCAATCCGACTTGGCAACACCTCCTCGCAAAGGCTCAATACGAACAAACTCTCGCACCGTACGGCCACGAAGCATGAGAACCGCTGGTCAGAGGTTGACCTACGGTGACTCGTTCTGCGGAGCTGGTGGTGCAACTCGAGGAGCTGCTATGGCAGGTCTTCGCGTCATCTGGGGATTCGACTTCTGGAAGCGAGCGTGCGAGACCTGGGAGGCCAACTTCCCTTACGCAAGATGCTTTCGCGAGCCTGCCCACGAATTCGTTGACTTCGCGAAGCGCTATCCACATCTTGTCAAAGTAGACATTCTACATTTGTCTCCACCCTGCCAGTTCTTCTCGCCTGCTCATACGATCAATGGTGTTGATGATGAAATGAACACCGCAAGTTTGTTTGCTGTGCAGGCTGTGATTGAGGTTACTAGGCCGAGGATCGTTACACTTGAACAAACGTTTGGGATTAATCATCCGCGATTCAGGTTCTACTTCAATGCACTAATCCAAATGTTTACGGCTCATGATTTCTCCATCCGATGGGCAATCATTCCTTTGGCTCAATGGGTTTGTCTCTCTGCCATCTTTTATCTCCTAAAGCACCCGCTAACAAGCCACCAGGGTCTGCCGCAGCGACGAATGAGACTGATCATCATTGCCTGTTGGTAGGTCTTGTTCCAAAACTCCAAGCCTTGACCGAGACTGACCCCTTTGATTAGCCCTGGCGAAATTCTCCCAAGGATGCCAGCCGCAACACACTCTGAACTCGGTGGAGGCAATCCACCTCTGAAGCCCTTTACTTCAGTTCAATCCGCCCTCTCGACGATCCCTCCTCCGAATCCATTCCACCCCGACCCACTCCATGACCACGCTGCAGTCACATTCGCACCCAACAAGACCTTGATACCCTGGGACGCTAGTAAAATCCTTCCCCGAGCAATGACTACTAGTGGTGGTGGGAATTACCATCCATCGGGAAAGAGAGATTTCACCTTGAGAGAATATGCGACTTTGCAGGGCTTCCCACAATGCCATATTTTCAAGGGCAGCTATGTCAAGAAGCAGATTGGGAATGCGGTGCCGCCTTGCGTCGCGAAGGCGTTGTTTGAGAGCATCAAAAAGGATTTGGATGCGACTGATGGGGTGGAGGATGATGCGGAGTGGGTTGAGTGAGTGAGGGAAATAGTGGAATGGTGAAAAGTGTGGTGATTAGGCAGTGCGGTGAGAGTGTGCGTTGCTTTTGCATGTTTGGTTTGATTGCGTTGATATTTTCTCCCAATTTGCTGGGATGCTGACTGGATGCCGTCTGCCTGAAGTGCGCGAGATGAGGGCAAAGAAAGACAAGCTTCGAGAGCCAGGCAATGACCAGGCCAAAGAAAACATTGTTCTGTTGGGGCGAGGACCTCCAGATGACAGAAATTAGCGATAAAAGAATGATTACATGATGAGACTTTCAAACTCCATTGCATTTAATTGATATACTAAAGGCAGGAAAACATCAGACCCATGCATCTGATAAAGGGAAATAGCCCTCGCAGTTGAGACATAAAAAAGGACTTATTCTCCACTGTTCCAAGTCAAATCGAACATTTCAAATACTTCGAGTTATGGTACATTCAAAGCCCACGCCCCTTCAAATATCCTTAAGGGTCTAGAATATTGAAATTCCTCAGAGATAAATGTTTACTTGCCTTGGGACATTGAAAATTCGTGCTGCTTTTGTTCACTGCGAGAAGTCCCATCCCACGAGGAGGACTCGCATTTGTGGAGTAATGGACTTCCTATATGAAGAAGTTAGTCGATTGCTCTCCCAAAATCTTTTGTGAAGAATATAGGTGACAATTGGAAAGAGCTCAGTGATCTTGGTTAGAATGTTCATGACTTCAAAAAGTTCACTATTTTCAGTGCGTTTGTTGTAATCATAGCAGGGAATTGTGGCAGCATAGAGCTGAAAGAAGAAATATGAGGTTGCTTACCATTTATCCACAAATGACACCCTATACAGGATTCTATCTTTAGTATCAGTGAGGTTGGTATAGCAACGTCGGTTTCGAAAGAATGGAAGACAGATTCGTGAAGATAGGTAGATGCGGAGGTTCTGCGAGCCCTAGACCATTGCTTAAAGAGGTCAGCCGGAATTACTCGAAGATGCTGCGGTGATAGAAGCTTCTTTGGGAGGAAATGTTCAGAATATGTAAGATTGAATGTCATCCACGAGCACGATATAGCGACTCCGGCGAGAGTGCCACCATGCTAGGTCGATCGCAAATTATATCATCATTAGGAGTAGGGAGGGATCTTCGGGATGGAAAAGAGGAGCTGGGCATACTCACAATTAGCTTCCAAAAATCCGACATAACTGCTGCCGAGAACAAGGCCCTATAAATTCGTCCAGACGGCAGGAAAATCAAAGGGAGCACGTTGAGGTTCGACCTGTCAAATGTAATCGTGAGGACGTCAAGGTGTTGTTGCAAGAACTTCAAAAGTTTCTCGATTTTGAGCTTGGATTCAAGGCGCGCCTGCCCACATTTGGACTGGTGTCACATTAGCGCCACACGGAAGAAATTCTAGCGAGGCCAGGGCTCGGTAAACCACACACGAATTTTGGGAAATCGCAGGAGCGTCTCTTCAACCAAGCAAAACGACAAATCCTCGACACCAGCGCCCAGTACGTTTCCACAACTCTATCGCCAGTCACGAGTCTTCAAGCTGACAGGCATCCTCCAGAATCAATCACAATGGGTGACGCAGAGATCAAGGCATCATCTTGGAGACTGGTCGAGGTCGGCCGTGTCTGTCTCATTCACGGAGGTCCTTCAGATGGAAAGCTCGCAGCTATCGTTGAGATCATCGATCACAAGCGCGTATGTGGCATCGCACGAGTCGAAAAAATTGGGGGTGGGATACTAACTCACTCACAGGCTCTCATCGATGGTCCATCAACAAATACCAAGACTGCTGTCCCCCGTCAATCGATTCCTCTCGCACAACTCATCCTCACACCTCTTGTTCTCGAGAAGCTGCCCCGGGGTGCACGAACTGGTGCGGTAAAGGCGCAATGGGAGAAGGCCGGTATTGAAGCGAAGTGGCAGGAGAGCGCGTGGGCCAAGAAGCGCAGCCAAAAGGAGCGGAGACGACAATTGACGGATTTCGAGCGGTTCAAGGTTATGAGATTGAGGAAGCAAGCACGTTTCGAGGTCCGAAAGTCGTTGGCCAAGATCAAGGCTGTGTAGATGCGGTGATGGGTTTGGGATCGCGAGCATGACTGCATTGGGTTGCTGGATTCCTTTGCTTCTCAGGGAGCTTTGTATCCTACGTCAAATTTGACAGGCGTCACGAGCATATGGACTTCAAAAGACAATGAAGTGCTTCCTAGAAATAATTGCTGTGATTTTGGGCTGTGAAGGAACTGACTGTGCTCCGAGTGAAGAAAATGAGTTCAAGATTTACCCATCGATTTTAATATCTCACGTAAATCAAAATCGTAGCTACAGTCATTTTCAAAAATACAGGGTTAGTTATTGTGAAATTTGCCTTCTATGCTCTTCATCTTCTGGAGAAACTCGATATTCGGCAACCTAGGATATTTTAGCGAACGCACCCCACTGCACAAAGAGCTTCCTGACAACATCAGGGCCAGAACATCTCCTCCTACTCCACTGTCCATACTTCTAGGTGAGTTCCCATGGAATTTCAGTTAGAACAAATTTCGAAGTCCGGAAGTGCAGTTGAAAATCTGCCTAGTCTACAAGGTCAACCCTTGCGCACACGACAAAATATTGAAATCTTCACAAAGATCGGACAACGTCAGTCTGCTAACTTTTTCGACCGCAGACGTACCGCCCAGCATGTCGAACCCGCGTATCGAAGAGCTCCCAGATGATGAGCCCACGAAGAATGTCACCGCCGAGGATGAGGGATCCGAGAGCTCTGACTCTGAGGTTGAGACGGGCGAGAGCGGCCTTCCTGCAGGAGGAGCAATCGTCCACTCCCGCAACGAGAAGAAGGCGCGCAAGTCAATTGCTAAGCTCGGCCTCACTAGAGTTCCTGGAATCACCAGAGTCACTCTGAGAAGACCAAAGAACGTGAGTGGTCTCTATTTTCAATATTCAAGAGGCATGGCATGGAAACAACATCACCAAGGCTGTAGGAAAATGTTCCGGAAGCAGAATATTCTGCAGAGCCTGGCTCTCGACTACAATCCTTAAGGTACTTCGAAGGGCGCTTTGGCTAATCTGTATGCTCAAAACAGATCCTCTTCGTCATCAACCAACCTGAGGTCTACAAGTCCCCCACCAGCAACACATACATGTGAGCAATCTTGTCTATATTTGAAATGATGAAACAGCTTCTGACTCTCTTAAGTGTCTTTGGTGAGGCCAAGATTGAGGATCTCAACTCCCAAGCCCAAGCTTCCGCTGCTCAACAACTGGCTGCTGCTGAGGCTCACGACCACTCTGGACACGACCACTCGGGCCATGATCACTCAGGTCACGACCATGGCAAGGGCAAGGCCATTGATACGGGTGATGACAAGAAGGACGATGACGAGGATGATGGAGAGGAGGTCGATGCTACTGGTCTCGAGGACAAGGATATTGAGTTGGTCATGACCCAAGCAAGCGTCTCGAGGAACAAGGCTATCAAGGCATTGAAGGAGAACGACAACGACATAGTCAACTCTATTATGGCTCTCAGCATATAGGGTCCGTAACCAGTGAGGTTAATCTGGCTTGCAGTGGGGTACCTGGCTGATGGGGAAGCTGTGATGGTAGATGCTAGGACATGCCCTACATCCGGGGAGAAAACACATATTCTGAAATGCAAAAATGGATTGCATCTCCAGAAATTGTTAAGAGAGTGCTTTCGATCTTGTCTGATGTGATCCTTTGCTGCTGAGGACTGTTTGACTGGAAATCGGCTCCTTGAAGAACTCCAATCCTCTGGAAATGTAAACCAAGCCAAATCGCAAGCCATCGAAAACGGTCTCATCAAAACCAAATCCACCAATCCGTAAGGCACTCGTAAATTCCATTTGTGAACCTTAACCTTCCTCGCGATCACGTGACTATTAGCTTTCGGCAAAGCTCCAGGAATTTGACGCCAGAACTTCAGCAGACCCAACTCTCCACTCCTCAATCGTCTCAACCTCATCACAATGGCAGCCGGAGTAAGTTCAATCGCCCAATTACCTTCCAGCCGTTAGGTCGATACTTCTGCTGTGCCCGTCAGAAGCGCGGAACACTTCGTACCTCACGGAGGCTAGCCGAAGCGTTCATCTCTCTCTCCTCCGATCATAGCTAACGTATCTTCTCTCCAGCGAAGTGCAGCGCTCAAGCTCGACTGGGTTAAAGTCACCACCTCCCTCGGTCTTCGCGGCCAAACCGTCACCTCCCTCCAGGCCTTCAAGAAGCGCAACGAGGATGCCCGTCGCCGAGTAACCCAACTCTCCGAGCAGTCCTCCAAAGTCGACTTCGCACACTACCGTTCGATTCTGAAGAACCAAGCCGTTGTTGACGAGATTGAGAAGCATTTCAATTCGTTCAAGCCCGCGACATACGATGTTGGGAGACAGATTAAGGCGATTGAGGCTTTTGAGGCACAGGCTGTGAAGAATGCCGAGGAGACCAAGGGACGTGTTGATTTGGAGCTGGAGGATTTGGAGGCAACGTTGAAGAATATTGAGGAGGCGAGGCCGTTTGATGAGCTCACTGTGGTATGTGTTACCGGGACGGCACACTTCACGAAGGATGGGGCTAACGGTTATTTGCGTTTAGGACGAAGTCGCTGCTGCTCGCCCAGACATCGACGAGAAGACATCTCAACTCGTTTCCAAGGGGCGCTGGTCAGTACCAGGCTACAAGGTATGTTTGAATTGTTTGGATTACGTGAGTCGCACCAGGTCCAACTAACTGTTTAATAGGAAAAATTTGGCGACCTCTCGTTGCTGTAGACAACCACAGAGCATCTTTCCCTATGTTATCTGTACTACTGTAAATAGCGGTCCGATAGAAGAATCGAACAATGTTGGCATTTTGGCTGGAATCTACTTTGATTGTTGTGTTTTGACCAAGACGCAAGAATCGATAATCAGTACTCTCCTCCACATGAAGGTCTCACAAGTGTGCACTTCCCACTCTGTCGTCGAGGAAACTTGGTTCTCTCTAAACCCCTCCCGGCTGTGTCTAATGAAGGTTTCCTGGTGCTTATGAATTGCGTACGAATTGCGAAGGTTGCGTCCAGAAACTTTCTCACAGTCTGTCGCTCAGGACAGACATAAGCTTCTCCTCCGCCTGTACTACCTTCACCTTCTGAACGTCACATTCCAACAACTGCCGCAATCCCTCAATCATATCACTCTCCGCTTGCACCGCTCTCTCCAAATATGGAGCCTTCAACCAAAATGTATGCGGCCATCCCTCCACAACATCCAAGTTAACCTCAACACCTGCCTCTCTCAACGCCTCTGCATAGCAAACGCCATCAGAGTAATAAATATCATTTGTTGAGACCTGGATCCCTAGGTAACGGGGGAGTCAGTAATTGCTTAATTGGGATTGTTTTGGGAGAGGACATTGACTTAAGAAAATCTCGTGGAACAGTCGCAAATAGGAAAGGTTTCTCCCCCAACACTTACAATGTCTCGGCATCCCGCTCAAATCATCCGCTTCCAATGGCAGCACTGTCGTTGTCCGGTTCTCATTGTTCAGTGCAGCACCGCTCAACAACGAGGTATGAAACGCTTTCGACATTGAGGTATGCACATCTTTGAATCGATCAGGTAAATACTTGCCACCTTCCGTGGAATTACAGGTTACTGGCCCTCTCAACAACACCCCATCGATCAAATCGCTCTTAAGAGTTCGATAATGCTGTGAAATTTGGCCCGCAAGTTCTGCGTAAGGGAAAAGTCAGTAATTGGTCGGTATAGTTTGTCTCGGGAGAAAAGCAGGAGACAGCAAGAAATATTAAGAGAATTTCTTCTCAACACTTACGTCCACCAGACGAGCTCCCTATCACTACAAGTTTACCCTCTTTCTTGTGACTGGCGACCTCTTTAAAAGTGCACAGAGCATCAGAGAGTGCGTCATCAGCTGTGAACTGCGGCATCTTGCGGTAGCTAGACGAGTACACCGTGCAATTAAGAGCTTTACATATTCGACGACATGTCAAGTCTTCACTGTCTAGATCGCCGACGTAAAGTCCTCCACCGTGGAAATAGACGACAATGTTCTTCGTCACGGGACTGGATGAAATGGGGAAGTATTTTCTGATAGGAATGGAATGAGCATTAGCTGAGCCTGGATTGGGTTCCAATTTCATCTCCAAAGTGGCGATGTGCTCGGTTAGATATTTGTCTCTGTCGGCGAGCAGTTCTGCATTAACTGCTTTGCAGGTCTCGCTGTAGAGTTTCTGACTGACATTCGGGTCTGTGATGACGGGTTTGGCGGCGAGGAGATTGAAGGCTTCTTCGTGAGCGAGCCAGGCTTGGTGCAGAGGTGGTGCTTTTTTGAGGATGAGGTTGGGGTCCATTTTGAAGTTCGAGGATGGACCCGGATTTGGAGGCGGCTGCTCTCTAGAGGTTGGAAACGAGGTCTTTCCTTTGTTACGACTTGATACATTGGTTATGAGAACACTGAGGTGTGTAGTCTAAAAAAGCTATCAGCACTCCGTCAAGAATATCAGACAATCTACTATTTGATTTCATTCTAGACATTGCGTGGATGAAAGATGCATCAGGTTGTCAGGCGAGCTCGTGGAAAATTGCAAGAGCCAAAAAAGAACAACTGTGAAGCATATTTCCATCCAGGCAGCGCTTTAACTTTTAGAATATACATACTTAAAAATAATCCGCCCCTTCAGAGGCTTACCCGGAAGCACTAGCACACAACCAAGTTTTTACAAGCCTCATCAATTTCGTAGCGTATGTCTTTCAATACTGATCGAGCGGTTTCAGAATTTCCGGTACTTAAAAGGACAAATTGGGGCTTAAAAGAAGAGGATTAAGTAAAGGAAATATATAGGACATCCCCTAGCGACCTGACCTGCATTTAGCCGGGAGGAGGCTGATCCATCGAGCGGTGTTGTAACAGAGACTTTCACCCAGATGAGAAATAGCCGGCACCCTCTGCGAGCGATAATCTGAATTCGATCTGGCCCTCGTTTTACCACCTCACCTGCCCCAAATCTTAACTATCTCACAATGCAGAGTCACTCGGCCGAGGTCAAAGCCGTCCTTAAAAGATTCTAGATCACCATTAAGTGCAATACATCGCAGTAGATGAATCTTACTAGTTACTACTTAATAACTTCTCGACTGCCCATTTCACAGACAAGTTTCTCAAGTCCGTGTAATGTTGGCCAACACCAACGAAGAGGACTGGCACATTCGTTGCGTGGACCATGCTGACCAAAGTGCCAACCATATCTCCAACGGTATCACATTTTGAGATAATGAATCCATCAAGTGATCGACCACTTCCAAATGCTGCATTGAAATTTCTTGCTTGAGCAACGGAGTCTGTTCCTACCAAAGCCTATGGACATTAGCAGGGAAGGATGATTTACTAATAACAGCACTTACTTCTCCAACCATAAGAATCTTGTCTGGATTGGCAAATTTGGCGAACTTCTCAAGGGAAGACATGAGACGCTAATATGGTCAGTGAAATGGGTCAAATAAGGCTCATACAAAATTACCTGGTCATTATGTCGTCGGCCGGCAGTATCGATCAAGACGACGTCGTATCCCTTCTGTGCTGCCACAGCTATGGCATCCTTTGCAACATTGGCTGCATCCTTTCCATACCCCTTTTCGTATAGTTCGACTCCTCCTCCTTCTCTAGCGGTGAGATCTTTCAGGTTACAAACGTGTACAGCTAGTTGCTCAACTGCGCCTGATCTGAACGTATCCCCAGCAACAATCAAGACTTTGTATTTGTTTTGCAGAAGGAAGAAACAGATCTTTGACAGGTTCGTAGATTTGCCGACTCCGTTCACCCCGACAATTGAGATGACATATGGTCTTGGTTTTTGCAGCGAAACTGCAGACGGGGAGGTGACAGCATCAATTTCTCGAAGAAGGTCGAGCGAAGAGGTAGGTGTTAGTATCTTCTGCAACGAAGATTCCATTGCGGTCTGAATTTTGGCTTGGACGCCTGTTTGAAAGTTAGTATTGACCCCACGAAGAGTTCCAGAGACACTTACTCTCAAAATTCCCCGTCTTCACTCCAATGAGCTCCCTTTCCACTCCCTCGCACAATCGGATAGCAGCTTCACGAGCAACGTTTTTTCGCAGAAGATGATCTTCCATACCCTTCATAGCCTTGTCCAAATCTTCTTTCGTCAAAGTCTTTCCTCCCACAACATTCCTGAAAAGTCCACCAATCGCACTCAAGCTAGAGCCCACTATACCACTTGGTGCTGCTGCCGTGTCTGACTTCTTCGCATCTGCAGAGGCTAAGATAGACTGGACTTGGTCGTCTAGATCCTTAAGAACAAACCGCCCACCGGTTTTAGAGCCCCATGACTTCGAATCGACTTCTTCAACAGCTCCCGACCGATCCTTTACTTCCTCGTCTCCGGATGTGGCACCATTTGCTGGTGCAGAATAATCTAGCGGGGTGCCACTGTCCTCGTCTGCTAACCCCTCGGCATCCCATTTTCTGCCCTTCTTTGGCGCAGCAGCCTTTCCTGCTCTATTCTTCTTCGCGTACGACTCTTCGCCTGATGATGCGTGGGCCGAGGGCGCATTAGCGGCCTTGCGAGCTCTTCGCGAACCTTTTCCTCCAGGTCCAGCCTTTCCGGTGAGGATATGACCTGCGGGTGTGCTTGGACGAGACGTATCTGGTGTAGCAATAGGCGTTGACTCGTTTGATGTTAGGTCCTTGAAGGTGTTCTTTGATTGTCCTGTACCAAGTCAGTTCTGTACTAAGTCGTCAAATCAGCCGCGAACCTCTTGATAGAATTCCAGGCAAAGGAGGACGCTCATCCCCGAAGCTTTGTGAGATTGAAGGAGGAGATTCTTCCACCAGAGCAGCAGATTCAGCGACTCTTGTGTCCTGATTCAGTGCTGTCTTCTCGAGTTCACGTATCTGTTGATCAAAATATTCGTCAAAGTGGCATTCAACCAATGTAGTATGTGGCTTCTTCAATTGGTCTCCATATAGGTCAATAAATAGCGTCTTGATATTGTCGACAAGTTTGTCAATCCAGGATAGGTGTAGAAGTGACCGGTAAACAGCCTACCTTCAGTTAGGTAAGGATACTGGTGGAGGAGAGCTCGAGGTTGGATTGTCACAACCTACCACAAATATTAAACCCAGCTCCTTCACAGTTGTCCATTTCAATGTATGCTGGTCGTGCTTGTAAGGAGGATTGTTTGCTGCAGAGATGTCATCGGCTATCCCAGCTCCTGGAAGCGTTCGTTCTTCAATAAAGACATTCGTAATGAGACTATTGATGATAGACGGGCTTGTTGGCGCATATGATCTGGACCACAGCACAACACCAGAAGTGGTGAGAATCTCAAAAGAGTCGAGCATTTCGAGAACTTAATGCGCAATATTTTGGAAGAGGTGTCACTCTTGAGGGCTTGAAATGTTTGCCTTCATCTGATAAGAAGCCAGCCAGGGTTTCTTATCGAAAAATTAGTCAGCATTTTAGGACCTCGCGAGCCATAACCTTCAAGAACTGGACACATTCATGGTGTTCGCGACAAAAGCGCGTCTCTTTGAACTAGCCAGATCTCTCTTCCCGTCCTCGGTACTTAGTCCGCACCCCTCTGCCAGCATCTTTGCTGTGTCCACTATCGATAATTTGCAAAGATGCAGCGAACAAATTATGGGCACCCTGCACCGGCGACATCTCCACCGCTTCACCACCCTGTACCTCAGCATGTTTCTACTGTTCCTCAACTTAGATCACCTCCTCCACCAGCGCCGCAACATCAAACGTCAGGCTATGGAAACCCCTACCAGCAGCAAGGCCCTCAGGGAGGAGGCAGCGCATTCGGCGCATATGGAGGTTTTATGGCAGACCCTACGGCGCAGATGGGATTCCAGGTTGGGCAAACAGCTTTAAAACATGGCACAGAATACGTGGAACAAAATGTCAGTAGAGAGGGAGCTGTGTAATGAAGATGATGCTGATGATAAGTCTAGTTCAACCGATACGTTAATTTCTCCGCCCTCAAACACTATTTCAATGTCTCGAATTCATATGTGGTCAACAAGCTCTTCCTGGTCCTATTCCCTTGGAGACACAAGCCCTGGTCCCGCAAGCAGACTATTGGTCCAAGTGGTCAGGAAGGATGGTTTCTACCGCCAAGAGACGACCTCAACAGTCCGGATATGTACATCCCATTGATGGCTCTCGTCACCTACATCCTCCTTTCCACAATGATGGCAGGTTTACAAGGAGCATTCAACCCAGAGTTGCTTGGATACACCGCCACATACGCATTTTTCGTTGTCGGCATCGAGATTCTACTTTTGAAGTTCGGGTGCTACTTATTGTCTATTTCGAATGATTCCCAGTTGCTTGATCTTGTTGCCTATTCTGGCTACAAATTCGTTGGAGTAATTGCAACGATACTTGTCAGCGAGATTTCGAATGGAGGAAAAGGTACAGGCGGGTGGATTGGATGGACAATTTTCTCCTACACCTTCTTGGCCAACGCTCTGTTTTTGGTAAGCACGTGCTGAGCATTGTTTGTTGGACGAGTCCTAACTCGACACTAGTTACGTTCTTTAAAATATGTCCTACTTCCGGAAAACTCGAACGACGAGAGAGGGACAATGCAAACAGTAGCACGGTCACAAAAGAGCCGAAGGACCCAATTTCTCTTCTTATACTCGTACCCTCTACAGCTCTTATTCATGTGGATTCTCACACGGATTTAATCTTCGTTCTTGGTCGGAACAAGGCATGTGCTGGCGCCCGGAAGATTCAAGGCTGGGGAACAGCCTCATGTTTGACATTCAGTCTGGTGAAGGGGTCTCTCGTGGTAAGGCCTGATTCTGACCTAACTGGGACTCAAAATCCCTGTGTATCATAATCTCTGCAGACAACCTTCGAGGCTCAATGACCATGTAGAAGTATACGCTATTGACAATTGGAAGTGCTCAAGTCGGCTATGTCCCCAGATCCTGATTCAAAATTCTCCTGGAGCGAGTCGTGTATTGGGTGTAGTGTTATTTGGTACATCTATTATTGTCATTCGAACTGATTCAGAGGTAGAACCTCACAATCCCTCCTCCTGAGGTAGACTCGAGCTGGAAGCGCCTTTTCGAGATCGTTACATCTCTGGTTACTCACTTGAGATCATTTGACTCGGGACAGAGGCGCATTGGAGAGGGCAGGTCCCAGTCTGGAGAGCACCTTTTGGAGCGACTTGGAGGTCGAATTGGGCGGAATGGACAAACGATGATCCGAAATATGATCGTGAAGTTCAGCTACTCCTCGGCCTCAGAATGCCAGTAAACGCTTTTCTGTAAGTTTTCGAGCCAGGACCAGCGTCCACACTCCAGACTCAAGAAGTAAATATGAAAGTTCACCCACGAAGTTATCCCAATCTGGTAGGTAGTCGCAGGGACCGACATCCAAATTAACACCGGCTGAACCACCAGGCATAGTAGTAACTATGCCTCCCCGTACCCAAATAGGCGACGCCAACATTTGTCAAGCGGAGGCGTCGAGCTGCCTTTACTAGTGCACTTTAGCTTGGTATAACTCTGTATAAACTTATATTAGGAGGATAACTTTGTGTATTTGTATTTTGTAAGCGCTACCTAGCCTCCCTAGATACCTGATCACCAAACACTCCCCGGTCTATTCTAAATGCGGTGGTTACGGTGGTTTGGGGGTTTCTACGCTTAGCTATTGGCCGGAAACCCCCTATGTCGCCAAGACACGCTAAAATGAACATTAGTCCCTCTGCGACTACGTCGCAGAGGCTCTGTTAGCTTGTCCTTTAGCCAGACTCTGCTTCAGTAAGCAGATTGGAAGTTATCCCGTCTCCATGAAAAAAATGGAACGAAGAGGGATCATCTCAGCGAATGACGTGAATGAAATTTGACGCTAAGCCCTGTTCTTAGCTTTGCTTAATGTTGCCCATCTTTATGTTACACAAAATAATTTCTTGGGCTTGCCATTGGTGGTGACTGTTGGGGGCTGCGTGAAAAGTTACTAAGAATAAATAAATATCTGCAAGGCTACAGAAATGTCCCAGGACACTGAGATCTTGGCACACCCCTTTTGTTTTTCCAAATCTCCTCAGACGTTTCAAGCTCGCTGTGGCGCCGTGACAGGGCCGTGAATGGAGGGATGGAGTTCAGCGCGGGGTTTCTCCTTTTGGAGCTCTTTCGTATCAAGTCATGCCGGACAGGGGTAAGGCATCTCCCACCGACTTCAGAAGCCAGCCACAGTCAACGGGAGGCAGTCAAGTGGCTGCAGCCCAGGTTCCGAATATTCGGCGGCGCGGTGGTCACTGTTCGTCATTCATCTCTTCTTTTTCTACTTCATCAATTTTGCCGGTTTGATAGCGACCTCCAGCCACCATGAGGCACCTCTTCTTCCAGTCTTTTCTCCAGCTTGCTGTGTTCGTTGTGGTTACCTCCTCTGCAACAGTATATATCACTGATCTCGCAGTCTTCTCTGCCCTTGGTCAGTACTTTCACTGAATACTCTGGCTCAAAACGGCGTTCCTTGTACCCATATATTTTGATTCATTTTCCCGGCCGTCTGTCATTTTGAAGAACTACCATCCTGACTTGAAAATAGCACCTTGCGCAGGGTCCGCTGTATCTGCCGTCGTTCAAGGCCTCACACAGAAATCATGTGCGCCCTCAGTCACGGCTCTAGAGTCGTGCGCCTGCACGCAAGATCAGAACTCCGCAGCTGTCATTGGCAGCATATCTACATATGTCCTTCATTATTGTGGGAGTACGGCCGCGGAGGACGTGACCAGTGCAGATAAAGTCTTCGATGCATATTGCAATCAGGCAACTCCAGCTGCGGTTCCAACAGGAGGTCCAGTTACACAGTATATCACTGATCTTCCGGCGTATTCAGAATTGGGAGGATGTGCTCAATCAGCGTTATCCTATGCTGTCCAATCTCTGACCGATACTAATTGCCCACCTGCGGCTTCTTTTCTTGTAAGCACTTCCGTCGGGCCATGTCCCAGGCCCAATTCCTCAACTCCAAATTAACACCAACAGGCAAGTTGTGCTTGCAACAAAGACCAAAATGCCCTTTTCATCAGCGAACAAATTAATACTTATATTGGTCATTATTGCGGCACAACGCATACAGCGGACACCACCTCGGCTCAAGCAGTTTTCGCAGGCTACTGTGGGATGGAAGCAGGAACAACTGCTTTCCCTAGTCCGTCATACCTCCCCGGAGACGTGACATACTACATCACCGACCTTCCTCAATACTCTTCACTCGCAACATGTGCCCAATTCGCAATATCATATCCAGTCATGTCACTCGGAGATTCCCTTGGCGATTGCCCTTCTGCTCCATTAGGATTTGTTTCTTGCGCCTGTATCAAAGACCAGAACTCCCAAGCATTAACGAGTGCAATCATCAGCGGTAAACAACCTATTTCTTTGTTCCATATTCCGAGCTCCTTATTTCACTGGTCGGAAGCATAAGACATGCTCCCGGCTCTCTCCCGGCTCTCTTCCCTCCAAAGAAACTTGTTGCTAATTCGTTGCAGAGGCCAAGGTGGAGTGTGGTACAACTGCCAGTGAAGCCGTGTCCAGCGCCTTGGGAGTCTTTGAATACTACTGCAGTGCAGGGAAAGGGCTGGTCACCCCCAAAGGAATCACGGCATCAGGTATGATGAAATCCGCTGTTTCCCATCCTTCCCACTTGCTAGGGAATATGACTAATAAGGAACCAACACAGTGACAACAAACCTCTACGGCGGAAGCTACACAGGATTGTCCGGCATCTTCCCAACCAATACCGGCGGACTCACTGACCCATACCTCCCGAAGCCCAAGCACATTCCCATGGCCGCCATAATAGGCGGCGCTGTTGGGCTTGTGATAATTGTGATCTTCATACTCGTTGTGGGCTGGCGTTATCGTCGCAGGAGGGTACCCAAGCAACCTCCACTTCCTGCCCCCCAATACAACGCCAACGCGAACAATAACAATGAATTCGATAAAGCGGAGTTGGCGGGCACGAGTACTTATACGGCGAACAATCTGAGCAAGAATCTGAGTGTGGTGAGAAAGCCCTCGCCGGGTATGGGTGTAGTGAGTCCTGTTTCGCCCTTGGATGAGAAGGAACGTCCTGCATTGGCTGGCCAGTTGGAGATGGAGGCGCAAAGTGCGGTCTTACTGGGGACGACGGAAATGGATGCACACAATACAGCTGTAGCTCATGGCCAGCCGTATATGCATGAATTGCATCCTGAGCATGCGAGGTACGAGGTTTCCGGGCATCCGCATGCTCACGAATTGGCGGATGCTGCGCCGAGATATGAGGTTCAGGGGTCGAATCAACATCCTGTTGAGGTCGCTGGGCTGAGTGCAAATATGAATTCGGGGCCACATTATGAGTTAGGAAATTATCGGTAGCGTGGTTAGACTGGATAATTTCTGGTTATATATCCTGTGCTCTCCTTTAGCAGGCTGTAATGGTCTGTTGATCTGGCGTTTGGATCTGGAGTTTGGGAAAACCTGGGTAGCATTCTGGTGTATGGAATGAGATATCTTGTGTATAGACTTGGTTTATGTGCCATATCATTGTATATTTCTGATTCGAGATCTCTATAGTTGAGCTCTCCCGAGCTTTAAATCTTCCCAGTGGTCTACATGGAAGTCGACATATGTATGTCCCCTTCCCTTTTCGTCAATCCACAACACCTTATCATGCGGCTTTACCTTAGCTGGATCGACGCCTTCTTCTCGCATTGGAACCTTGTTCTGCTTGTTGTTGTGAATTGGCGTCATTTCTCTGACGATCCGGAGGAACAGTGGTACGGCGTATCTAGGAAGGTGTGTCCTCGAGTGCCTTGGTCTGTTAGTACTTCTTATTAAATGAGGAAATGGCTCGCCGAAGCTTACTTCAAGAAGCCAGCGAAATCGAAATGCTTCTTAACAGAGGGATCAATATAAACAGCCGCACAACCAGCTCTGCCGTCGTGTGAGGGCAGTGATACACCGTACACGTTAGCCTCGACAACGCCGGGATATTTCCCAAGTACCTCCGCAACTTCGGCAGTGCTCACATTTTCCCCTTTCCATCTGAAAGTATCTCCTAGTCGATCCATGAAAAACCAGCGGCCATCAGGAGTTCTTCGTAGCGCGTCCCCACTCCTATACCACAGATCACCCTTCTTGAACACATCTCTCTCGAATTTCTTCATCGTTGCTTCTGGATTATTGTAATAACCAGCAAAATTCTTGACATCTGGAACTTGGACAATAATCTCTCCACCTTTCTCGTATGGTTGTCGATAAGCAAAACCCGTATTCGGGTCTCTGGCAATTGCTCCAGAAGCCTGGTCGATAAGGACAGGCACAATAACATTTCTATATTGGTGCCTCAAGATCGCACCGTGATGTCCCACACAGGTAGCGAAATAATCCCCTCTGCAATGAACCGCTAATCCAAAGACGCCCTCAGATGAATTGAAGAACTCGAGAACTTCAGGGACTCCGAATCGATCTCGGAATTTGAGCCACACGTCGGGACGTAGTCCGTTTCCATACATACATCGGACCTGGTGATCGCGGTCAAGGGGTGAAGGAGGAGTTGCGAGAAGATAGCGAGCGGTTTCTCCAACATATGTGATCCATGTTGCTCTTGAATCGTGCACCTCGCTCCAGAATTTTGAGGTGCTGAATCTTTTGCCGATGCAGAGCGTGACACCTATCATCATGACCGCGATCGCCATCACTCCTCCAGTACCGTGGTACATAGGCATGCATTGGTACCATCTGTCATCGTCTTCAATCCAACTGTAGCCTGCGGCTTTCTACTGTGGAGTTAGCATTTAACATCCACGGTAAGTTTTTGTTATGAGGAAATATATTTACCGATCCTCCTTGCGGGAATCCTCTATCCATTTGAAAAGGAACTCCTTTGGGCATCCCAGTCGTCCCACTGGTATAAAACATTGCCATAGGCCAATTACCTTGCACCACTTCCCGGTAAACATCTGGTGCTCTCTCAGTCTCTTGACTGCTGATTCCCTTCTTGATTTCTGAATCGACGACACGGATCTGCATCCCCAACTCCCGCTCAATTTGAGCTCGTGCTTCTTCAATTCTTGCCACCAAGGTCGGATCTTCATCTACCAACAGCACAGTTGCTCCACTGACTTTCAAACAATGAATCAGTGCTTTTCCAGTAAGGTTATAGTTGATCATAGCAGGGGCTGCCCCAATGGCCCAAAGTCCTAGCCAAGCAAATATAAAGTCTGGGGAATTCGTCAGATAAAAGGCAACATAATCGTGAGGCTTCACTCCTTGTGATAAGAACCATTGAGCGTATTGGTTAGCTCGGTCGTAGGTCTGGGTCCAGGTATAGCAGCCTTCTCTGCTCCAGATACACTCGTTGTTTGGAACTCGCTTGACGGCGTTTTCGAAGAAGTAGTAAAGAGATATTCGTTTCTGAGCAACTATTCGAAACACAATGTCAGAGAAATTCCTTTATCAAAATTTGGGTACTCACCAGCTTTCATGTACAACTTTATGATAGCTTTTTCTCGTCTTAAGGCATATATATCTTTCCTCAATGCGTACTTTCCGTCAAGGTACATTCCTCCCAAGACTGTGCTGGCAGCAACGGCTGCTGCTGTAACTATTGACAGGCATCATGTTAGCTAACGGTTCTGAATCACCAATTGTTAGACCGGAGCGTAATAAAATCCTTCGGAATTGGTCTCAACAGCTTCGTCGTCCTTGGTCGACATTTCGGCCTCAAAATAGGCTTCTGACTAACCGAGAGCCATCTCAGGAGACGTTTCTCCCCTCTTTTCAATTGGCCAAACGAACTGCCAATTGTCCCAGTCCTTCCTGGCAACAAAAGAAAGACTATGAATGACACTTGGCCTCACCAGAAGGTCAAAGTTGAGATTGCAAGGAAGCAATTCCCCCACATTGTTCTCACCGTCGGCATCCCAACAGGCCGAGGCTCCTGCCCCTCCCCGGATTTTGCGGCCCCGAGGTCGAATTCAGCGCTCATTGGCCTGAATGCAACTTCTGTTGAGGGGCATCGCGCCGTTTGCCGGCTTTTCGAGTCCAATCGATCATTGCTCCTCGGCCAGAAGCTGTGGACGGAGCTGGTTGTTATTTTTCTGATGCTCTCCGCAGCGTTTTGAGCTTCCAGATACCTCGAAATTCCGCTAGTAGTTCAAACTACGAACAACAGGCCACCTGCCTGGAAAGTTCACCAGAGCAGAAGCTCTGAAGGCGGAGAAAAAGCAAATAGTGTGGGGGTGGGCCTGCAGAATGGCACGGTTCCCTTTTCGATCCTGTCCACCCTCCACTTGCTAAGAACAGCTTCATCCCAAATATCCGCGCTCGCTCTGAGCCTTCACCACAATGACGACCATCGAACAAACTCCCCTACTACCGCAAGATCTCGAAGATGGCGCCTCAAGCGCGATCCCCGAGCCCGAGCTCGCCCGCCCCGAAGGCATCACCGAAGTGAAAGCTCCCCGAGCACCAGCACGTTCGTCTCCTCCCTCAGACGTCGCCCCTCACCAACCAACTAACAATATCCCAGCAACGGCATTCCACGCACGCTCTTTCCTGCTTCATTTAGCCAGTTCTATCTAACACCCCTCAGTCCCAAGCAATCCGCACACCCTCCCTGCTCTTCATCTCCGGGCAGATGTCACGCGACCAACGGCGCGATGGAGGCGTGATACGCATCATGCAGCCTGTTGATGCCATTGAGCAGTGCATGCATGATATCTCTGCCATTCTGGTTGCGGGAGGAAGTTCGTTCCAGCAAGTTGTGAAGGTCACGGTGTATATTTTGGCTGATCTGCCGAGTGGATATCGAGATATCTTTGAGATGGTTTACAAGGCGTATTTTGAGAGTAAGCCGGCGAGGACTGTGGTGGAGGTCTCGAAGCTGGAGTATAGTTCGAGGATTGCGTTGGATGTTATTGCGATGGTTTAGGTAGGTTTGGACAGCAGGTAGGTGTTTAGCAAGGATATCTTTTAATTTTGCGATGGCCTTTTGGGTTTCATCTGAATTTCTTATCCTCGCGACTTCTTGCAAGCAGTGACAAAAATAGGGGATATCTCAGCCAGTGCTGGACAATGCGTTCTTTGACGTGAGCTTCAGTGCACGTGAAGTGTGAAAACCTCTATATTTTTCCATTCCTCCAACTACGATGACAATCTTTCAACATGAAGTTATTCATTCAACGAATAGAAAGTCACCAAACACGTCACAGATGAGGAAGGGCAAGATAAGTCATGGTGACAAATTATCATTACTATCCCATTTCATTTCATCCGAGTACTGTACATTATTTCCTATTTCTTTTTCACTTTGCACCACTCATCACAGTCTCTTTTAAAAGACACCAGTCCTCTGTCCAACAGGGTTAACCTCGAGAACACCAACACCTGAGATGGTATTCTCATCCGAAACCTTGCTGCTCACACCATCCGCCGTGCTGAGCACGACATACACCTGTCCAGTAGGCGCCAGCATCGTTGCAGTCGCGCCGGGAAGGCTCGTAACCTTCAAGTCGCCGCTGTTTCCTTTGGTGACGTATGTCTTGACATAGTAGGTGTCAAGACCAGAGAAGAAGACAGCATACACTGGCTCGTCGCCAGAGATCAGGTTCGCGGCAAGGGCGTTCTTGTATGCGTGGGTGAAGGTTACAGGGCTGGAGCCGGCGGTGTATGGGTATTGCGATGGTTGGAGGGTGAGGGCTGGGAAGGCCTTGAATGGAAGGGCGGGATCGCCGGGGGCGAAGCCAGTGATGAATTGTGCGGCGAGGGAGTAGACGTCGTTGAAGTCGAGGGGGGTGTCGAATGGCTTGGGGAAGGGAGACTCCTTGAGGGCGGCGCGGATGTAGGAGGAGTGGCGGGACTCGACGGTCAGGATGGAGCCGGCGACTGTAAGGTAACTCTTGTCGACAATTGCAGCAGCAGCACCAAGGTAGGCAGAAACACCCACCCCCTCGAGGACGGAGGAGAGAGCAACGAACGAAGCAGGGGTGGTTGAGGGGAAAGAGTATGTAGCTTCATGGACAGCAGCGGTGCCAAGAGCACCAGCGAGGAACGAGACGTGAGTCTATGCTCCATTAGCACCAGCACAATCCCAACCCAAAATTTCACAGAAGACTAACCTTCTCGTCATAGTAGATCTCACACAAGTTGGCATAGAAGGGATCCGGAAACCCAGCAGCGACAAAGTCGGCTTGAGTATAGTTGGCCAGACCTTCTTGATAAAAATTTCGCTCGAGATACTCGAGCGTAAGAGCATAGTTGAGGATGGTAACATCGCCCCCTGGAGGGTTGAAGTCTATGGCAACATCACGCTGCTCGACTGGAGCGGCGGCAGTGAGGCCAGCTGCAAGCACGGGGAGAAGGGATGAGTAACGCATTTTGAGGAAGTATATAAAGATAGTGTTGTTGTGTTGCGGAGTGTGGGTAGAGAATGAGGATGTCGAGACGGAAAACAGGAAGGGGACAACGGGAGCAGCTCTAATATAGCAAATGCTAGAAGAGATGAATGACACTTAGAAGAGCGGGGGATTACCCACGCCGTCGTGAACCGCAATATAGAAACCGCAGAGACTTTTCCGAAGAGGACTAAGACGCCGTTCAGGCCTGGTCATTCACAATGTGCCTGGCATGTTGCCATTCAGCACTATCGAGAGACATTAGCCCCTTGGCCTGGAAGCTCGTAGTCCCGTGCAAAGATGCGCAGCCCGGGAAGTCAGGGAAGCTGGAGAATCTATTCCAATTTCCATGTCCCCGAATTCAGGCTAGCTTCATGATTCGAGGAAGAAGTACATATTTTGGATGGATTGGGGCAAAGTCATGCGGAGAAGGGGCTACCCTGCATATGCTGGAGCTTCTCAGCTTACGTTCCCTTCAGAGACTTGAAGCATCATCGCAGGGTAGGCATCTACATTTGAAGAGTGCCCGCCTCCCTTAGCTTTCGAGTACCCGGCTCTCCCGTCTTCATGACGTCGGGGGAGAGACAAAAATATACAAAAGAAACACAAAAACTCCCAAGCGAGAAATTGAAGAGTCCAAGCAGCCAATTAGTGCCAGGCGCACAACACGAAGCCCCTCGTCACGGAAGCGTTTGTTCCCATTCTGGTTCCACATCGCTAAGCTTAACTTTAAGCTTCCTGATAGTTCGCCTTAGTAGGCTGGTGGCTGTGAGAATGAAGAGGATCGGCGGGCGCCTCTTTCGGAGTGGGGAGGATCCGAAGGCTGGGATGAGGCGTGCTCTAGATTCTTACTGATGAATGGTGCTTTTTGTTGCCGAGCCCGAGTGTTTTGTCATGGGACTCGTGGGAATGAAGTTTCCAATGATTTACATTGCGTTAGTTCTATATGTGTGTATTTGCTGGCAACTTGGCAGCCTTTTTCGTGTCTTGTCAATTGTGAAAGCTTCGGGACTCGCCAGAGGTGACTTTCATGATTTGAAATGTTCACGCGGAGTAAGTTTATGGAGCTTGCTTTGGTGGCGAGCTCGAGCACGAGCTCCTCACTACAGCAAATCTCCAGCAAATTGCTGTATATAGTACGTACCGGCAATGCATAAACGGTATAGTTTCTAAAGAAGCGCGACGCTAAAATGCAGGAGGTAATTGCATCACACCGTCTCTATGTATCTTCGTACTTCCCTATTCATGAGTTAATACAATATGCTTCAAAGAGACCGTTGGAAGAACTCACCAATCCGTCACAGCTTCATCCCAGAGTCGTATCTCATGCTCTCTTGTTCCCGCATAATGTTCGACGAATTCATCCCCAAAAACCTCCCTTGCTATGCTTTTGGGTCTCATAAATCTCTCCGTTGCTTCCTTCAAGCTTTTCGCGAGCCTTACCCCAGGATCCGCCTTGCCGCCAACGTCCTGGCCCTTCCCAAGGGGCGCCTGCTTGATCTCCAATTTCTTTTCCACGCCTCTCCAGCCTAGGGCCAATATCGCAGAAAGCACGTAAAACGGGTTCGCATCAGCGCCTGGAACGCGAACTTCGAATCTCGTCGCTCCTGGTTTCGAGGTTGGTGGCGCGATTAGTCGAATTGAGGCTGCCCGATGCTCGAGGCCCCAAGATACAGTTACAGGAGCCCAGAAATTCTCGACCAAACGTTTGTAGGAGTTAATTGTTGGCGCAACTATAGGCATGATATCCGGCAGGCCCTCGAGCAAACCAGCAAGGAAATATCGCCCCATGTCTGACAGATTCTCGATATCTTTATATTTTGCTTCAGTATCTTTCTCTTCCCGTGCGAAGAGGTTCTTCCCATTTTTGTCGACGATCGAAATGTGCATATGCCCGCTGTTTCCTGGTAAGCCTTGCCTTGGCTTTGCCATGAAGCAAGGAGTGATCCCATATTTAGTAGCGACCGACTTAACAACGTATCTGGGGTTGTTAGACTTCCTTCCAAGTTACCAATGTGCTACTCACTTGAATAACCCAGCTTTGTCTGCCATTTGTTGGATCTCACCGAACGATAACGCCGCTTCGAAAACTCCAGGGCCACTTTCCGTATGCCATCCTTCTATTCCACAATTGAACTTCTCGCAAGCGTCGAAAATGCCATAATAGTATTCTTGATTATGTACGGGCCTTGTCAGACTGTACCCAAACATGCCCTCGGTCAGGGAAGGGAGGGTGTTGACTGGATTCTCTCGAAGGAATGTCACTGTAGAGGAGTTGTTCCGTTCAGAAAGGGGTGCATTCGAATCGGCGGGTGGTGCCTTGAATTGGAAGAATTCGTATTCGGCTGGGATGTATTAGCCGGGCTTGATATGCACGACCACTTGGAAGAACATACCTCCAGCCATTGCACCATAACCCTTCTCGTGCAGCTTGTCGACCGTAGTCTTAAGAAGACCTCTCGGGCATGCACTTACAGGCTTTCTTGAGTCCGGGTCAAAGAAGCTGACTAGGAAGAATGGCACATCATCTTCCCATGGTATCCTCCGGAAGCTGCTGAGATCTGGAATAGCAATGAGGTCGTGGTATCCATTATCTGCGTTGCTGATCTTCAATTCTCTGAAGTAGGTCTGGTCGTGCATATCCCATCCGAAGATGACCGAGCAGAATCCGAAGCCCTCCTTGGCAATTCCCAGGAACTTCTTCTTCGAGATCAACTTCCCTCGCAGTATTCCATCGACATCAACACCTGCAAGCTTGACCTTGGTGTCGTTTTCGAGAAGCTTGGGCAAGGACCCGATTGTGACCTCGTCCCCCTTCTTCTCTGACATGATGTCCTGCGGCTCGGTGGAGCGGGCGAGTGGGGGAGATACAGTTTGGAGACTCGAGAAGGTGAGGCTCGGCAAGAACTTCCAGCTCCCTAGAGTTGGTCGATTTGGCAAGAATCGATCCTCGAAAGCTGTAGAGAGTCTCGAAAATCCGTGTGTGCCCCTTACGAAGCTGTTCTGTCAACGAGTCCCCGGTCGTATGTCATCGAGGACAGAGGGACGACGAGGGGACGAGCTACGATAAGAGAGAGAGAGAGAGGCTAACAGGGTACTGGGAAGGCTGGAGCTACCCCGGTCAGCACGGACGGAAGGCCAATTGGCGACGAGCATTCCCAGCCCGCACGCCGCACCTTTGTCATCCTGGATCTTGGTCGTACGAATACAAAGGACTCCGAATCTCCAGATCTTGGTGTATTTGTGCAGCGTCAAGCTCCTTCAGTCTCGTGACAAAGCTCTATGCAACGCCGCACAGCGCCAGCAGGTGGCCCAAAGCCCTGCTCGTGAATGCCCTCCCATCTTCGGCATTTCGATACGGATTCGGATAAGGCCTGGCTGGTCAAAGCCCGACGCGTGACCCGTTGCCCGTGGTCGTCCGTTGATACTCGCTGCGTGCCACATGTTGACACATAGCAACCGACCAGTGCAACAAAAGCTGAGCACGGAATTGTCCAGTAGCAGTCTCGCTGATGGCTCGTGATCTCCCCTTTTGCGCCGCCCGGTGATGCATGAGCGGTCAAGAAGGAAGCGGTGCTGCCGGCACTCGAGCTCTTCCTCTCGGGAGCGAGCTTAGATAACGAGCAGCACCGTTCTCGGACCAACTGACACATCTCCTCCACACCAGATGGTGTCTGTGTCATCAACAATTTTGCCGTAATTTGCCTTCTTCTTCTCCTTCCTCTGCTCGGTCTGTCCTCGTTCCATCTCTCTATGATCATTGTCGCTTCTTATCGCTTTCATCCCAGCAAGCTTCGTAAGTTTCGTCTCAACTCCTGGTGCTCCATTGGCACAAGCGGCCTCATAAGCGAGCATTCCGGATCAGCTTTCTTTCTTTCTTTGTTCGGTCATGATATCACGGGAGAGTCGCGTTGGAGCAAGCAAGAGCTGATTTTCCACTTCAGAACACCTTTGAGAATTACAAGAAACTTTCAAATCCAAGATGGGTGACGACACCGCGAACAGTTCCCGCAGCAATAGCAGTGGCAAAGTCCACACTATCAACAGCTTTGGCATGGGAAGACTCCACCACAAAAATGCTATAGTCACTGGAGCTGCTGGGTACGTTCTCTCTTCACTTCGCTCCTGCTAGTACCGCATGCTTTGGTCTCTTTCGCGCTGGCAAGTGTCGAATATCTCCACTCGAAGGGCTATTGGCAAGTCATCGACCGTACACGTGATATGTTTTGCGTCACCTCCGTTTATTCAACGCAATGTATACCCATACAAGTGGGCTCCACAACTTGGAAAGTTCAGTGCAGTTGCGAAACACTTTGTCTTCCACCATAGACGATCCCTTTTCTTCAAGATGATATCATGAAAGCTCGCTGACCTCTACATAAGTGGTATCGGCCTCGAAACATGCATTCTCTTCGCCAAAGAAGGTGCCAATGTCCTAATGGCAGACATCTCTGCTCCAGCTCTCGAGAAAGCTTCTGCCAAACTTAAACAGTTGGTACCATCTGCCCACAAGGTTGAGATTCAGGTAATCATCCTGGCGTTGAATATAACGATGTGCAACTGACAAATTAAAGGTCTGTGATGTCTCTAAGGAAGCCGATATCAAAGCTCTAGTCGAGCATCTCGATTCCTGGGGTGGTGTTGATATCATGTTCAACAATGCTGGTATCATGCACGCTGACGACGCTGATGCTCTTGATACCCCTGAGAAGATCTGGGATCTCACTCAAGCCATCAACGTCAAGGGTGTGTGGTTCGGTTGCAAGCACGCGATTATCGCCCTGCGCAAGCACAACAAGACTAAAGGATCTATCATCAATACTGCTTCAGTTGTTGCATTGGTCGGCTCCGCTACTCCTCAACTTGCATATACAGCAAGCAAGGGTGCAGTTTTAGCCTTGACCAGAGAACTTGCCATTGTCCATGCTAAAGAAGGCTTCCGCTTCAACGCTCTCTGCCCAGCTCCTTTGAACACTCCTTTGCTTCAGGACTGGCTTGGTGACGATCTACCTAAGAGACACCGACGAGAGATTCACTTCCCAACGGGTAGATTCGGTGAGGCTATCGAGCAGGCTCAAGCTGTGTTGTTCTTGGCAAGCGATGAGGCGAGCTTTGTCAACGGCCAGGTTCGTATTTGTGGTTCCCTTGAATTCTCGAAAAGAAGACTAAAATCGCATAGGATTTCGTAGTCGATGGTGGTCTAACGAAAGCCTATGTTACTCCCGAAGGCATTCCACTTACTGCACCAAAGAACAATGCCCTTCTCTCCGAGCAAGTCGATGCTATCCGAGGCACTGGTGTCCCGCATGAGTAAATGAATGAAAATCCTCCAATGGTGGATGAATTGGACTTTTGGGCGGTCTAGCATTGATATTAATTCTGCACATAGAACGACTTCGCGATTTTGAGCTTCGGCATGTCCCTTTTGCGAAGGCGTTCGGAAAGGTCATGGATAGTTCTGATTTGCAATGCAATGAACTATTCTCCACTGGCCGTGTACCCAGTGAAGGACTTTTAGCCCCACTGGACTGGACCACTCGGGAGATAAGACTTACAATCGCCTTCAAATGCCGAGCAAGTGCTTGGCTGCCGACGTCACTTCTCCACAGGGATCGGTGCTTGGAGGAAAGAAACTTTTTAAGCCCATTTTGTCTCTTGGCACAGAAGAAATTTCGCTTTTCGCTGTGACTGGTCGTTTGGATGCGAAATGACTTCAAATGTCCTAAGCCGTCTGCCCTTGGCTCTCTCGGCAACGGTTTTTGATAGGGACTTGTCCCCCACTACCAAGGCTAAGGGGTGGTGGTTAATGATATTTATCGTTGGCTGAGCCTGCACAACAAAAGCTATCTTTTCTTGTTGCTCTTGGCTGTGACGAAATTCTTATCGCGGAATCAAAGTCTATAAGTGAGTTGCCAATAAGCGGATTGTTGCAACGAATCAGGCATTTCATAATATGAGCATTTTCAATTATCCCCCATAAGTCTCATTCTTCCCTTCTCCTAGCATATTTACAGCATCTGATTCAATCTTTTCTCCTGCTCGGAATAATTGCCTGCATTCAATTAGTGCCAAAGTTTGGTTCTCCTTCCGTCATTCCCGTGGAGGGACGTCCCGCATTTAGTTCCCCCGCGATCTCAAAGATATCTGAAGAACGTACAGTACCTAAGAAGGTCATTGAGAATATCTCTATGGTTCACTTCTCAATATCCAACAAAAATGGCACCATCCAACGAGGCCAAAATGGCAGTCAACAGACCACCTAGCAATGATGCGAAGAGCAGTAACCCCGACTCTGACGCTGCACTCCTCGCGGGTCTGTCCCATCAAACCAATATCCAATGTTGAAAATTGTGCCTAATTTCAAGTAGATATGGGCTACGTCCAAGATATGAAGCGCAACTTCTCCGTCTGGTCTGTCCTCGGCGTCGGTTTCTCCCTGACAAATTCCTGGTTCGGAATTTCAACCGCTTTGGTAACAGGCATCAACTCAGGCGGGCCAGTTCTCATCATCTACGGCATCATCTTAATAACGCTTATATCTGCCAGTGTTGGAATCTCCCTCGCAGAACTGGCGAGCGCGATGCCGAATGCAGGAGGGCAATATTTCTGGGCATATGAACTTGCTCCTCCGAAATTTGCGAAGTTCGCAAGTTATCTGACTGGATGGTTTGCATGGGCTGGGAGTATCTTTACTTCCGCCAGTGTGGCGTTGGGACTAGGAAGTGCAGTAATGGGCTGCGTGAAGCTGTTTCGTCCCGAAATGTTCGTCTCTTCCCCTTTTGCCTCGCTTATTCTTCGTATAATGACCAGAGCACAGGACAATCCAACGCTGGCACATCCTCCTCGCCTACGTAGGTGTTGGGGGAGAAACCCTTTCCTATTTGCGACTGTTTCATGAGATTTTCTTAAGACAATGTCCCCTCCTGAAACAATCCCATGTTGAGCAATTGCTGACTCCCCCGTTACCTAGCTCGCCATCAACACCCTCTCCTTCCTCTTCAACACCCACGGCCGCCTGCTCCCCACCATCGCCACCCTAACCCTCTACATCAGCCTCCTCTCATTCCTCACAATCCTCATCACCATCCCCTCCGTCGCACCCACCCACCAACCGCCCTCTTTCGTCTTCGCAACCTTCACAAACAACACCGGCTGGTCCTCCCCCTCTATTGCATTCATTGTTGGCCTCATAAACACAAACTGGGCCTTTGCATGTCTAGACTGCGCCACGCACCTCGCGGAAGAAGTCGCCAATCCCTCACGCATGATCCCGATCGCGATCCTCGGCACCGTCGCCATTGGCTGTGTAACCTCTTGGACATATAGTGTAGCAATGTTCTTCAGTATCCAGGACTTGCAAGCGTTGCTCGATACTAAGACCGGAGTCCCGATTCTTGAGCTGTTTTATCAGGCGGTAAGGAGTAGAGGCGCGGCTGTTGCTTTGGAGGGATTGATTCTGGTGACGGGGATGGGCTGTTTAGTTGCTTCTCATACGTGGCAGTCGAGACTTTGCTGGTCTTTTGCGAGGGATAATGGCCTCCCGTTTTCCGGATTCCTCTCTCAGGTAGACGATAAACTGGGTGTCCCGTTTAACGCCCATCTCGTATCTTGTCTCATCGTCTCTGTGCTGGGGTTTCTATATCTGGGGAGCGTGACGGCGTTTAATAGTATGGCTGCTGCGTGTATTGTGCTGCTTTATGTCTCTTATTCCATTCCCATTTTTTGCTTGTTGGTTAAAGGGAGGGAGAATGTTAGGCATGGACCGTTTTGGTTGGGTTGGGTTGGTAAGGTGGCGAATTGGGTGTTGCTGGGTTGGACGGTGTTTACGTTTGTTATGTACAGCTTTCCTCCTGTTATGCCGGTGAAGCTGGGAAATATGAACTATGTTTGTGTTGTGTATGGTGTAGTTTTTGCTGGGGTTGTGGGGTGGTGGCATATTGAGGGGAAAAGGAGTTTTAAGGAGAGAGGGGGGCTTGTGGAGGTCGTGCAGGATGAGGTCGTTAGATGATATTTTAAGCAGCTTGGATACCACAATTTTTGGCTTTTGGTTTATTCTTGAATTCGTTTCATCTGCTTCTACGAACCTGAGATGCCACATGACAACTTTTCGACAACACTTCATCATAACCCCCTTGTAAACCCCTCAAACTTTGACATCCCACCCATCAGGAAATTGTGGCCCACTCCCTTTCATCCCATCCCAACCACCAGCCATCGTAGCAACTGCCGATAACAAGCTACTTGCACTCGGGAAATACGGCGTGGCAACCCTAGGCCCACCGATTGGCATCCCCACATCATTAAACGGAAATTTGATATTAAGGAGATACTTCACCGCTACCTCCTTGTCCCCTAACCTCACACTATTCATCGCCAACATCAGGAAGTCCCATCTAAATAGCCGCGTGAAATCCTACACCTGAGAGATCTTTTTCGCTGTGTTTTGCATGATTGTGAGGTTGAACCCTGCGGAGGGAGGCAGCAGGCCATAGGTGCCGGACATGGCGGGGTGGTCGTAGTAGGATTGCGGATCTACCCACATGTTTGGGATTCCTTCGTAGACTGGGTAGGTGCCGTTGAAGTCTGGTAGGGGTGCGAGGTTGTTGAGTACGTGTGTCTAGTTTGCTGGAACAGGGAGGTGTTGGCGAGTTTTCCAGGTAGTAGCTACGGAAAGTCCGAAGCGCCAGTATGCGAGCTCGAAAGTTGGATTTATGGTGACGTTCGGGTTGGTAGACTCAGAGCCGGGGTACATGGGAGGCCCGAGGTCATAGACTTTTGTTGTGGTGTTCCACCATGCGTATGAAGCCATGAATTCTGCCGATTGTGTTAAGATCTTGTGCCATTTCTTGAGCGTCCCCTGGCTTGGGAACTGTCGGTATTCACGCTCGGCGAAGTAGAAGGGATGTGGCTGCTGCCAAATTAGAAGAGAGTTGATATCTCCTGGTACTGATCTTCCTGTTGGGTCGCTCATCTTTCCAGCGAGCCCCCGTATACCCCTGGTAACGAGCTCGATCTATCGAGCTGGGAAGAAACTTTTCAAAGATACCGGGAACCGAACGACCTAGCAAAGACCACTTGCCTCATATTACCCAATGTCCTAGATGCCAGAAGACCATCTCCATGTAGAACTTCCCATACCACCCATTGTTGACCAAGCCTGATTCTTGGGGCGTGTCTTTGCAGGCTTCGTTCACTGCAAGGTTGTATTGTGAGAGAATGATTCGGCGTTGAAGTTCCTTAGCATTCGCGTTATCTGATCCTGTGAGATCTGCGAAGGCTCCAGATTTCCAATAGTCACTCCACCAATCGGAAGACGAGCCAGCCATTGATTCTGCATCTGGAAAGTCCCGTCGTGGTGTGGGAGAGAAGTTCACCGTCAGGTCGAGGCTTGAATCGCCATCCTCCACGGGTACGAGGACATATCAATGCGTTGAGTTGGGAGGACGACTGATGGACGCATCTGTCTCCCACTTGATTGATGTATAGTATGTCGTCGAGCCAATATCATGACGAATCTTCGCCTGATTTTCGCTCTGTTGGAGGGAGGTCTTATGCAACGAATTCGAAGTCGAGTTCCAGATTCCAACGAATGGCACATCGAACTTGTTCACATCTGAATATGGGAAATCGAAAAACACTTCAAATTTGCCAGATTGAATTAGTTCTGAATCAATTTGGATGGATACAGTATCGGAATCTGGATCTGCGGCGACTTGGACCTGTACATCTGATCCCAGGACCGTGAATTGGGATGTTATGAGTCCAGAATAGAGGTCCAGTGTCTGAGACTTGTTGGAGAGGCTCTTTTTGGTGATATTGAGACTGGGGTCGAACCAGAATCCCACTCGGCCAAGGTTAAGTCGTTGTGGGTTTTGAGTGAGCCAACTTGAAATCACAGGCTCCGCTGGGTTTGGCTGATCATAGTTTACCAGGCGCCCATGAGTCCACATGAAGCAGTTAGCGATCCTTACCACTATTTGGAAATCTGAAGTGATGACAGTACCAGTCCAAGCCTGTGAAGGCAGACGGCGAGTTCTGAGCTGTGGCGTTTGGAAACGAAAAGTTGTGCCAGCCCCACGATGAAAATGTGCCGAAAGGGTAGAAGGTCTGCGGCCCAGTGACATCAACTCCGAAAGCAAAGTTGCCATTGCCAACCTGCATAGGTGTGGAATTTGAACTCCCATATCGAACAGGATTGAATTTTCTCACAACTGCCTGACGATCGATAGAGTGGACTACTACAAATCGCGTGGCCAGAGCCAAGGAGAGTAGTGTTTCGAACCTCATTTGAGTGCTGCCACTCTGCTCCCTTTCTCGCTCGAATTGGGAATTGTCAAATGAAGCTCTTCAACTTGCAATCTATTTGATAATGTGAAGTTGAATCTTTGCAAGACATTGTTATGAGATCTGAAGAAGGAAAAAGGAAGAGATATATCTTCAAGTGCAGAACTACGGCTCGGCCAACATTTAAACGACGTTGTGCATCTCTATGTACCTTGCCCATCCACTTACCCATCCCGTACCAATCATCCAATTTCGGAGAAAGGTTCCACTTGGTAGTCTTGGGAATTACGATCGTTGTCAATCCGCCTAAGCAGAGCTCGGGGATTCGGTGTAACTATAACGGCGAGCTGGTAAATCAGAGGACACTATGGGATCTTGGAAGAGTTGAGTGCTGATAAAAGAGGCGGGGTAGAATCGCGGAATGTCGGGGGAGAGGTTGAATCTGCGATTAAATAATCCTCGAATCGGACGAAATGCACTAAAATTTAGCGATACGCGCTAAAATATGGAGCTTTAAGGGTCGGACTTCGGGGCATTGGAGAATCTCCTTCTCACATACACATGCACATATACATACACCAATGTTTTTGTATTCGGAGAAAGCATCGAGTGAGTCTCCTATGAAAACGGAATTGCGGGATCACTTGTTACAATTATACGAAGGTAAAAAGCAAGATATAAATCAAAGCGCCAAAAAACCTAAGTACAGCGAGGACTCTAGTTCTTATTGGCATTCAGAACGTTCAATTGTAATTTTCGACGTTAATTTGGGTTGTTGGGTTCGGGATGGCAATGCTATTTATTACTTGGTTTTGTGCAGTAAGCGAAATCTGTACTCCTGAGTTACTCTCAGGATCGTGTTGGAATGATCGCCCAGGTCACAGGTCTTCCAATTGCAGGTATTTGTAGCGGAAAGGAAGTTCTTAGAAGATGCAGAAGCGTACCAGGACTTCTTTAGGGAAAGTTGACACTGTGCTGCGTTGAAGAGCAATCTGCACTTGCAGATGCTCACCTCATCGGCCAAACTCCAATATTCCAAAAGTTTAGGTACAATGGGTTCAACCCCGAAGTGAAGAGTGAATCTCTATGTTGAATTTTGTTGCAAGTCAGGACTGCACTGCAGAGGCCTCCCACCACTAAGGACATGAGTGATTCAATATGTTCATTTCTACCTCGTTCAAGCGAGTATTTACAGAACTCACAAAAGACGCCAGCGCGAAAAAGACTTTTCAAACCATGTCCCCCATGTGATGTTATTCCTCTAATCGAGCGGGATGCCCTCGTATTCAGCGAAGCCTAATGCAAGGTTCATGTTTTCTGTATTTCAGTTAGTCTTCGAGCATCGCTGGATAGTGGTGAATTGACTTACGCAAACACTGCGTGGCAGCCCCCTTCAACAAATTATCAATCGTCGCACAAACGACGACTCTCTTCCCAGAGCTATGTACACCAAAGCCACCAATCTCAACTCCATGCTTCCCGCTAATAGCCTTGACGCTAGGTGACTCTCCAATAACCTTCACCAATCTCTCGCCGGCATATCGCTCTTGATAAAGTTGGCGAATATCTCGGCTTGTCATCTTGTCTTTCAATGGCATGCTGATCGTGTGGTGAATACCCTGGAACCACATTGCTACGTGGGGAACGAAGGCAACTTCGACACCTAGCTGGCTGCTGATCTCACGCTCATGGATGTGGTCTGTTAAGCTGTAGGGAATGATGTTATTTGCGAGATTTTCGACGTCGTTCTTGGGGCTGGGCTTGGTACCTGCTCCAGAGTAGCCAGAAACACCAAAGATGGTAGGTTGGCCACCGAGGAAGGGTACTAAAGGAGCTATGCCGAGCTGTGCGGCTGTGGCATAACATCCGGGATTGGAAATGCGGGTGGCCTTTGCAATGTCGGATCTGTTGACGAGTTCGGGAAGGCCGTAGGTCCACTTGTTATCGAATCGATAATCAGCAGAAAGATCAACGATCACACTATTTTGTGGTCCTTTTCCTTGGTCGACGGCATCAACAAAGGGCTTGCAGACGCCGTTGGGAAGTGCCATCACCCAGCAGTCGATTTCACCCTTCTCTTCCATACGACGAACATCCTCGGGAGTCAAGTTCTCGTAAGTAATATCTCGCTTTTCGTAACCCTTTAGCTTTTGGCCAGCAAGCTCACGGGAGGAAACGTGACAAAGGTCCATGTTGGGGTGAGAATTAAGAAGGTTGATGAGAGCCTGTCCGGTGTACCCTCGGGCTCCAATCAACGCAACTTTAGCTGGCTGCGTATTGGAAGAGTTTTTGTTGCCAAAAGGTGGGTTGGGATTAGTGGTGGTAGCATATCCACGTGATGGAAATGGGAATGCGAGTGAACGAGGAGTGGTACGGGGTGTCTTTGAAACAGGTCGGCGTGCACTAGTTGAGAAGGCTCGTGCTTGTTGCATTTGTGGAGATGGCTGATGCATTGAAGCACTCATGCCCGAAGCAGCTCTGGCGGCTCGGTGAAGACGTGCTTCCAGGTTTGCATCGCCGAGCATAGCACGGCCGTACTTTGTGAACTCGGTCATGAGCTCCTTAACCTCATCTCCATTTTCAATGCCGTACCAGAACATGACCTCACCGTCCTTGGACAGACTTCCTTCAGCCTTGTCGAAGAACCAAGTCAAATTCTCATCATCTTCCTTGACAGTCCAGACGAGCTTGGGGTGATCCTTCTTGATGGCAGCAAAGACATTGTCAGCAACATTGGTCAGCCATCCGGACTTGGTAATTGTGAAGGTTGCCAGGTTTGCCAAAGATGTTTCCGCGCTTGGAGTCAAGACAATCGCCAGGGCATCCATAGGCTCATCGAAATAAGCCTTGAACTCCCGATTCTTCAGACCATCCACGTATCGATCGACGGTTGCCCTAGCATCGAGACCTTCGCGATCTCTGACAAGAACTTCCTTGAGCTTCTCAAGATCCTCGAATTGAGAGACGCTAGTAGAGGTGTTCAGCTTGTTTCCTCGTCGAATGAGAGTTCCAGCTCCAGTATCCGTGAACAGCTCCTTCTGGAGATCAGCAGGGTGAATAATTGCCACGCTGGATGTTCTTGGAAGACCGTCGAGCAATTGCTTGGTCTCCTTGATCTTTAATCTTGTGCCATATCTGCACCACCATTGGGACATCAGATAATCATATTCCTCGTCCAAGTTAATGGCCGAGATCTTCTCGTTTGTGTCAGCGTTAAAAAGTCCTCCCTTCTCCGAAAGGTAGACAATCTTCAACGGCTGAAGCTCTCGAGCAAGTTCTCCTGCTGCAACGTCTGCGTTGACGTTCAGCACCTGGCCCTCTGGTGTCTCTGCCATAGATGTCAAGATCGGCAGACATCCTGCGTTGATAGCTGCTTCGATTGGGCCCTTATCCACCTTGTTGATCTTTCCAACCAAGTTGTATTTCTCCTTGTCTAGGTAGTCCGCTCCGAAAACGCCGGATGTGATAGGTCGTGCCCGAACTCCCATTTCTTCCAACTTCTCAACCAGCTTGAGGTTCTCCTCTAGGAACAGCTTTCTTGCCACTGCCAACGTCTTGCCATCTGTGACCCGGATTCCTTCTTCGAACTGAGGCTCAACACCTGCGTCCTCCAAGAGCTTGTTTAGTTGTGGTCCAGCACCGTGAACAACGACTGGGAAGAGGCCGACATGGTTCAGAAATGCGAGTGCAGAGGTAAGGGATTCGAGATGTTCAGTTATAATAGCTCCTCCAACTTTGATGACAGCGAATTGCTGCGAGGAGACCGAGCTGAAGTGTGACAAGTACTGTTGAACTTCCCTCTTCGAACCGATATTGCTGAGCAGTTGTACAACAGTTGACCGAGTTGAGAAGTTATCCAATGCAGCGGATGCATAATCTCGTCTTGCTGAGAGAGCTACCGCCGTGGCAACCTTTGGTAGAGTTCGAGCAGAGGTTGAAGGGAGGCGGCTGGCAGCTTTACGTGCCCTTCTGGCAACAGCACCGGCTGTGGAACGCAGAGCCAGCATTTCGAGGATTATTTAGGAGTGGAGATTCGTATTGAGAGTCGAGGAGGCTCTTCTTCCAGCTCCTGCAGAGCAACGAAGGACGTTCGACGTTCCCAAACAGCTTCGAACGCTCGTTTATCTCATAGAAAAACGCGGGGAGAAAGGCACCGTTCTCGAAAATGGCGCACCGTTTCTGCGGGGAATTGTTAGCGAGTCACTTTTCCGTTAGCCTCAGTGTGTAGGAATATGATGGAAATGTTCGTCGGTCAAGGGCATCGTACCTCAAATGATCAATGGATTGATCACTGGGAGATTTTTCGACGTTCACTCATATCTATTGCCCTTCGCAGACCTAGCAAAACTGGTGTGGGGTTGCGAGACCGGTCGGATTGGCTGCAGACCCTGCTGCTAACTTTTCCACTGCACATGCGTGCGCAAAAAATGTTTTCACCTGATTTCTACTGAGGGGGAAGCCTCTGGCCACTTGCAATAGAGGAGGGATTGTTTAGCTGCATGAGAGTGCCCCGCGGTCGGTAAGGCACAATTTTCAAAACTGCGGAGCTCATGCGGCTTAAGAAGTCTTCCTTGCAAGAGACTTTCGACTTGGAGCTCGGGTTGCCTCTCAGAATCGTCTTGCTAGATGGACTAGAGGTAGTTCAGATATCATTGGTATACTAGAATGACGAAGCCTTGAAACTAGAAAGAGAGAAGAAAGGGAAGAAAACTAGAGAGTAGAGCCTATCATCACTGCCAAGATCGTGAAACTGTCGTGATATCTCAATTATTTCCACTTATCAGGTCCTACAATATACACCTGCCGTTGGTTGAGTGCAGCGGCTATGATCCATCTGTCGAAATTCCATGACAGGCAGATCAAGCAGTCCCTCATCAATGTATGTGACGCCCTTCGAGAAAGAAACTAGCGTAAATTCAAATGACAACTCCAGACCGCTAAACCATCGTTGAGCTTGCTCGATTCCAGCGAGTGCCGCAGAGAGGATCACAATCCAATGGATTCCACAGCACCAGGCAGACCAAACGTGCCCCTCAAGCCTTCCATCTACCATGCCTTTGTACCTTGCCTCCTCTACCACCGTTCCTCTACTTGTGTGTGGCGACAACTATAATGAAGGGATTAGTATAGTGATTTACAAGCAAGGACGGCATTTGCATACCAGTTGGAACAATGATGACGATGAGCAAGATGACGATGCCTCCAATCAAACACATTCGCATCTTCATGTCTGCCATAATGTTAGTACAGTGACAACTGGCGGTTGAACTTGTACAGACCTTTCCACCACATTTGCTTACGAACTCTGTTGGCACCACGGCGGAATCCTTGAGCTGATACAGCGAGGTTATCGGTCTTATCTTGGAGGGAGTCGAGGCGTTCTCCACGCTGTGAGACCTTGTTGATGTTCTCTCGCATTACACCAACAGTATCATCGATTTGCTAGACAAGGAGGTGTTAGAAAGATTCCTAAACATACTTGCGAACGCGGTCCTGGTATCCATGTGGTTGGACGAGATTGATCGTTGCTGGCATTTGCTGCGACCAGCCTAGATCTGGGCGGAAGGCAAGTGATGCGGATGTTGTATCCGGCGTTCTTGTCCTGGGTAGATATCCTGCTCAATTAAGCCCAAGCCTCCGGATTCCTGCTTCGCGATGGATTGCTCTCGTGTGCTGACGGTCGCGGTTTGGCACACCTATACATGATGGCAACGGAGGAACTCGAACCATCTGTAATCGACTCCCCCATCATAATTCCATCTCGGATTCAATCGGCAGGCATAGCTATCTCACAGCCTGGTTCTCCGGATCCCCGAACCCAATTGCTTCGCTGATTCTGGTGTGCATCGTGTCGCTGTCTTGGCGCGGAGTCGTCGGGTTGAGCAAAGGTCGCATCAAATCCACAGTCCATCGGTCAAGAGTTGGTCCAGCGGTATGTCTGTCATCTGCAGAAGGGATAGTCACTTACTGCTTGTAACGCCGCCGTTCTTTGATTGCCTGGTGCGGGTTGAGCGCCAGCTCCGCCAGCCGCTGGCTCAGAGGGAATGTATGGGTCATATGGGCGATCTCCGGTGCTTGCCATTGCGAAAGTATTGATAAGTTCGAGGAGTGTTGTTGCAGGAGATGGAAGTCGCTTTCAGAGTTTGGTTGTGGGAGTTGCGAAGATTGAAGAGGTGGTCTTGTGAGTTGAAGGGAGATGAGGTGCGCTACATGAGGATGGTTTGAGCTGGGTTTTGGAGGCGAAACGGCGGGAAGGTCCAAACAAAGTTGTTGCTGCCAACGAATGGGAAGGGTTTCGTTGACAAAATGGTCTTCCGTGTTTGATTTGGAGATCGTAGGGATATCACAAAAGCTTCGACGGATATATAAAATAGCTGCCTACTCTTTCCATGAGCCACAGCATACGCATTCATTCTCGCCGCCCACATCACGTGAACGCATTCGCGACCTGGAAATCTCAGCTCAGCCTGCCTCTTCGGACAGGCTGTGCATCAAAGTTGCGCAAAGGGTTAATAATCCAGTTATTGTGCAGGGGTCTGGCACTCACCGAGGTCGCCTGCGAGTCAGCCCTTCATCCTTCTTCACCCCTCCCAGAAAGACTCCAAATTTAGTATCGACTATGTCATGATGTCCAGCTCCATTCCAGTACATTGCGCAAAGGGGATCCGTCCCCTTCTTTCCAGAACTTCATTACTGCCTCCAGTCCTCGTAAGTCTTGGGCAGAGTAGGCATGATGGTGGATTTTATTCTTCTACGACATTGTACGCTCCTCATATCGTCCCAAGCTTCAATTGCCCAGATTCAACGTTCTTTTTGAGAAGTTTCATACTTTTGTAACTATTCTTCCTGGGTGCGAGATCTTGGTTCGTATTTTTTAGACCATTCTTTCGAGCAGAGTTAGTTCATGATGCAAGGCCCGCCAAAAACACCAGGTTTGCGCCTTCCTCCTCAAGAGCAAGGACTCCATCTGCCATCTTCGTTCTTTCTTCCGTGCATGCTTTCAATGCAATAACGAGCAAAGATTGTCTGGCATTTCTCTTCCATTTTATCACTCTACTTTCGTTTTGGTCCTTCGTCCTTCGTCCTTCGTTGCTTGGCGCATCCAGACGTCACTTTTCAGTTTTCCACACTACCATCAACGATCCGCTTGCGGAACACTCGTTCAACAACGATTACAGATTGGAACCCAAAGTATATTCTTAAGAGTTCCAGAGTCGGAGGGGAATATATCATTCAAAGAGTGTATACTTTATCCCAAGTTTTGGATTAGGGGCTCGTTGACACAGATTGCTGCCGAGCAACATCAACGTCATCGCTCCGGGGATACCGCCAGTATCTCTAAATTTCCTGGGGAATCACATTCCTCCTTCGAGACGATTCTAGTGTCGCGATGAGGTTACCCAAGGTCACGGCCAGTGTGGCAATAGCGTTGTTGGCCGATGGTCGAGTGGCGCAAGCCATAAACCTTGACTTGGGCTCTATAGGTACGTCGTCACTCAGACTCCTCTAAAAATAATATTCAAATCTAACAATTTTCCAGACTCTATAAAATCCGCCGCGAGAACAATCGCATTCGACATGATGAGCTTCTACAATGGTAACACCACCGGTAACATACCCGGAAATCTCCCAGGCCCATACTATTGGTGGGAAGCTGGTGCTATGTGAGTTCATTTCGTGGAATTTCTGTTTGACTTGCTGACATTTCTTGCACCAGGTTTGGAGCGATGATCGATTACTGGTATTATACTGGGGATACAACGTATAATGACATTACAACCCAAGCAATGCTTTTCCAGGTTGGACCGAACAACGATTATATGACCCCCAATCAAACGAAGACAGAGGGGAATGATGATCAAGGATTTTGGGGATTGGCAGCGATGTCTGCTGCTGAGGTTAATTTTCCCAACCCTTCTCCGGATCAACCTCAATGGCTCGCGCTTGCACAAGCCGTCTTCAACACGCAAGTGGTTCGCTGGGATGATACATCATGTAATGGAGGTCTCAGATGGCAGATCTTTACATTCAACAACGGCTATACTTACAAGAATTCGATCTCCAACGGTTGTTTCTTCAACCTTGCTGCCCGTTTGGCAAAATACACTGGCAACGATACTTATGCTCAGTGGGCAGAAAAAACATGGGACTGGATGACCGGAGTTGGGCTTTTGGACAACAGCTACTATGTCTACGATGGTTCTGACCTGACCATCAACTGTTCCAACGTGAACCACCTACAATGGACTTACAATGCTGGTGCCTTCTTACTTGGGGCTGCCAACATGTACAACTACACGAACGGAAGCTCAAAATGGCAAGAAAGAGTCAACGGCATGGTAAAGGGGCTCGATGTTTTCTTTCCAGCAAATAACATCATGCAGGAGGTGGCTTGCGAGAACAACGGAAAATGTGATGTTGATCAACATTCATTCAAGGCCTATCTCGCTCGATGGATGGCAGCAACCACAAAGATGGCCCCGTTTACATACGATGCCATCATGGCCAAACTTACACCCAGCGCACAAGCTGCGGCTCAGCAATGTAGTGGCGGCAACAACGGGAGAATGTGCGGTTTGAAATGGCAATCAGGCACAGCTTGGGACGGCACTACTGGAGTTGGGCAGGAGATGGCTGCTCTCGAGGTCATCCAGAGCAACCTGATAGCTCAAGTCCGCGGGCCCGTGACGAACTCCACTGGCGGTACCAGCAAAGGAGATTACTCAGCTGGAACAACAAGTGTCAGTCCCACAGCAATTACTCCAGCTACAGAAGCCGATAGAGTCGGAGCTGGCTTCGTCACTACAGTTGTACTAGCCTGTTTCGTCGGCATGGTCTGGTGGATGATCGTATAGCAAGGAGCATGGTTCGCTCCTGTCGAAGTTGGTATGTTAGGCCGGCCGGTTGGAGATGGTAATGAGGTGAATTCTGCATAGAAGCGGTTCAATGGACCTGGAGTTCGGTTTGGGAGCACACTGGTATATTATTGGGAAGGGGTTGAAAAGGATTCTGAGATGGATATTTTTGGGACCTGCATAGCGAGGATTATTACAAGAACTGGAGAAAGAAATGTGATCGACGACTAGATCAATATCCTAATATCTTCTCTCAACCTTTTGCGTACAGATAAAACCTCCAAGTTCTCCTGGCCAAGCAAACCACCGGCTGGAGGCCCAAGAACACCATAGCAAACCCGACAACACCACTACCGCCACTGGTCGATGCCAAGACGTCATGAAGTTGACATGGCACCCCCAACTTCTCTCCTCTTGTAAGAGAATAATCAACACTTTTACAAGAGAGTACTAGAAGTAGAAATGGAGAAACGGTATTACTGGCATGCTTTACAAGAAACGGTGGCAAGGTATTGGCATGGCCCTCGATCGGCATGCCAACAAACTCTACAAATTTCTCTCCCACAGAGCCGAGGTAGCTGTTCTGATCTAGATGAGAACAGAGAAAATCGGGCTGCACGGATCCTCAATACTATCAAGCGCACAGATGATCCATGGTGCGGCTATGAACAGGCTTACTAGATAGTGTATTCGTACCATATTATCGAAGACTGCGAGTCCCTTAAAGACACTCGATTCACGTACCTGGGGGCGAGCTATGTCAGAGATGCCAAGCTCTTCCTTAGAGACATAGAGTTCATACCCAAAACCGTCAAATTCATACTTGCTGCGGATCTCGCAACATAAAGTCATGTGACTTCAGAGTATGTGCCCCGTAGATAGCGCAATGCTGTTGCTAGACGCTGGGTCTGCTACAGTACGGAAGTAATAGTCGGACTTGACGTTGCGCTAAAGGGGCCCTTCCCTTTAGTCGGGGAAAGCGAGTTGTCCCGGGAAAGCGAGTTGTCCCGCACCACACCAAAATTTCTATGCAATCGCAGACACTTGAATTGCACCATACAACCAAATAACCCTTAAATTAATGCGCAATTAAGGATATAATCTCTCATTACTCTAATGCTACAAAATCTGCATTTTGAGCTATTGAATCAGTCGATATTACTGATCTAGGTGGTGAAGAATACAGAACCACCTCCTCCCTACTAACCCCACCATTTATACCCTCTCGTGCCTCCTCTACCTCCTTATCTGATCCCCTAGACTCCTCTGATATTGCCCGTATATATAATTGACTAAGAGGGTTCCCCTTTACCCGGTGAGCTTGTTCAGATGCGAGTATTGCAGGATCGATAGGGATATCGGTAAAGATTGCGGGATCTTCGGCCTGTATACGATCGAATTCAGCTTGCTCCTTAGCTACCTTATCGTAAAGTGATTGGTACTTAATTCGAATGGCTTTAAGCTCGCTTTCCGTAGGTTCGGTTTGGGGATCGCGAATTGGTATTAGGAGCTCGGGAGGGATAATTGTATCGGTTCCAAGGACTTGCTTCCTTGCTTGTACCTCCAGATCTCTCACTCTCTTCTTCCTCTCTCTCTCTGCCGCTCGTACGGCGATTCCTACTCTTTTGAGAGCTTCCTTTTCAGCTAATTCAGCCTTTGCGAGCTGTCTTTTAGCCTTCTTTAGCTCCTCCTCTGCTGCATTCCTCACTTTAATCTTCTTCTTTTCCAGAGCATCAGATGCATTTAACCACCCCCCCCTTTGGAAACTAAGCCGTGCGTTTAGCTTAGCCTTATGACGTTTAACCTGTGCCTTGCGAGTATTCTGGGCATCCAGCTCTTGTAAACTTCCAAGTATTAGGTGGTTCTTGGTAGCCTTGATCGTAACTGAATACTCTTTGCGAGGGGAGGAGCTTAAAGTATCCAGAATCTTGTCGTTGAGATTATCGAGCCGTAGAACGCATTCGTTATATGAAGAAGGAGGTTTTGGAAGGGTAGGTAATTGGTATTCGTAAACAGGAGCAGGAGCAGGCGTGGTAAATCGTACGTTTTCTGCGTTTTCTGTATCCGATTCAGTTTCCGATTCAGATCCAAACTCTAGAAATTAAAGGCCAGTGTCTTTCCTTCTCTTTTTACTATACTTCTTGAGCTTTCTCCGTACTGCTTTGAAACTGACAGGCCAAATTCCAGCGTTCTGAAAGGCGTATTTAATCGTACGAATAGTAAATGTCTTCTCCCGTATTCCAGGAAGATCGCGAAAGAAGTACTGGATATTGTATTCCGGCTCGTACGAGCGAATTGCATTCATAATATTAACCTGCTAGTAGTGTTTCCATTCCCTAAAAATACTAATATCGCATGGTTAAAGTAGGTAGGTTTGGTAAGAGGGGAATTGGACGATTCGTATCTTATTAAACGTAGCTTTTAGGATAAAATCGTCCGCTTAATGGCAAGTTGCTCCGTTAATCAAGAGAATACGCCATTCCTTATTAGGACCGCAGTTATTATGCTTGATAAAATGGTCTAACCAAACCATATAAATGCCCTCGTTCGTATATCTTATAGGAGAGACTATAATAACCTTATAACCAGTCATATTTTCGTAGAACCAAGAAACCATAATCATAATTCCAGGGATAATTACTACCGGAGGAATTGCCTTGCCATTTACAGATATATACTTAATTATTATAAGAGACATGCGATTTTCTGGTATTCCTGTATATATCTCCTTGATTCTAATTAGAACCACTACTTCCTCTCCTGCAGGCATACAAATTCGTACTCCTTTCTCGTCCATATTATATATCCGATCCCCATGGCATATGCCAGTTTCTTCTAATACCGGACGATATTCAGTCTCAAACTAATTGCGGAGGCTCTATTCGGTATGGAGATCGATATAGTGGCTCGCAATAGGCTTCGTCTTAATCGTATGGAGTTCTGGAGTACTCTTTAGCTATTGAGAGAACCATTTCCAAGATGGAGCTGTCTTATTATCCTCCGTTCGCATCCACATTATACAGTTATATATCATTTGCTTTGTAGCTCCTTTCCCTCTATTGATCGCGTATAATACCGCGTACTGAATCAATGCCTCGTATTAATCAGGATATAAGATCTTGTTCTGGCCTCCCTATTATACTCTCGCTATTCCTATCTTCTTCCTCTCTCTCTGCCACGCTTTCTTTACTATATCTTCATTTCGTACGCAACACGCACGTGCCGCAGTCGCAGGAGTCTCTTCTGGGTTAGCCTTGAGGAATTAAATAGCTTTACGGAACTTATCTCTCTCTGGTATATCGCGGAGGAGTGCATTATTGGGGAGGTTACTTAGGCGAGCCATTGCTGTTGAATTTGACTGATTTTCAGGGTGATTTGGGCTGGTGGTGATCAAAATAATTGATTTTTACTATGGGTGTTCCATACAAATTGGAAAATTTTGGGATCGGTGCGGGACAACTCGCTTTCCCCGACTAAAGGGAAGGGCCCCTTTAGCGCGACGTCAAGTCCGACTATTACTGTAGAACGCGTCTCAATGTCCTTCCGAGGCTAATCAAATTCGAGATTAGCGGAATAAGCGAGAATCGTTGAGCATTAGAAGAGGTATCTTTTGAGTCGCATGCTGAACGATATCAGCCTTATCTATACGCGTTGAACTCGGTTGAAGAAATTAGAATTACTCTCAGTTTCTTAAGATCAAGTTTTGGTGGCGAAAGGATCTGTGGTTGCTGAGTAGTTCTCGGTCAAAGTGAGCTAATTTGAGCTCGAGACGAATCTAGACAGCCGTAGACAGCCTAGTTCGATTTCGTTCTCTAGCAGCACTATCCCTCCACGCTTCTCTACCACGACCTGTCCCCTCTCTCAGACACTCTCCAACGCTGCCTAAAAGCAGAATCGCCTTCCAGCATCCTAATATAGCGGAAGCACCTCTCGAGCCATAATTTTCCGCGAAGAGCACCTCCTGGCAGACCGAGCAGCATGGCCACCAATTTTCCGCGGAATCATTGGCTCTCCCGGCCCCAATGGCAGACAACTAGATGGCATGGGTGGAGGAAAGTCTGCGTTGTAGGGCCGTCTACAGTTGCAGAAGCTGGTGTCGATTATACGTTCGCTGCGATTGGGGTGAAGAACTTGGATATCGATTGATTACTCGAGCAATTGTGGGAACGTGACGAGTACCATTGGGCCGTTCGCTGTTGATAGTGGCTTGGTTCAGCGAAAGGAGGGTATGGCTACGGTCAGGATACATAATACGAATATGGGGAAGATTATTTATTCCACATTTCCAGTTGTGGATGGAGAGGCTGCCTCGAGTGGAGGGTTTGCGATTGATGGTGTGGCCGGGACAGCTGCGAAGATCAAGCCGGCGTTTATCAATATAGCGTCAGCATTGGCTGGCCTTGGTAGGGTTATCTCATGCTAATGGTGTGTAGAGGCTTGAAGACTGGCAAGATGCTTCCGACTGGGAATATCACAGATACCTGTGAAGGAGTGGAGGCTACTTGCGTCGATGTTGGGAGTCCTTGCATTTTTATACAAGCCGAGGGTGTTGGTATCGCGGGTACAATACTTCCGGATGGGGTCGATGCACATCCAACCCTTCACAAGACACTCGAATCCATCAGAAGGAAGGCAGCCGTGGCTATGGGAATCTGCAAAGACGAAGCCTCAACACCAGGTTCGATACCAAAGATTGCTATGGTCTCATGGTCAGCCTCACACAAACTTCTGTCTGGCGAGACGATCCAGGGGAATACGATAGATCTGGTAGTGAGGGCTTTATCCGTGGGCCAGCCTCATCGTGCTGCCCCTATCACTGTAGCCTTGGCTACAGCTGCTGCGGCCAACCTCAAAGGCTTGACGGTTCATGCGAATGTCTCTGGTGAGAGGGTAGATTCGGATGTGAGTACAATAGGCCACTCAAGTGGTAAGATAACGGTTGGTGCCAAGTTTGATGACAGGGGTTCTTTGACACATGCTACGGTGTTCAGGACTGCTAAACGGCGCATGGATGGGTTTGTATATTTGAAACGAAATGGCCTTACAGTCTAGACTAGAATGTTGAGAGGATTCCACGAATCCACACCTGCTGGTAGAGAATACTGTGAGAGTCTCCGGCCCAATGGAGATTAGGTGCCTCGAAAGATTCATTCTAAATATAGGGATCCACAAGTAGGAACGGAGAAGTCCTCCTTACCAAACAAATTAAACTTTCCAATAGACTGGTTATTTTGTTATAGTGAAAGCTTCTGAATCTCACTCTGATTGCCAATTGGTAGAGAAGGATTTGAGCAAGGAAAGTGAAGCGAGCTGGTGGAGAATCCCCGCGTTCGCCTCACCTTCCTTGATAAGAAAGGAGGAGGAATACTTGGAACAGACCGACATTGACGCACTTGAGGAAAATACTCACTGCTGTTACTACATTTCGGTTCAGTTACCCACACAGTCTTTGGCTCCAATACTCCTGTACGAGTGTCTGAGACGTCCTCATTCTGCATTTCTGCAGTACCTTGACCATCCAGCAGCGCTCACGGAGCTGTGACGCGATGGCTCCTCCACAGAACTTGCTGGAGGTCCTACGGGAACGCACAATTGTGGACTGTGATACCATGGATGCAGACGGTGGTTGTCCCCTGAAATATTCTCGTAGCTTACACTGACAAGTCCTAGTCGCCGAGAATATTGGGAAACCAGTTCAATTTGCTGACTGCACCTCGAATCAGGTATTGCATCTCAAACTTAACCCAACGTTATTTTGAATAACTACTCACTGAGTGCGAAATATTCAGGCAATTGCTTACTTTGAGCTTCAAAAACCCAAGCATAAGACAACTCTTCGCGAATCCAGACCTTTGGCCACTGCCCTGGGATCAAAATACCCCAATACTCCAGTGAAAGAACTCTTTGTGGAGATTTCTGTAATTCTTCCCAGAGCAATGAAGTAGCGCCAGATATAGTATTCTGATTTTGTTTCGATAGATGGTCAAACTGCAACTCGAAATCTCGAAGCATGTCACTGGATTTGTTCATGTTCAGACTAACCCCTACTACTCGTATGACACTGTGAAGACTGTTAAGAATGCCGAAAGTACAGTTCACTTCGAGGAACTCGGTATGCGAAAACCAGCTAATGTATTGCAGGAATCGTGGAACATTTCAAGCTTCTGGACAACACCTTTGATCCAAGCCGAGTGTGCATCAAGATACCCAGCACGTGGGAAGGCCTCGAGGCATGCCGTTTACTCGAATCGTCTGGTATAGCCACGTTAGCAACGACCCTCTTCACCATTGAGCAGGCTTGGATGGCTGGCGATGTGGGATGCGAATATATCGCTCCTTACGTGAACGAACTGAAGGTCCATTTTGAGGAAGGGTGAGTTTCGTTACCCGTTCCAAGGCAGCGGCTCACATTCTACAAGATTCGTTGACCGCAACAAATCTATGGACCTATGTGTTCATGCACATCGCTTGTACAGTGCTAATAAGGTCAAAACTAAGGTCCTTCCAGCCAGTCTGACATCCATCGACGAGATCATGGCCCTAGATGGTGTTGATCACATCACGATCTCACCTCAATTACTTCAAGAATTGGTTCGAACACCAGCTTCTGAGAAGACCAAGGCTTCCTTGTTCGATGGTGAGATTGAGGTACCTCCGATGCTTTCTTTTACGAATGAAGCTGAGTACCGAATTGCTTTCACCCTGAGTGGAAAAGGAGAAGGAGAGCGTAAATTGACGCAGGTAAGTTGGCTGATGTCTGAGAGGTTATGGCTGATTGTTCATCTAGGCTATTAATATCTTCTGTGAGATGCAGACAAAGCTTGAGGCGATGATGAATCAATGAATCAGCAGTGGCCATGTTGAGACACTCAAGACTGGAGTGTGTTGGTAATATGTACGTTGTATTTCTCGAGGCTCATACTACCAGAAATCAAAAAATCCAGTCTCCAAGAGAACACTCGCTGTTGATTCCCGCCTCCCTTCCATGTTTCTCCCTCCAGCAAGCCATTAATAATATCCGAGATCTCACGCCGCGCCGATCCTGAAGCCCCTTAAGAATTCATTAGTACATCAGCCATTTTCTCTATTTTAGCCCAACTCACCCATCGACAAACAAATTCGCACCATGTACCAAACTCGTCCTGGGACTGGTGATCAGCACAGCAACATCTCCTACTTCACCAAACTTGGGGCTTCTTTCCTGTTATTATTCGAGTGCATTCCAAGCTTCGATCGGCACTCCGCCTGCCCTTCCAACGATGGGACTGAGGAGGCAGGTTAGCAGGAAACCTGGAGAGATGGCATTAACACGGGTGTGATGTTCTCGAGCTTCGAGGGCTGCCTAAAGCGCGGCCAATATGACTGGAGAAAAGATCAATAGGGAGAAGTAGATCAATTACAGTTTTAGTGATTCCTAATACAGTGCCCCTCCTGCGATGATCAGGTATTTATGGTCCCAGAGTGTAGGTAGTTAGATCCATGCTAAGTATGACAGCGTACTTTAGCTCGGCTTCCCCGTCATCGAGACGTACGGGGTAAGTCTCTAGATTAATTGAGATCTGTTGAATCTAATGTTGTGCATGTGTATGAAGTTGGTCGCAACGAAGTACTGTCACAGAAGATATTGTCAAAGAAAGTTAAACTCCTCTTCGGACAGTGAGGAGATCAGAAGTTCAACCCTCGTTGGGAGGATCATGAAACCATGGCACCATTATCATCGTTGTAAGTGTTGAAATCTCTAATATGGTAGGTGGCACTCCTTTCAAATTTCAGAAGGTCTATGAAACACAGGACGCAACTTTCCACGAGGTTGATTACTCAACTCCACTTCCAATACCGCTGATCCCACCAAAATGCTCAGATGCTTGAGAATTCAATATCTCCCAACCTTGCTGGGAGCAAACACTAAAAGGCAGGCAGAGGAATAGAGAGAACAATCAAAGCGACTTGGTTCGATCTCGCGATGCATCCTCGATAAGGGAGTAACGCTGCCCTATTTCCGTTCCCTGAGGTTTCCAAAGCACATCAACGAAACTTACATAAGGCGGTAAACAGTGGAATGGAGTGGATTCAACAATATCATGCATCTGTCGTTCCGTATCGTAAAACAGTCCGATGCGATTGTTAGGTACCCCCTATCCACTCTCGCGTAATCTCGGCTACTTTCTAACGAGAAACGTAAGCTCGACTACGCATTACGCCACGCAAAATATCGACACAGCAAATCGAAATATGCTCAATAATGGTTCTTGCATTATGAATCTCCGATAATGTTATTCCGTACCTGAGCAAGTTACTCTAAAAAAGCTTGTTCAACTCCGTACTTAGCCCCAAAGACAGGGGAGCCAGGCAGCAAGGCGATTGCCGATGCCGGGCCCCACGCGGATGAGATCGTCCTAGCGCTCTTGAAGCCGCTCGATCCGCTACATCCTTTCTCTCTTCTACTTTTCAGTCCTAGTCCGAAGATTGTCCACATGAGTGACGCATCAAGGAAGTTATATAAAATGTCTTCAATCGCCTGCCAAGTGGCAGGAAGCCAAGACAATGATCTCGAAAGGCCGCGATTCGTTGCGCGAAAGGATGTCACCGCGGGCAAGCCAGACGGAGGATTCCGATACCGACCAGACATGGACACCATCTACTCCGCCGAACGATGAAGAGAATACGTTACCATTAGGGGACACCAAGGAGAAGGAGAAGAAAGATCCTAATATAGTTGATTGGGATGGAGATACAGACTCCGCGAATCCAAGGAATTGGAGTAAAGGTTACAAGAGTTGGATAACTTTTCAGCTTGGGATGCTTGCGTTAGCTGCAAGTTTGGGATCGAGTATTATCGCTCCTGGGGAGAACGCTGTTTCTCAATACATCGGAGTGAGTAGAGAGGTCACAGTTCTGACAATCTCGTTGTATATGTAAGTTGCGCGGAGCAGATCTTTATCGAATTTTGTACTAATAATGTCTGCCAACAGTCTCGGATTTGCTTTTGGGCCTTTGTGCTGGGCACCTATATCTGAAATATGGGGCAGAAGATGGTCAATGTTGCCTGCGATGTTCGTCTTGGGTTTATTTTCTATCGCCACGGCGGTTGCGAAGAACGCCGAAACGATATTTATAACTCGGTTTTTCGCAGGAGTGTTTGGATCAGCTCCTGTTAGCAATGTGGCGGCGGCGCTGGGTGATATTTGGGAACCGAAAGCCAGAGGAGTTGCGACTACATTTTACGCAATTGGTGAGGTTATTCTCTTTGCTCTCTCGATAGAAAGCTCTAGCTGACCATTTCCAGCCGTCGTAGGAGGACCAACCTTAGGGCCAACAATCGGAGCAGCCTTGACAGTAAACCCTCACTTGGGATGGCGGTGGACCGAATATATCGAGGCGATCTGGGTTTTTGCCACTCTGTTGATGTGTGCCTTCGCACTACCGGAAATCTACGGCCCCGTCCTGTTGAAGAGAAAAGCCCAGCGTCTGCGCAAAGAGACCGGCAACGAAGCACTCTACCACCCTGCAGAACGAATCAAGTTATCTCCAAAGACGATAGCCACAAAGCATTTTGCCCGGCCACTTCGTATGCTGATAACGGAACCCATGGTCACCTGCATAGCCTTCTATGCCTCATTCGTCTACGCACTGCTCTATCTAACTCTAGAAGTCTTCCCTGTCGTCTTCCAAAAGAATCGACATTGGAGCCCCGTCATTGGGTCCCTACCCTTCATTGGGCTCTTCATCGGCGTCTGTCTTGCAACGTTCGTCAATTTAGGAAATCAAGCCCGATATGCCAGAATCTCTGATGCCGCCCATGGAAAACCAGTCCCTGAGGCAAGACTGGCCCCCATGGCCATCGGCGGTTTTCTCTTCGCTATTGGGCTCTTCTGTAGGTGTTTGGGAGAAATCCTTTTCCTGAATCTAGCTGTTTCATGGTTTTCTTCTAAGACAACGTCCTTTCCTGAATCAATATCCATCGAGCAGTGGCTAACTACCCCGTTACCTAGGGTTTGGATGGACAGCGACGCCTTCAATCCCCTGGCTTTCTCCTGTGTTCGCAACACTCTTCATCGGCGCGGGCTTTAATATTATCTTCCAACAATGCATCAACTTCCTCGTTGACACCTACGGTGTCTACGCTGCAAGTGCGGTATCTGCAAATACTTTCTTGCGATCTATCATGGCAGCAGGATTACCGCTCGCAGCTCAGCCAATGTTCCATAATCTGGGTGTTGGGCCTGCGATGTCGATCCTTGGGGCCGTAGCTACAATTGCGATACCCGTTCCCTTTGTGTTTATGAAGTACGGATTGGCATTGAGGAAGAAGTCGTCTTTTGCGCCTGTAGATGAAGATTGAGATAGAAATGATAATATTCGAGTTATCTGGGCTATTTAGATACCCCTTGCTGCTCTGAAGAGGGGGTGGTTGACATATGGCTGAATTTCAACCTGCTCTTATTCATGAAATATGTCAGAATCCTGCACAGCCGCTATTTGTTCCAAAACTCCCTATGTGATCAGAGACGCTTCTTCAAGATGCGAGGGGCATTCGGCCTTTCGCAAGCTCAAAGGTGGGCCCTCGAACTCCGTTGGCGAGAAAGCGTGTACGAGACGGAGGTGGCCGAATTCCGCGAGGTTCTAGGATTCTATGACGCTTCGAAGTTGATATGGATGCCTGTAGAGACCTGCAGTAGCGTTGAGATCTCGGGTCTTCGGAATTGCCCGTCTGGTTTCTCAACAGGCTCGCGGGGGACAGAAAAAGCGGAACTGAATTCTCAATGTGCCAGATCAAGATTGGACATTCATGTGGACTCGAACGGGATAAGAGTTCAGTATTTTAGAGCTCCCAGATATCTGAAGGGGATAGCTTCTGAATGTACCACGACTCGCGGGAACATTTATCGCTGAAGGAATTGTGGTTTCCAGGACATTGAAACAAATGCCGCTCCTCTGTCCATTGTGAGACAGATTGTGGAGAGTCACTGCATCAAGCTCAACAAGCATATATAGTACTGCGATTGCGAGAGCTACAGACCACTGCCAAGCAGGTATCAAACTGGCATTCGACCAGGGCATATTCTCAGACATTGTAACAGCTCCGAGACTTTGACCTTGGCATAAAGTCCGTTCTGATCATCGATTCCCACGCTCAATATCACTTCATCATCAAGATATCCCATGACTTTTTCTCTGATGTCACTTTCTTCCCTTCCCCAAGCATACGCAATTGTCGTGGTGTAGGTAAACTGTCCCCACTCAGCACGACTACCCGATTCTGATTCCGGTACACCATCCCAAATCTGCTCTGGCGTCCAACCCCGATTCGTCTCGTTGGCCAAGAGGATGGGGTGTTGACTGACAGCGAGCATGTTGAAAGGTGGAGTAGCAGACCACACGACGAAGTATCGCTCATAGCGTTCAGGCAGGCCAAAACCGTTGATATGCTTTCTGTGAATTGCTGCAAAGAAGACCTTCTCTCCAATTTGGTTGATACAGGTTGAGTTCGATCTTATGCACAGGATTAGATTTAATGCTGGAGTAGCTTGGTGCCAGGAAGGACCAGCCATGAAATGGCCACCGCCCACTTCCTCCGGTGTCGGTTCGCTGAGGCAAGGCTCTTCCAGAGGGTCCGTCTCATTCGTTGTAGTGAGTCCAGCTCCAACAAGCTGGGCAAAAGTCCGACTGGTGGAATTCAGTTCGTATTGCAGATAAGATGTTGATGGCGACGGCGAGAACATCACCCAATTTTTTTCGTAAGAACGGCGAGTTGATGGTGGATTGCGCGTGAGCTCTGTCAGTGTGGGATACGACATCAGTGGCCCAGGTCCTAAACGTCGAGGGGATGAAGAGAACGTTTCTTCGAGGCTTGGGTAGACAACTCGCAGGTCAATCGCCCAGAGACCAATACAGGCATATCTCGACCTGATAACTATCAGCAGCTATTCAAAACTGCGATGGCGAATTTTCTTACTGCGATACAACCATCAAGATAGGCTCTCCTCGGACGGAGTAGAACAGCCTAGGATCATGAAAGCCTGGGATATCAGCCAGGAGCTGTTCATTGCCATCACAACTCTCGGCGGGAGTTGGAGGCACGTCGACCTCGACCGGTGAAGTGACGCATCGCAGACCACCGTTAGGACCAAGGACTTCGAGATCTTCTTCTGTGCAAGCCATCTCACGTGGGTTATTGGACTTCCGGGATTCGGGGTGGCAGATGTTGGCTTCGCAGAGCACATTTTTCCGATACGGCTCACCATGGGAAGCGACCATGTTAACGATAATATACTGACTTTTGGCCCAGTATGGAAGTGCAAATATTGTAGGGTTCCAAAAGGTCCTCGTCTCTCTTTTTGTGGCAGCTATAGGACTCATGGAGATGTTGTAAAGCAGATTTGGAAGTCGTATGTGGCCAGTGAACTGGTTGGGAGAACGGGGACAATGGGCGAGGTTGATCAACTCCTCTGGAGCTTTGATATTCGAGGCTTTGACTGGGTCGATGAGTTCTGCGTCCAGAAGGTCCTCAGCGCTCGCGCGTTGTTGTGTGGGTAATGGTGATGAAGGATGACTCCAGTCGTCGATGAGCGGTGGCATGAAAGACAGCCGAACTGGCTTTTGGGACGTCTCGATGTGTACGAATGCATGGGTATCGCCCGGCCACTCAGGTCGTCTAGACAACAACAGAATGAGCAAGCAGGTGATGGGGACTGAGAGCAAAAATCTCGTCATGATTGGACTCGACATTTCGGCATCAAGCAAGATGAATGCTGGAAGAGAAGATGAGCTTAGTTGAATATAGAAATTTCGTCGATAGAGTAGGAAAGGACTCGACGGAACAGAAAGACCTCATTGGAAGCAACTTAGGAAGGTGGTGGGCGAGGCGCTTGATTAGCGTGCATGATCTAGAGGGAAGTGCTAGATGTAGGTGTGAAACCATTTTAAGCAGGAGCGAGAGAATGCGGTGGTAGTCAGGGAAGATCAAGCCGGCATGGGAAATTTAAAGGAAAGAGTATACCTCCAGCTTAAATAGTTTGTCTTTTCGTTGTTCGGCTCTTAAGCAAGGAACAAGGCTAGTCTAGCAATGAGAGCGGTGTTCTCACTTACGTTCTCAACCAAACTCAAAATTTCCAGATCTCGGTTGCACTCCAATGTCAATAAAACCCCCTTAAAGCGAGCCAAAACAGTTGCGCGCCCAAAACAAAAGTTGACTGCGAAATAAGACAGAACAAGTAATAAATAATAGGCTGCAAGGGAATCAAAGACGAGAAAAGCAAAAGAAATCTGCGAGGACCCAGAAACTTGGCTTTCGCTCAGTTGTCTGCGGCAGAGCATACGTCTTAACCGTTACAATTCATACGATACACTGGTCTTGTGAGAATGTGAGGGCAGCTTAACGGGTCAGAGGCCTCTCTAATAGTTGGAAGCAACACACCTTATTTTGATAGACTAAGCTGCCCACATCGGGTCGTTTAACGGCATTTCGGAGGAGACGAGGTTGGCAAAGTGCAGCAGCCACCACAACTGGCAATAACTTTAGGAAGTAGCGAAGATACTCTTTACAAAATATAGGAACAAGATGCAGACTTCAACTTCCACCACAAATCTCCTCGAGAATACACGTCTCGTTTATGCGTCTGGCACGGACATTCAACTGAACTCTACTTCTATTACTTCCAAAGATTATGGTCAAAGATATGGGCAACAGCTTGTTTCTGACGCCAGAGTGTACTCCGAATCGGCCAGAGATCGTGGATGCTTCGACACCTTGGTCCGATATTCTGCTCGAAGAACTACGAACAGCAACTCAATCTGATTCAAGAACCCCGAAGAGATATGGTGTCGCAAAATTTGGTAGTTGCAGAACACATCTCCGAAACCAAAGTAGGATTTTATGGCTGACATTCCTGGTGATTGTCGGCCTTTTCTGCGCAGTGAAGGGAGGGAAGCAGGCAGTTTCGGATGAGAGCAAGCTAGTAGCTCAGCCAGAGCTCGATGGACTGCAGTTCGTCGGTGCCAACCATCCTTCTATTCGTGTACGCCAGCTCAATCGCTTGAGATCAAGCTGCGACTAATCGTATGGCAGTACGTTGGCCGCTGGGTATCAACTGCAGATGGAACTCATAAGGATGGCTCATTTCCTGGTAACAACCCTCTGATTCTCAGTCCGAACTTTGCTAACTCATTGTTCCACCCAGGAGTGTACTTCGACTTTGCCTTCAAAGGAAGCAAGACTGTGCTTCTCTCCCTACATAATAAAGATCAATTGAACCAATTGCCAAAGGAAAAATCCATCGGCTTCCCGCAAAGTCTCGCGTTCCTCCCTCTGACAAATGTATCAAGTGCAGCACCAATATCTCTCTTGGCCAGGGTCGATGATGAAGAATACATTGTGATTCCAAATGCAACCACAACCACATCGATTCGTCGAGGAAATCTGGAACCAAACTCACGCCATGATATTCGAATAATTGCTCCCATGGTCGGCAGCGACAGCTTGGAGACGTTGCAAGTCGAGGGAATCTGGATTGATGAAGGCGCCCAGCTCCTACCCTGTGAGACTTCGACAGACTTTGGAGACAATTTTCCACCGGCTCAATGTCCCTCACCTGTTCAGAATAAGATGCTAGAAATTATTACGGATATGCCGGGATTAAAGGCAGGAAAGGATAAAAACAAGAAGAGTGGCATCACCCATGAAATCCTGGGTGGGGTAATGGGCTGGGAATATTTACTAGGAGAGATGTTCGGAAGCGACCACGTTACAATAGGAATGGATGGCATGTGCTTGATTCAAGACTGTTTTGGAGGCAGAGGGAGTCCGGTGGGGCTCGCAGATGTTTTCTTCCAGAGGTTTTCCACCCGTTTCATATCGAGAGCTCATGACTGATATCAGATGTTCTAGTGGCCCTGCTGGATCGGAGCAGTTTGCCCACTCTTGGCATTTCCAGGAGTACATGCCAGATGTGATGGCATGTCCTCGAACACACTTCAATTGTAAGGTATAAGGCTAATAATTGTAGGTTATGAATATCGGAAATTCTGACTGGGAGTCTTTCCAGGCCCACAACAAAGAGTACAACAAGACAATATGGGAATTAAGTGTGAGTTTCGAAGAAACATACATTGCAATGATCCAGGCGATCCGAACATTGGCATACCCGAAGTTCTCGACACCAACAGTCGACTCGAGCCGATATGTGTACTCGCCGCAGACAGGCGCCGGGATTCCCATCTTTATTGTACGGCCTTTCCGTGGTCAGCTCGAGCAGGCAACTCATACGGTTGTAGACCGTCTTCGAAGGGACGGGGATAAAAATCTGTTCTGGCTTGATACATCTGGCTGGTTGAATACCGAGATTCATTTCGACGGCCGGCCAGAAGATCAGGACTTCTTTCTTGACGGTTGTTTATAAGTGGCCTCCTAATCATTGCAAGAAGCTAACAGCCCTTCAGAGAAGAGCTCGTCGAAGCAATGGCGTCTAACGGAGAGAGGTAATCAACGGGTCGCCATCCTCCTCCACATGCATGTCTGCAGGTATCTTGCTCGAGATGTGGACAAGTGCGCCTTCCTTCCACCGGAGATCTATCAGGGTAAAGCAATCGATCATGAAGCACTTCTGTTCGATGAGTTCCTGGAGGAAGAAAGGGAGAGGAAGTTGAAGAAATTATTTTGGGACTAGCCGCGGTAGCCGACGGGAGTCCAAGCCTCCAGGCGTTCAAGGATGCTGAAATAGGGTCCTTAGTGGTCCGAAGATGGGGATCTGCAGCTGTTCCTGACCGAAATTGGTCCGAGGATCTGGTTTTTGGTGATGGTTGAGCAGCTTGGTTGAGGATATTGATACCATGTCGAAGTTACAGTGATTCAGAAATAGTCGTACAAGTACTTCCTTCGAAGACATCAACAAAGTCTTGCGTGAGCTGGTAAAAACGGTGGCCGGTGGCGTCGTTTTATCTGATCTTTTGTCCCAAAGTCCAAGCGACTCGCACCTACATCATCACCGCGAAAATGGGAGGAGCACCGGAATGACACAGAAATTTTGCCTTTTCGGATGAACAGGCATTGTTCTGCGACGAGAATGGACTACGATTGACAATGAGAAGAGCTTCGATTCTCTTCTACCACGACCCTGATCATTCTTAACTCGTTGGTACACTCTCTCAAAAGCCCCGCCGATATTGCGCAGACGACAAAGGCACACGACTCTCCAGAAACCTTGTTCAACTCCAAGCATCGCCATTCTACTTCAGATAAGTTGATTCTTCTTCGAATCGTTCCGGTATCCGCTTCCTCGACCATCAATGGCTACGAATGGTGAAACAATACCGGCGATGGAGCGTCGAAAGTCCTCGACGCCTCACTACCAAACCTTTCCTACCCCACCTCCCAAATCGCGGGGACGACCGCCGATTTCTCCTACGAGTTCATCAGGCCAAGATGGCTATGCGAACCCCCCGAATCACGATGGAGCAGCAGACCAAGACCACCAAAACTCTCCATTACCCAAGAAGCAGCTTGCGATGCTGGCGGTGATTGCGTTGGCCGAGCAAACGGCCCTCAATTCAATATCCCCATACCTCCCAGAGATGACCTCAACCTTCCCCGAAGTCGATCCTTCACAAATAGGGTTATATGTTGGCACAATTGCATCTTCGTTTGCGCTCGCGCAGTTTGCGACGAACTTTTTCTGGGGATGGCTGTCAGACAGGATAGGGAGGAAGCCTGTGGTTATGCTTGGCACAGTTCTCACTGCTGCATGTTTCGTCGCGTTCGGGTTCTGCAAGACATTATGGCAGGCGGTTTTGGTGCAAGCACTCATGGGTCTGGTCAATGGGAATCAAGGAGTTATAAGCACATGTTTAGGGGAGATTACGGATCGAAGTAATCAGAGCAAGGCCTTTGTGTACCTGCCGGTCATATATGGCATTGGAGGGATCACAGGACCAGCTGTTGGAGGATTGCTGGTATTCCAGAACAATCCATTGATGAAAGGGAAGAAAAATCCCTACCCGTACTTATTGCCGAACCTTTTTTCTGCCACGATCCTGTTGATCGATCTGGTCCTCACCGGTTTCTTCCTCGAAGAAAGTCTAGAGGAAGCGAGGGAGCTCCCTCCACTCGAGAAACGAATTAAGAACCTCTTCAGCTGGTTGTGGCAATTCACAGGTGGTGCGTGGCATCCGACATATATTCGACACCAGGTCCATCGTGATTCTAGACCTCGAGTTGATGGGGCGATTGGAGAAGAGACTGAAGATGAATCTACGCCAGATGGCAGCGATGCCCAGTCACTCCTTTCCGTGCCTGAAATGTTCTCAAATAACAACCATCATCTCAGTAGCAAGGAGATCTTCAACCGCGACACAATACTCCTCTTGGGCACTTACTTAGTTTTCCAACTCTCCAACATCTCGTTCAACTCGCTGTACCCAATATTTGCGTCTGCCCGCGAACCCACAGGTCGAGAGCTATCCCCAGAAGAAATCGGCTTGTCTCTCTCCTTCGCGGGAATAGTAACAATTGTCTTCCAAGTTGGTATATTCGGTAAACTTAAAGAGAAAATGGGCAACAAGCGAACCTACCGAGCAGGACTTTTCCTCTTCTTTCTTTCGATGATGATGATGCCCTGGGTGGGACATCGGAGTTCAACTGGTATAGGATCCGGGAAGGTGTGGTTGTGGATCGAGCTGGGATTTGTGTTGCTTGTGAAGACGGTGGCGGCTGTTGGAGGGCTGACCAGTGCGCTGCTTCTGGTATGTTTCTCCTTTTCCTAATATTTGGCGCAGGCTCTAACATACTACGCAGATCACAAACTCAGCTCCAAATCACTCCGTGCTTGGGACACTAAACGGCCTGGCCCAAACTCTCTCCGCTGCTGGCAGAGCAGCAGGTCCTTTTCTCTCTGGAGGACTCTTCTCACTAGCAACGAGGGTACGACCCAAGGGTGAAGCTCTCGCATGGGGAACCTTTGGCGGTATCGCGTTCCTTGGTTGGATCGTGAGTTTTGGGATTAGGGGTGAGGGACTAGAGAGCGCGGAGTGGGATGAGGAGAGCGGGAGCTTAGAAGATGAGGATGATGACGAAGAAGGTGGTGGGGTTGGACGGTGATGTTAGAAAGGGGCACGGATTATGGGTGATCATTCATGCGTGATGCGCTTGCATTATGGGATGAAAAGGCGTTTGGGAACTACATAGCGATTAGATGCATAGATTATGAGCATAAGCCGGCAGGGGTTGGCACAGCGATGTGATTATGAAACGAAATATAGAGTGTACACGATGAACTTGCATCTCAAGGCATGTTGCATTATTATTCCGTCTCGTGTGCTTAAAGGTAAGCAGACATCCGCCCATGCCTAATTGACTGATGCGTGCTAATATACACAGGAATTGAGTTCTTTCACACTTCAGCCCCATTCTCTCACTAAAGATCCTCAATACATCCCCCTTTCTGCTCATTATGCCGCTGTAGAATCCCTAATTGGTAATATCAGTAATAGCAGGTCTCGCAGCAACGGTCTCACCATTAACCTTGTCCTTGCAAACCGTCAACATAACATAGCTTTGTCCGTTAATGCCCGTTGTAACCACGACTTTGAAGCCTCCTTGAACGGAAGTGACGTCAGCGTAGATGGGACCAGTGATGGTAATGAAGGCGGCGTATATTGGGGTCACTCCGTCTTTTGGGAGGAGAATGTAGCCTGGGGTGAGGAGGTTGATGGTGTCTCCAGATTTGATGGGACCGTTGTGCTGAGAGCGAGCCAGGGGAAAGCCTTGAGTGGGAGTTGGGGCTTGTCTGCATTAGGGACGGGGCAGGAAACGATAAATGAGGCCGCCAACCTATAGACTTCATCGAAGGTGAGAGGGTCATTTTGAGAGTTATGTTAGTTGCCATCTGAGGATGGTTCGGTCGATGGGAAACTATTGGTGCGTTCTGCGACCGCGGCGTTGCCAAGAGCTGCGTTGAGGATGGAAACGTGGGTGGTTTCGTCGTAGGTGATCTCTTCCGGGTTGTCGTAGAAGGGGTCCGCGAATGCTGCTTTGATGAAGTCAGCTTGGGTGTAGTTGGCGAGACTTTCACGGTAGAACTTGTCCTCGAGGTGCTCGAGGGTGAGAGCGTAGTTAAGGATGCCAACTCCAAGATGTCAGGACAAGGAAGACAGCTTAGTACAGAGAACGGAATATCGGCGACCCCACTAGATGGACGCTGACAACTGGACCAGCGGCAGCAATAGCCGCAAGAGCCGCAGAAGAGATTGCGTACCTCATTGTGATGGAGTTGTGCCGTTTCACACGGGTGACTTAAGGGGTGGCTGGAAAGAGAAAACAAAGACAAGAGTAGATGCTTGAACTGGAAGCGGCCAAGAGGAAAGAGTGGTGGGGAGGTATCTGGTTTCGAGCAGGTGCCATATGACTCCGACCATCACTTCTCCAGAGAGTGTAATTACACATGATATGGGTAGGCTCCTTCCAGTTACTCCACATCTTCAAGACCTCAAAGCCAAATTGAAGATGGGCAAGATCGAGGCTCAATGGAAATTGCATGAGGCTTTGGAATATCCGTCGTCATAAAGTCTCACTCGGCTGAGAGGCTGTCCGACGGCATTTGCGCACAGCGCCGGAAGAAACACTTTATTGACGAAGGCGTGAGTACCTGGATGAAGATCTGGAGAAGCTGGGATACAGACTCAAGCGATCGAGCTGAGGCACATAAAGGAAATGAGACAATACTTAAGCTTAATGGTAGCTCTGATCTAGCGGCTCGATCTTGCCCCTATGGAGAGACGCTAGGAACGCTCTGGACCTGGTTCGCGGGATCCGTCCTTTAATCCTTCCCCAAACTTTAGGGGTGGAATGTTTCTTTGAAATAGTTTAGAGAAACAAATGTATAACTGCATTTTGCAGTACCCGCGGCTTGCCCCTTTTCGTGGTGGTGTTTTCTCCCCCCGTGGGATCGTATAATCGTATCGCCAGTACTCTACGACGCTTGGCATCTGGAATATCAGGAAGGCGTTTCGGTCGCTTCAGTTGGACAACAGACGCCGTTTTTTCCTCTCGAGGGGCCATGACTTCCTGGGCTCGGTTGCCCAGCAATGCGCAGCCGCTGGAATCTCGAGCTCAGAGATGAGGAATCTTCGACTTCGAGAAGGCGGGCTTACCTCAGATTCCGCATCACCAGCCACACGTCAGCGAGACGGGGATCACCTCTTCTCCTGGTCGACAATTGAGGCTGGACTCTAGAGCACCAGCTGAACGTGATTCATGAGAATGCCTCATCAGTTTGAATCACGGTCGCGAGCACAGGGTCTGGGCGTCGGTGCGACCTGCTTCTTCCGGACCCGAGGTATTCAGCTTCCACGGCCGACGGCGAGTCTGCGTAATGTCTCTCTCAGTCTTCTCCGGCTCTTCGATACCAGGATTGACACAACCGGATATCAGGTGATGTGGTTTGGGCCGTCGTGCGACCATCGTCCTCTACCTCACGCCGCGAGGTCGCATTCGAGGCAACCAGGAAACAAGAAGGGAGGTTTGGATCAGGGTTCGATCGAGGTCGACGGCGTCGAGTCACCAACACCATCGTGTCCGCTCCCGCTTCTCCTTGTACCGACCCCGGAGAATACCTTCCCTTCCTGACACCGAACCTTCGGTCTTTCCTTTGTGTCCCACCGAGCCGCCGGGTTGCAGACATCCAAGGCGATTTGGTTGTGCGTACAGTACTCGTAAGAGTCGGACTTAACGTCTATTGCATCGCGGTGGCCGTTTCACCGTCGGAGCGCTTTATGTATGACTGTTCGCCGTTATTTCCTTGGACTGTCCTTGAACCCTTGCTGCCGGCCCCATGAATTCTTGGCGTCGGCACCCTGGAGCGGATCTTCTAATTGGCCAATGACAGGAAAGCCGTCGTATATAGGGCTGGAGCATGTGGCTGTTGACCGTCAGCACTTGTCGAATCCACCACACAAAGCCTCACCAACCTCCTCCAGTACCTCTGCATGCCTCCTGTTCAATGTGGCTCGGACCGCCTGTTGCTGGAGATTCTACGCAGCAATGAACTATTACATGTCATTCAAGATGAGAACCTGAGGATTTGAAGGGCCGCCACAATCGAGGGGTAATATCAGGCCATCGAATCAGGCCAAGACGGTTGTTTGTATGGGTTCGAGAGGACGTTCATGCAAGGCTATCAAACTTGCAATCCGCTCGTTTTGGATTCATCTGAGCAAGAGTCGTCGGACGCCCCGTCTGAAGATAGTGGTAAACTTCTCCATTCCGGTCTTTGGTAGTGTTTCTTCTCGTTCCATCTCGCTTTTCATGATCCTGAAGGCGACTAAAGCCACTCTTACAGGGCTAAAAATGTACGTCAGCAAGAGGCGAATTCGACGTCTACGTCCCATTCGACATCCCCATATAGCTTCAAGTCCATCTCTCGTCACCACTCACAGCTCGAAACTCCATATGTTCCTGACAATCCCATACATATAGGACTTGTGGACCTCCGTCCAGTCTCCCGGAAGGCTTCCTGCCTGATTCCTTCCTCATAGTGGACGACGGCTCCCAAACAAGGGTCAGATTTGAGATCTGGCCATTGACAGCAAAGAGATGGGTTTTGATATCGAAGTCAGATAATAGCATGTGGAGCTTTGTTGCTCCAAAGGGACAAGGTCTCACGGAGCTGAAGAAACAATTGTCTCTTTGCATGCCTAACCCGACCAAATTCCCTTTTTTGAAGCGCCCTGTTCTCCAATCTTCTCCAACTTTCGAGTCAAACAACGGGCCGTTGAGTCCAGCTCTACCTTGTTCTCTCTCATCATGACGTACCGCCGAGGGCGGGATCTAAGCAGTAATCATTTCCAGTGGCTCCAGCATCTTTTCTGACCCCTTCATCAGATTCGAGCTTAACCTCCCCATGGCCGTTACAAATATTACCAAGCTTCTTTTTAAGGTTTTTCTCTTCTATTTCCTACATATCAATCTCCCATCCCACGCCATCAGTTCGGCCAGTCACATCTTTGGGAAAGGGTTCATTCTTAATTAACAAGCCAAGAATGCCTCGTACGACTCTTCCTGCGCCGTCTCTATCTTTAAAACTTACACGCCACAAACGCGCACCACTTACCAGTCACATGGACTTCCGTGGGTGTAGGCAGATCGTGCTCACTGCCACCTTCGGGCACCATCCCTCCCAGGAGGTGGTTGCGATAAGTCTTAAGTTAATAGGCACAGCTCCCCTCAACTGATTTCAACGACAATATTCATACATCTCTCATCATGTCGTCAAGGCACTCAAGACGATCCCATGGTCACAGCTCTGGCAGGAACTCTCGACGAACAACCCAAGTGAGTCATGGGTTGATTTTCGTAACGGACCCCTCCCATTCACTCCCTCACATCTGCTCCACTATCGTCTAGAGAAGTTTTCTAAATCTTGAGGTTCAAGCTTGGGCAAATCACTCCCCAGATGTTTTCTCCCACTACTCACCCCCACACTTAGCTCTACATTCTCGGAAACACTTTCTAACAAGTTGCCCCGCAACAGAACACTGCCCAGCTCATCGAATCTCTAAACACACATCGTGTAAACACTCTCACTGAACTCTGCCGCATCGAGCGTGTGGCAGCCACTGCTTCAGACGAAGATCAACTTGCGTTCCAAGGGCCCATGACATCGGCATGGACTTATTATGTTACGTCTAACAATCTACTCAGCGAGCTCCGCGGTTTGACCAGAAATTATCCATTCAGTAGCGACGCACTCGATGATGCGAAGTGGAGAGTTAGCAACGACCCCGAGAGTAATCGGAGTTGGAACTATGCATGGTTGGTACTGATCAAGATGAGGGATGAGCAGGTCTTCCTGTCCCCCATGAGAGGAACATCTGGCTGACTTCAATATCAGCCAAATGGTGGAAGCATATGCTGCAAGCGAAGCTGCTAAGCCAGAGATGTGGGGCGGGAGGGTACCTGAGGCTGAAGAAGCACGACAACTTGCAGAATGCTTTGCTTGGGAGTGGAATGAAGCTCTCGAGCAGATGCTGCGGCACTGGGACACTCCTCCCACAACCACTGGATACTAAAATGTGTGTTAGTGCAGAGGGCGAAGGGAGGTTCCACAAGGTTAAGAACCTTCGAATATTTTTCACGCTTTCATTCTTTTTGGTGTTTTCAAATTAGCGTTTGAACTGTTTTGGGTTCATGGACGGCAGCATAGCAAAGGCCAATTGCGGTAGATTTCATTACTGTTCTCCTCTGCTATTTCATTTGCATAATAAAAATTGTTGCACGTAAAAATTGCTCTTCCAGTTCTGGCACAAATTTATTGCATTTTCTGCACCTGCGAAGACGTCTTCGCAAGTGGAAGGGGACTTGGTACTAAGTGACGTCTATTTTGGACCCCAAACCAAGCCAAAGCACACTTTTTGTCCACCATTCAGCTTTAACGCCTAAGCGCTTCCTTCGAAATCCTGCTGTCTAATTGCTTACCGATCCTGGGCTCACTTGTGATCACGTACATCATCTTACGTGGGAGCAAAGCGCTTTCTCCTCTTCCACAAAGCTGAAGCCTGTGACAGTTTCTCCAAGGCAGACTTTTATATCGAGTAGGCAGCATGAGGGGTAACCTGCAGGCCTAGTGGAATGCAGAGACGGCAGGATGAGCTCAAGCGGGGCTGGAGCGACGGAACGGCACCGTTGTCATGCGAGCACCTGGCTACTTCTGACCCGAGCCTCCCGAGTCGCTATATTGAGGCACGGGTTGAGCTTAACTTGAATGAAATCACGCTTTGTAGTTTCTGTTAATTTGTTAAATATCATATTTCAAGGTTCTTTCCCCGCATTTCACGTAGCAGGAAGCTGCAGCAACGTCTGTTGACGTCCAGCTTTGGGTTAACAATCGCCAACTGCAATCTATTGTATAGCAGCTGCGTCCAGTTTCCCTGTTTGCTTTATGTGACCCCTCGGTAATAATCAAGCTGTCATATGTCTCGAGACTGAGTCATTTACTCATCTGCCAGCTCAGTCGTACCAAGCTAGCCAGAATTCTTGAGAACAGTGTGGTCGATCCACTGGCTCGGGACTATGAGACACATGCCCCTCAAGTGAGGGACAACTTACATTGGTCCAGGCAGCATCGATCCCCAACATGATGATCCCCCGCATAGTTCCCCACGAGCAAGTAGAACAGCGCGTGCGGAGGTCCAAGAAGAACCTGAAATACGAGAAGCACCCGAGAGAGCCAACCAAGGGAGTTTCTCTGTCGTCTGACTTCACAAGATCCAAATCTGCCCCTGTCAAGGTCAAAATTGTTACGCTCTGCCGCTTCACTGGTAAATTTAGCGTCACGTGACCGCGATGACGCATGCGGCTGCAGTATTTAGAACACCAAGCTCCCGCACTCACGAGCTTCCCTCCTTAGTTTAGAATCCTCGAATTAAGAGCCACTCTACCTGCTTTCCAAGCCCAGAGACCCGGTTTCGTGACAAAAATTACCATGTCTGGTCAACTAGGAAGGCAGATGGGACCACACTTTCTGCTTTTGTACAGTTAGTGAGGACAGACACCACGAGCTCCGTGTTCTAAAGAGGAAATTTCTGCGAGTATACGGAATCGATGCCACGTTGAACCCTGGCCACCAAAGAGCGTAAACGGGGAATGTATTAATTTCAGAAGTATCCCTTCGTCCGCTGAGACATTGCCAGGCGCTAGCAAGGGGGCCTGGCTCAGACTGTGCAGGCGTACTTTTGCTTATAAACTTATTAGTTATCTATTCCTTTTCGCCCTGAGCCAGGCTCAATGCTAGCGCCTGGCAATGTCTCAGCGGACGAAGGGTAGATTGGAGTTCATGTCACGAGCAAGCGTCACTGAAGGGGCACAGCTTTTACCAGCCTCGTTGTGTGACCTGACAAATAAGCAGAGGATCATGGGATCAGAACCTTCCGTCATACAGTTAATATGAGTTAGAGTTATTTTGAAGAGATTATGACGATGATGAGATCATGAGGATGGATTGGATGGATGGAGGATCGCTTCCTTCAACCTCAGGGACGGTTGGGTACAGCGACGCCACCAAATGCAGCCCTTTGGAAACGAATTGACGGGTTCTCTTGTTTCACTGTCAGCATTTTGATTTGCACGAAGGATGAGACACTCAATCCGAGCAGGTGTCGTATCTGAGGGTTGTTTCGCGGCGAGGATGGAGCTAAGGACTGGGGATCAGCCTGCAAGGTTGTGTTGCCTGCGGCCCAATCCCCTGATTGCGGCACCGTTGCCATGTGGAAAAGTTCCACTTATGTGAGATTTGGCTCGGTGAGTTCCTATGGGATGCGGCTTTGTAATAGTGACGTGATTGGGACGGGAAGATAAACGTTTGAGTCTTCTTACTGGAAGACGGGTGCTGTGCTATTTGAATTCCTTCGGTGAACTCCGGGAGAAGTTTCTCAATTAGGAATTGTTTGGTGAGATGACCCCTTTTGTTTGTTTGTGCATGAGTTTTCAGCTTGGAGTTTGTTCATAATCTATCTGACTTTCCACTCAATGTCCAGAAAGCTGCAGGATGTCTGTACTTGTATCTGGCTGATTTAGCTTTCTCATTTGGCAATTGCTAGATTTGAAAACATTCTTTAAATTAGTTCCATGCATACATTTATCTTATGGTAGAAGAAATAAAGGCTTGCAGTGCGACTTTCCGTTTAGGAAAGACTGGTAGGCAGAAATGCTGTTGGCGGGAGTGAAAGCTTGCGACAGGCAGCTTGCTTGAGCACACAGTAAGGAAATGAACAGCCTACTCTTGTCTGTCCAATATCCACAAAAAGATATCTTCGACAGTTCTTATGAAATCACGATGTTGATGCTACGGAGCCCTCCTATACCCCCATCATCTCGTGTGTACCTCTTTCCTTAACCCTCTTCCCCCTCTTCACTTCTTTTCTCTCACATATCTAACTATTTCCAATCTTTAGGAAACCAATTCTATACACCCAAGCCGCGCAAGATTCGGATTCGCTTTCCTTCATGTCTGCTGCAACACCTATATAGGACTTCTAATTCAATACACGATACACTAACATTTCACAGATTAAAGCTTCGAATAAACGACGGCCTAAAGTCTACAACCGAGCAGTTCTATGCACGGCATATACCTTAAGAACTAAGTTGTGCGGGTAGAATATCCTTGTGAACATCTCCTCATAGAGATGTACCTCCATAAATATTGGAGATGACGCCGCAGGTTGTGAATCAGGATTCACGAAACATACTGCATCAGTTAGTTCGAGCGAGTTGAGAGCAGTCCTCGAGTTTTGCTGCAAGATACAGAGTAAGAAGCTATGCTGTCAAGTATCTTACTGATGTCAACTTCTTAATTTTGTTAGGCATCGGGATGAAATGCGGTTGAGCACGAATAAAGCCCGGTACGTGTGCTCACTTCGGCCGGATCTTCTAGTGACATGTTCGACTTCAAGTACAGTGATACGCAATATTAATCTTCTGATGCCCCATACCATCAAGATTTGAAGGCTTTGATTTTCTTCATGGAAGGCAACTCCTCCTGCCACAATCCAAATATATAACGAGTAAGGCAAAGCCGCAATCTTGAGAGCACAGAATTTGGATCATGTGACGAAGAGGCCCCTCAGCATTGGCCCTTTAAATATTGCTCTTTAACAACGATTACTAGTCTGAAGAGAGAGCACGATTCAAGTTATGATGCACGGTATTCTTGCTAAATCCTTATTTGGCAGGCATGGCGTGAATTTTGAAAAGTTCCCCTAAGTACTTCGCCAAATTCAGGGGCAGGATGCTTTAGGTTAAGCGAGACGGGAGAGGAAGAACACTCTATCAAAACTTAGTGGATATCTTCGCTTCTCTGGGGAAATATAAACCACATTTATCTTAGATATTCTACTTGCTATGGCGCGAACGAGTTGAGCTTGTGGTCTTAGCCGCTCAAGGAACAATAAAAGAGCTGGACATATACTTGCTGCCCCAAATGCTAAATCATTGCAGCCGCTCCCTTCCTCTCCCATTCACATCTGCAAGGTACCAAATTAGAACTCAATTAAGAGATAAGGGATAACTTTAAGCTCCGGTATTTATAACACTCGTGTTTTTAGCACGCACGGCAACGCTCGTTGCAACGATGTTTATGGTACCAGTAGCATCATATCTTGAAGGACGGCTCGACGAGCTAAGAATCTTTGTCCGGCAGCCCTCCAGGCCTTCAGTACAACTCCCTCGGTTTGGCCTTAATAAGACATACATTACTAAGAGTGCCGCAGTGTTCGATGCCTCTTCGTACAAACCAGGTGTAACTGTTGTCAACTTTGGGTTGCTGTCAAGTATCGGACGGCTATCGACTTGCCATCCGTTTTTTGTGCTGGCCACTGGCCTGTCGGGTGCGCTAGAGCGGGCCTAGAGACAAAATAATGGACTGCCATATGAGCCACGAGCTACTACGAAGATTGCGGCATAAAGTGACGGGATTACAGGGCATTTACGTTCGCATAGGGGTGTTAGCGGACTCCAGGGTGTGGCTTAAGGTACTGCGCCTGCTATAAGCCTTGTAACTCTAGGCCTGAACCCCTAAAACAAGGGCTGTGAGACATTTCCAAGGTGGTGGAAAATCTTCAAGGGTTATGGTGTTGCTGGCGGAGCAACCGTAGCGCTCGGGCGCTGTGAGAGAGCTATTATAGGACCCTGTAGCGAGTATTCCCCTGTAAGTACAGGGGATATGCCTTCTAAAGGTGTGGTACCCCTTGTTTATAGTTTATAGCGTGCTTATAGGAGAGTAGCCTGGAAATATAGGGGACTTTAGTGGGTGAGTGTAGTAGAAAGTGGCCTGAAAGTGGACTTGCGGTACAAATGCCCTGTAATCCCGTCACTTTATGCCGCAATCTTCGTAGAAGCAGCATTGTCTGATTTGAGCATCTGCAACGCCAATGCTACATTAGGAAAGTCCAACCACTCTGACAGTGACGGGGATTGTGACGGAGTCCGAGTGAGCCTAAGAAGAGAAGCAGCAAGGGAGACTAAACAGGTGCTGTAAATCTTCCATAGAGGACATTCACATAACAGATTTGAGAGAAGAGGCAAGCTGAGCTGTGTATAACAAAGAGATCACACGTCTTTCAAACCATAAAACAGGGAAGCAACCAACAAAACCACCAACAACTACCAACCTGCTTGTAGTCTCACTTGAATGAACCCAAAGGCTTGGGCGACATTGAAAACCTTCCACTTGAAAACATCCCAAAAACCTCCAGTCGTGCATCACACTGTGAATAAATTTTGTCATCCGGTCTTTATCTCAAATAATGGGACGAACATTGTCAATTTCTCCTTGTCGAACTTCGTCTGATCATCAACACCCTCAACTCATGGGCACTCATCTAAGAAACCCACATTTGTAGATGGCATGTGAACGTTTAAAAAGTAGTCGGCGAGTTGCGGAGAGCAGCATCCTAGCATCCCAGAATCACTGAGCCGTTCATGGTTCCCAAGCGATAGTCTCGGGATCAAGAGGCATTGGTCGTGACATGTCGGTCGCGAAGGTGGAACAGAGCTTTTAAAAGGCTAATAAATTTGAGCTCATATGCGCTCGGCTGCGTTGAAAGGTGATGGTAACCGGAAGGAGTAGTGGGTGGCAACTGCCATATGCTTATGCTTGCGAAGCAGGTGAAAGGTTGAGTATGGAGACTTGAGTGAATCTTGCAAATAAGGTATAGTGACTCACTTAATCTGAGACAATGAAATACTATCTTCTTTTATAGGTTATCTCGAGTCGGTATTACTTAATTAATTGGGAAAATTGAATGCTTCTACATGTCGTCAAACATTGGAAGGAATGGGACTTGGTTGCTCCAAGACTTGCGGGACACCAGCCCCTCAACCATGGAACATATAGGAACAGCAGAAACAGCAGCTTGCAACGGAGACGACTCCCACAGGGACTTGACGAGGTTTTGAGAGCTCCTCTGGAAGGGGTGGGATCTATATAGGGAGGGGATTTCAAGATTAACGGCGCAAGGCCGCGTCGTAGCACTGGCACTGAGAATGTTACACCTCGTCCTGAGATTCCTCTCTGAACCTCCCCAACGCCCCTGAGGCCCCGGATAACTACACCCGCATCTCTTTTGAAGTACCTTAGTGATAACTCGAGGGAAAGTAGGAGAAAGGTGGGACGTGGCTGTGGGAGCTATGTGACAGCAGAAGGAGACGGGATAATAACCAAAATCAGGACGGAGAAGCGGAAACACAATTCTCAAATCTCATTTCGGCCTTCGTCCAGAGGTTCTAGATATTGTCGACCTCGCTGCAGTTGTTAAGCCTCCCTTAATTCGAATGCTCAACGACATTGCAAGGTTAACGCTACTCCACGATAGGTTGGTCGTCACCGAGGTCTCTGCGCTGATGCGGCGTCATGCTTGGTAGACTCGATATAATTATAGGGAATTATGAGGAACAGGACAATCTTAATGCAGAAGCTGGTAAGTCAGCAAGTGGATAGAAGCAACTGAGCTGTGAAGAGTGATGTCAGATAAGCAGTTCAAGCGTCGAGCTTCCGTGGATATAATCCATCAACTCGACTTATCGAGCACGGGCTCTAAGAGAGAAATCAAGAACTACGTTCAGCAATGGAAGGCTGATCTTGGGAGTGTTCGAAGGCAGGGCTCACTATAGTATATTAACTACAGATATGAATATTGAGTTGGCGTCCCTAGTTGCTAGTGAGGGTATTGTGAGAAAATACAAGCCGAGAGTTGCGATCCTTGTGCGTGCCTTTGGAATCACGTCCCTTAAGCACAAGGGTTCCTTCAACTTGTAGAACAGGTTTGCTTCAGGCAGCTAGCAGATTATAGGGAAAGTAAGAGGACCATCTGATAAACATGAGATGAACTACATCCCATCTTTCAAAAATGACGAAAACAACACACTTGACAACAACTCTCCCTTTACCCTTCGCCGAAGGACATCCCACTCCATACACGAGATGCAACACACATGTCTATGCGTCCGAAAATCAAAAGGAGCAGGACACGAAAATGAGACACCGGACTTGCACGATACCTCCCTCCTTGGTCTTGGTGACTGGCTTCTTTGTACTGGCAGAGAAGGGAAGAGTGCACACTGCCATTTTTATACTCGTCCTTGTCTGGCAGAAACTAGGATTGTACTACAAATATTTTTGTGAGGTATGGGACAATGGTAAAGTTCACTTGAATGAACCCTCAACTCAGAAACATTGAATCTCCAGACACTTGAACATCAGGACTTGATTGTACCAAGAACTCTGGAACAATGATACTCTAAAATCACGAAGCACAGCTCACTTGATCTCAACCACCCAAATTAGAATGTTCCGGGAAGGGTAGAACAATGGCATACCAGACCTCAACACAAACAAGAGCACAAGGCAAGCAGGTAGACTTCACAGAACTCAACATTACATTAAATGAGCAGTACCTAAACCACCCAATCCACAGTATTCTATCCCCATAATCATCAATCCAATCCAATGCAGTTCAATCCACATCCTGTACAATCTCCTTTCCTTCAGCATAACCAACATGACTTTATCGTTCGCCCGCTCGCTTGCCCAAATGAATGAATGGTATATTACAATCCCAAAGTATTCGTACCCTACCAGCACAACTCCCATTCTCCAAGCAGACCAAAAAGCACAATGTAAAATTACCACTCTCATCAATTCCTCTTAACTTTCGAGAAGTAGAAGGGTTTAGAGGAGCATCACCGCCCCACCAAGCGCAACCATCAGCCCCGCAGCATGGTAGCCCGTCTCCCTCGCCACCGCAGCTCCCAACCCTTTACTCTTACTCGTACTCACGCTCGTGCTCGTCTGCGTCTTGGCGCCTACACTACTTGTGCCCGTGTGCGAGGTAACCGGACACGAGGTCGTACACGGGATGTCGCTCGTAAACGGCAGATTGTTCACGCTGCTCGCTGAAGCGAAGACTGGTGCCTGGGATGCGATTGTTGGGTTCGGCTGCGCGCTGGGACTTTGTGGGTTTAGCACGTTGTCGATGACGTGGATGACGCCGTTGGCGATCAGGATGTCGGCTTGCAGGAGCTGGGCAGAGTTGATGAAGACGTTGTTTCCGGAGTGTCGGACGGTGAGGTTCTCGCCTTGCGCGGTGAGGTACTGTGTGCCGTTGGTTAGGTTGGTGGAGTAGATTACCTGGGGCACGAGGTGGTAGTCCATGACTTGGGCGATTTGGTCTGAGGTCATGGAGGAGATTGCCGGGCCGAGGGCTTGGAAGGCTTCGTTCCAGGGAGCGAAGAAAGTGGCATTCTGGGTTGTGGAATCGAGGGGCAGTCTGTTGGCTGCGTAGAGGGCGCCTTGGAAGGAGGTAAGGTTGAAAGCCGTGGTTGTGGTCTTGAGGTTGGAGGGCGGGATCAGGAGCGAGTCGATTACTTGCACCACGCCGCCGGTGAATGCTAAGTCTGCCTGGGTGAGGGTGCTTCTGCTTCCTTGGCCACTGACAAACACAACGACGTCTCCTGCTTGCTTGACATTCTCAACTCTTTGACCCCCAGTCACATTGCTCCATTCGGGTGATGTTAAAAGTGTAGGTATAAAGGTCGGTGTGCCAGGTACTAAACTCTTAGCAAGACGAGTGCCTTGAAGAATATGGTACTCGAGGACATTTGTGATAGTGTCTTTGTCGTTGTTCTTGAACGCATCGTTCAGTGAACTGTACGGAATCTTGTTGAAGGCATCATTGTTGGGAGCAAGGACCTAGGAGGAAACGGCAATCAGCTCCAATTTCTTGCAATTGAGATTCTAGCACACTTCGGGACGGGAATACATACAGTGACACCTTGGTATGAAGGCAATTGTAATAAAATCTCGGGGTATTTCTATCGTGTCACTCAGATTAGCACATGCTCTGGTGTTTCCCAACAATGATCGGAACGACCAACCTGTATTAAAGCGTAAAAAGTTGTAAGGTTCTTTTGCCCAGCGAGAAGGCTCCCCAAATCCGAGATTGCGCCAGTTTGAGCATTTGTTCCCGCAGCAAACAATCCCAAAGAGGTGGCCAGAAGGCCCCTCCAACTGTAACTTCTCATATTTCCCTGATGTGAGCTCTCCTCGGCAGGTGCACAATTACAACTTGACAACGAGTGCAGGACGAATGTCTAACAAATGCGGAAAGTAACGACAGTAGTTGACAGCAAAGACTGCAAGAGAAACAATTATCGAAGATAACGAGCGAGTTTCAAAAAAAAGCTTGTGGCAGTTCTTGTTGTACAGATTAAAAAAAGAGGCACATCGGCAGCCGCGTTCCCATGGGCTTGGCATGGATGGCGGTGGGACGGGTTTCTTGGTGTGGTCGGAGGAGCAGGGATGGGGATCGTCCACTGGTTCCGCCCGCCCTGCACTTGGCCAACTTGGCCATTGACGCTCCACAATTCGCTCTTGCACGGTGTTGTGAGTGGTGGATGCGTGACTGAAGCAGTGAAGCTTGCGTCGTCACCCGTGCTTCCTCCAAAAATCAAAATAAGGGGTCAGGGGTCTTGGCCCTTGGGGGTCTTACCGTATTGGAGCTCGAGCGGGAGCCGAAACACTTGAGCCACTACTGAGCGCCGGCCAGAGTCGATAGTGGCGCCCGCTGCTGAAGAGTTAGACTACTACTTGTGCTACGGAGTATGGGGAGTTACTAGTCTACTTGTACTAGACTTTCTCTGCCTTGCTTCGGGCCGCAGGTGATTGGCTGGGTTGATGTAAGTATTGAAAATTGGTTGTTCGGGCCGTAATTGGGTGCGCTGATCCAGACCGGCCGCAAACGCCTCGTATCGCGACGCCTCATGGGCGTTTCCCACTAAGAGGCCAACTTGCCAAGACGCTGATAATCGTTCGGCGTTTCCCACCTACAATTCGCCTAGCACGCCTTGTAGGTGAGGGATAGCGATACGCACAGAACAGCGATACAGTAAAAACTCGCTATAAGGATAGGGTTTTTGTCGCCAATTCTTAAGGATATACCGAGGTATCCTTATATCAAGAATCACGTGCATAGATATATAAATAGAAATATCACTAGGATTTGAAGATATATACAGAACCTCTCCATTCTAACACCTTACAATGCCCCAATTACCTGTAGATAAGTCAATTACAGCTTGCTGTACCTTACGCTGGTGGATTTGCTTGCTTCCATCGCCGTACGGCACGTCGATCGGCCTCTGCCATCGCTCTATGCCTCTTTTTAGGCTGTTGGGGAGCCATGGGATCGGTGGGGGGAGGGTTATAGGCTGTAAAGGCCCTGGAGCAGTGAGATTAACGCTTAGAATGTGGTTTTACTAATGCCTGAAGGCCTGATAAGAGCAGCAAATTAGCCTATCACGTGCACGATTATAAGGATAAAATACCAAAAAATCAAGGTTGGGATAAAAAATTGTAAGGATATCCTTAGCTCGGGGCTAATTTTTATTGGGATCCTAAGGTAGCATCCTTATGTTGAGGATATCCTTATATTGAGTATCCTTATAGCGAGTTTTTACTGTACGCAAATCTGAGATTTGGTGGGAATCTCTCCTTTTCTCCCTTTGAATTCTCACAACGCAACATAATAAAATAGTGTCTAAGTATTGGGAATTGATCCCAAGGTGTAGGCCCTTTAGCTTAGTAAATTTTAAAACTAAAAAATTAAGGCGTTGTTGTAGTGCAAATCTGCCCGATTTGCCCATACAAATTTTGGTGCGATTTGCGTATCGCTGTTCTGTGCGTATCGCTATCCCTCACCTACAAGGCGTGCTAGGCGAATTGTAGGTGGGAATCGCCGAACGATTAGTGCAGATATCAGGCTGAGTTTTGCGCTCGAGATCAACACTTGTTGAAGACGGGTTCCAACTTGCAGTCTTCAGGCTTCAGCAAGTCGCAAGCAACGTCGAATTTGACATCAACCGAAGGGCCCATTTTAGGGTGGAGAAGGTTCATGTCCATGTCCATCTCCATGTCCATGTCCACAAACGCCATATCACGCTTCTTTAGGTCGAACTATATCCGCTCGCCAAGGGTTATGCTTATTTCGGACTCAATATTGACTGATCACCACGCGGTAATCTTGAAGCCATTTCGATGTGACGATACCTTCAAGAATGTACTCTTTGACGTCCATCGGCGGCAGCGAGGGCATTTCAGGCAGTTTTCGTCCCAACCCTCTTCTGAGGGCATTCTACGATTCTTCTTTGCAGAAACGCACAAAGCTCGGCCCATAGGAACACCTTCCGAACACAGCAAACTGCATAGCGTCCGGCCGTTAATATCTTGCTTGCACCGCACTACTTTAGCCCCTCACCATCTCTCTCACCAGTCCCTCCTCCTCCACCTTCTCATCCACCTTCTCATCCCAACATGCACAACACATCTTGAATAATAATGCAACCACATCTGTTTACCTTTATGCACGCTGCATCTGGCATCCCCTCCTGGCCCCTCGCTTGATAACCAATCCAACAAAATACTCTATTGATAAATACCCTTGCACCCCTCTTGGACTGTTGGTATGATTGCAGCTGCATGCATATCCTCCCTTTCTGCTTCTGCGTGCCTCTCTGCCCTCCTCGCCGCTTTTCACGATCCTCCAGGTGGAAGGCTCCAGCATGGAAATAAAAAAGCAGGTAAATAATACCGCCGAGCTGGATATCCATAGTCGAGGATAATTCTTTTCTGGATGCTCGCCCCCGCCCCGCGACGTGGGGGTCCCTGTCCCTGTCTCCGAACTGCAACGCTCACCATTCGGACAAAGGTTTGCAACAGCGCACGGTTTTTGCGTGCTCAAGGCCAGTCAGTGTCTGTCTCCATTAATAATTCTCGCATTCGTTGATCTTCGTGTTTGTGGATCAAAAAACTCGATCGTCTGTTTTGCGATGATGCGCTTGCACGGTGCGGAAATTGTTGTGTTGCAGTCCGACTTTCGGTGGCCGGTTCGAATTCGTTGAAGTGGCGGAGAATCTCCCCCTCCCCCTTGTCCGTTTCTCATCCTGTCCTTGCTTCTCGCATGCAAGGAATTCAAGCATTAAGTCTCGTATCGATTTCACGTGATATTTCGTTATCAGTTGAAGAGACTGAGGATGTTTATTGCCCCTCCGCTTTTCCATCTTACTCCGTATATCCTCCACATGTATGCATTTTCTAGCTGCATCTTAATCTTCCCTTGATTCCCTTGCACAGCATCATCATTCCGCCGAGAAGAACTTTATCTCGAATATCTCCCGAACCCATCCCAGCCTCATGGTTCCCTTCCGTTAGTATCGATCTCCCATCCCGTTCCGTGTCTCGGACGCGGAAGTCAGTCGAGGCCCGGAGTGCACCGCCTCAAGTCTCAATGGCTGAGGGGACGTTATCTCTCCCAGCCTCTTTGGAAGAATGGTGTAACTGAAAGGCAAGCCTCTTCCTCGTGGCAACTCCCTCGCCCATCCCGTCCCGAGGTGCAGCGACGCAGACATTTATAGATTATGCTGTCTCACATCCTCGAGTTCCTCAACCACCAATTTTCAGCTCCCATCAATCGTGAGTCGTGGGACACAAGCTTTCTTATCTAGCTTTACCGTAACGCGGCCAACATGCTTCAATGTACGGCTCATGCACTGCTTCCTTGACCGCTTCGAAGCTGAAGATGGCTTGGCTAGTGGGGAAGAATGAAGGCATTGCAGCTGTGCACGGAACGGCACGGCAAGGAAGCCGGATGGGAACCCTAAGCATCGAGCCGCAAGAAGAAATTCAGCTGGAAAGAGGGCTTCAGAACTATTGATTGTTACCCCATTCAGCCAACACATTTCGAAGCCGTTCTCCAAGTTCTCCTACTCACCAAAGAATAACTCGGATTAAGAATTCGCAGAAACAGAGTCAGATTAGCTACCGAGTTTCGGATTGAGAACATGACACCCTCTCGATGCCTCTCCCTCGATCTGGACTGGTTCAGCGTCTCGCTGAAAACTTGCATGACTACTCGAACTTCAAGTATAGCAACAGAGACCATAAAAGCCCCGATTTGTTTCAGTGAGCTGTAACAGATTCAGATTCAAATCCAGATTCATCTCACATCCCCCACGTGTAAACCCACTCTTCAATCTTTCAATATTAAATATATAATTCTTAATCCTGTGTACTACTACTTTCTCTCAAAAACGCAAAGAAATTCGTGACAAAAGGACAGAACCACACTACAAAAAAAAGTGACTTCAAAACACAAAAAAAGCGAAAAATTTCAAGGGAACCAGATTATATACAAGAGTTAACTCCACACACACCAAATCCAAGTCTATTTCCCTTCAGTTCATGTTTCCCTCAGCTTTGAAAAAAGCCGCTGTTGTGCCTTTGACTCAAACAATACGATTAAAGGAGTGTGTATTATAAACCCGCCCCCATTTCCATCCCCCGGACCAGACAGACATATGCAATGCAATGCTTTCTCTCGACTTTCCTTCGCAGAAAAATCTTTGCTTTGACGTTTCATTAAGAATTAAACACCAACACCGTCCCCAGTACACGAAGCCCATATCTCCCAATCACGTACCCCAATATACAACAATCCAAATCTCGGAGACGAGACACTCTACCACGAGAAGGTCATCAAGGCTGGGTTCAGCGCGAGCGGTAACAGCAAGTGAGAGACTGTTACTGTCGCCATGGGTAGGATAGCTACGAAATCGTTGATCTTCCAGTCGTATGGTACGAAAGGTGCAAGGGCGAGGATGACCATGCCGGCGATGCCGATGATGGAGAAGATCATCGAGAACTTGAACTTCTTGAGCACCTTGGGCACTTCGATGAAGAAATTGGAGAACTCGGCTTCCTTGGCGGTGGCACCCCATGTCATGTCGATCTCGAACATGTGGGCGAGGAGAGCTTGCGAGACGTGTAGAGAGAGACCACCCAAGAAGATTGCGAGCATGAACGTCCATTTGAAGTTCTCGAAGAGCGCGTACAGGAGGGAGCGTTCGCCGATACGGTATCGCATGACTGCGAGGGCAATGTTGCCGAGACCGTTGAAGACGATGATGATGGAGAACCAGACCTTCCACGAATCAACGTAGTACTTATCGAGGTAACCGTTGAACCATCCGATAGCGAAGTAGTTGGCTGTTGTCATGATCCAGGCGGCTCCAATGGCGTAGTAGGTTCCGATGTAGGAGACGATAGTGATCTTGGAGGTGAAACGAATGTTGGAGAACAAGAATTTGCGGAAAAGAGGTGTGAATGGTCCCTTATAGATCCACTTGCGGAGTGGGTAGAAGAGAAGCTCGTTGCAACCGTAGGCATATTTCTCCCAACGTGCCAATTCATCGTACACAGTCAGAGACACACCCTCCTTGAATCCCTCGCCAGCCCAAGCAGCAAGACGAATAGTATAACCATTGACCTGGAGACGGAGAGACATATCGAAGTCCTCGGACACGTGCGATTCTGACCAGAATTTCTCGTATCCGTCCTCGTCTTCATAGGAGACTTGTTGGATAGCAGACCAGCGGAGAATGGCGTTGTGTCCAACGAAGGGGGCAACATCACCGTTGGAGACAGTGTATCGAATAGCCGAGTAGATGAGGTTGGTGAAGAAAGTGATGCCGTTTTCGAAGTAGGTATTGACGACTTGCATGACACCAGATGAAAATTGCATGATTCCGACTTCAGGGGACTGTTCCATTTCGGAGCATGCATCGAGAAGACAATCCGCGGGGACACGGGTATCAGAGTCAACTAAATTTTGTTAGCTACGATTGCGCTTCCACGTGACGGTTCAAGGCGTCGGAATTGACATACTTAGCAAGATGTAATCTCCAACACGAATGTTACCATCGGCCCAGGCGCGTCCATTTTCTTCGAGTGCTTCCTTCAAGCATCGTTCGTAGGCCTGAGCCTCATCCGCTTGAGTCCAGTCGACAGGACGTTGGATTAAGGCCAGCTTCTCTTCGACCATGCAGGAGATATGTAAACCATAATTCATGTTTGACGCCTGTTGGGGGAATGATCGTCAGCATTTGGTTCCCGTAAAAAATCATGGAGGGTCGCTTTGGGGAGCAATAGGCGAAGTTCCAAGCCATTGACGAGAGCATCACAGCTTGTGATCAAGGAATGTGGGACCCAGCCGAAAATTCTTTCAGCTGACTGTTGCGGCCCAAACGCTTTCCTTCAAATAATTCATGTACTCGCAAACAATGTTTAATGTGCAACTTACTTTCTTGAATTTTCCTCGTCGAGTGAAGTTGTCGCCATGCTTAGGTCTCGCCACCCATCCGATGCTGTGGTCGGCATAGAATTCGATCCTGGCCCGACGCTCTTCTTCATCGATGATTTGCATACCATCATCATTGACAAACATGTTCGCAGATCCACCTTGCAATTCGTAAGTAGAGATGGCCTGCTTGATGGACTTGACAGTGGGGGCAATGACAGAGTTCAAGCCTTCCTTGTAAACAGGGCACTGGATGGTGATGTGGGGCAAGACTGCGCTTTGAATCCTGGGAGGAGCGCGAGCTGAGTAGAACTTGGAATTCTCAGTCATTTGTCGAACCGGACCGAAAATCTGGGCCAAGCAACCGACGATAACTTGTCCGAAGAAAAGAGTGAAGAAGATCTGGACCGGTGTTAAGGCCAGGAGAGCAAGTCGAAGAAATGTACCATCAGAATCCGTCTCGATGGCCAACTGGCGGGCACCAGCACCCAGTGTTGTCATGATCAGCATGAGCGTCAGAGCAACCAACACTGTGTTTTGCAAATGCAGGCCACGCTTCTCTGGGACGATCTCTCCGCTCTCCTCATCAATTTCATAGACGCCGACATTTGTATCTTTCTTATCCTCCTCCTCAGTTTCGCCAGTCTTCCATACAAGTTCCATCAATTCGGATTCAATTTGCTTGGCACGTTGCACCAAGTGTAATGCTTCGTCATCCCAAACAACCAACAATGCTTCTGATGCAACAAATGCTGCGAACTGATGCTTTCTCGCCCGTGGAAGATCTTCAATTGTGGGAAGAATTTGTATCCGGAGACCGTTAAGAAGAGGGACGTCGACGGCATCGGGTGACCATTGGAGGAAGGTCTTGATGACTCTCGAGTTGACAGTCATTGCACACTGATATTGTTAGTAACAGTACTCGAAAGTCCTGCGAATGCTCCTTACCTGAACATTAAGAGCGGCACATGCTGCAGCGAAGGCCGAACTGCCTAATTGTGGCGGGCAAGCCATGTATGTGTTTTTCGACTTCCTGAGGAGAACACCTTCAATCTCCCCACTTCCATCGCTAACCCAGAGGTGCGAGCATTGTTGTTGGTAGAGGTAATTTACCATTACTTCATGCTTGATGTCGTCCAGGAAGGTCGAGCTTTGTGTTGATCGATTTGAAATTGAATTCCTCGATGACCCAAATCTCGAAGTCGGTGGTTGGAGTTCCATATTGTAACTGTGGTGTGGTGATGGCCCAGCAGGAGTCTTCTCCGTCATCACAGGAGCTGCCGGCTCCGGCTTCTTCGCCTTGAAGTAACTTCCTAGCCCCATCGCGGCGGTGTGCTTGCTTTTCGATCAGGATGTGTTGGTCGACGAGACAGCAAGGAGTCTCGTTTGGTCCTGGGTTTGCTGCAAGTTCGGGGAAACCAACAACAGTACTATGTTGAGCGAGTGACTATGGGTGAGGGTATTAAGAGCAAGTCATGAGTATACGAGTTGCTTTTCGCCGATTCTGTTCGCTGATCAGCAAGGGAGGCGGGGGGCCGAAGGTAGAGAAGTATCTGCGTACAGCGAGACGGGTTGAGAGGATGGATCTGCTCTCAACAACTGGTGGCAGGCGTATCGTGAAGTGTCTGTACCGGAAGACACTCTTGGTGGTTGAACGATTGGTGATAACGAATGTGAAGGGTGCGAGCAGCCCTAGGATGTTATTGTTGGAACGAAAAGAACGTCGAGAGGAGAAGGGTGCAGGGCACGCCGGCTGGGAGTTCTGGCCTGCGTCAAACGACGGATGGGGGAAGGCGTCTGAGAGGAGGCGAGTTGCTGCGTGCTGGGTCCCCTGCCGGGCCTTGGGTTGCCAAGCTTTGGCGTGGGATGGGAAGTTGACTGGCCGTGAAGAGTGGATAGCTGATACACCTTGCGGTTGAGGGGCAGGGCTGGTGGTGATTTGCCTTGACCTGCACGGAGGGAGGGAGGGGAGGGGAGGAGGAGGAGCACGGCGCCAGAGGCTGGCTGGCTGGCTTGCTGGCTTGCTTTCTTTCTGATAATGGAAAGGGTGGAAATGGCCTTGGGAGGGAATTTGGGAACTAACCGCATGGGCTGAGAGAGGGCGGGAAGCAGGGGGTATTGGAGAGAGTGGTTGAGCGGAGCCAGGGGCAGGCGAGATCCCGGCGTCGATGATTTGCAGGGTGTGGGCCGCTCGAAAATGGCCTGCGGGGCGGCAGCAGCAGCAGCAGCAGCAGCAAGTCGAGATCAGGGAGCCCGGGCCCTGGAGTTCGTTCACAGTCGTGCGCAGTGGACGTGGAGTGAAGCGTCTTGCAGCTGCGCGTTACTTTGGTACAGGACGCTGTTATTCTTTGCTGCTGAAAGGTAAAAAGCCCGGTGAGTCAAGGAACGAGTGGCGACTGGTTTGTATCCAGCTGCGCGGTCTGGTAGCTGGGGTGTTCGTTTGCCCAACGTTTCTCAAATCGAGCTTCAGCGGAACTATTATCGACGACCCTCCAGCGAGCAAAGCCTGGCCCGCACAGCCAGCCCAGCCAGCACAGCCTGTGATCCAGCACATCCACACGCACAGCATTGGGAGAGGCACAATCTGGAATACCTGCTAAATTAGACTTGTTTTAATTCCGGGCCAGCAGCATACACCCTACCGGCTCCTTTAAATGTTAATTGACGCGAACCAGCTAGAATTACAGGGTGGTCTGACCAATCACCTGTCTTAATTCCAGCCTTTCTTGCCATATGCAGTTAAATACTGGTTAACATTTAAAGACCCCTGTAGGGAGTATTCAGTAATTTCAGTTGCCAACTTGGGCGGTCCCCTTTCCGGAGCTCGTGTTCATCGCTGATCAGGGGCACGGCCTTAGTGCCAATGAGCGTTGATTCAGCGTTGACTAAGTGCAAGGTTCTAGCGCGGTGGCCCCATTAGGCAGCTGTGGCTGCCGGGGCGTAAAAGCGGCACAGCCACGAGGTGCTTCGCTTCGCATCGCCATCGTGAGGGGCCAGCGCAGTCACCACCTGTTTGCAGCAATCTCCTCCGCAAACTCTAAGCGAGCGCCTCTCTCGCCCCCTCTCGCCCTCAGCAACAGTAGCAACTCCACTCGAGGGCTCGATCGAATTGATCGATAAGGTTTCGGGGACAGGGACTTGTTGCTGCAACCCGTCGGCGCGTTTCTGATCGCCCTTGTTCTGCGCTCGCGCGCTGGAAGCTCGAAACTTCCAACTTGGCCTAGCAAACCGGTTTGCTAGCGCTGAGCACACATCTCCCAACTCTTCGAGTCTGAGACGCGGACTTCTGGACAGATACATGGTTTGAGGCTCCTCTGCGGCCAAACGGGCACAGGCACCACGCTGGAGCCACAACAATGGAGCACCTGTCACTTCGGCCGCCGACAGGCAGCCCGCTTTGTTGCCTCATCCTGAAGAGGGGCACCCACAGTTCGTTCACACCTGTGACCTGGTCCAGCACCCGCAAACTCCGACCAAGGGTGGCCCGACGAGGAGGCTGAAGCAGTGAAAGATTCCATTTTGTGGAAATGAGCAAGACCGTGCCCAGCCAAAACAGGGTCGTATTGGCAGGGGCCATCACGAAAAAAAAAAAACCATCCAGCGGGAAAGGGGCATCCAGATTCAGGCTTAAGGGGCCGTATTATTACGCAACAAGCATTGGGCCACAGATTCTCAGATGTCCATGGCAAGGTTACACGGGAAAGTTCTTTGCCCCTGGCTTTGGAGTCGGCTCCCTCCTAAATTTAGGCACGGCGGGAACAAGCGAAAAACGGTTTTCAGGTCAGGATCCCGAATTCTTCAGCCGGATACTCCGCATCATGACGCTTGCACAACATCGCGCAGAGGCAGTGATCAGCAGTGCCTGCTTTCCCTTCTGTGGCCTCGGCGTGCTCAAACTCTGATGTCCGCCAGCGCTCGTAATTCGGCGATATATTTCAGACGGGGGGCATTCAAGAAATGCAAGAAGGCTGGCTGCAAGACTATCGACGCCCGTTTTTGATCCCCTGTTGATCCCCTGCATGCAGTGTCATTTCAAGTGCAGGGGTGGAGGGTCAATCGTTGCGCCAAGGCTCGCTGTTTTTAGACCGCAAAGACGCCAAGGCTCCACGGAAGCATCGGGGAAACGTTCTAGCGGCCGGATGACCTCGAAACCTCGAATTATTCCCGAATTTCGTTAATCGATGCATGGCAAATTGACGGCGTTCTGGCCAATAAACGCTACAGTACTGCAATACAGTAACGTCTTGACATCACCACGAGTACACGTCCGGCATGTCTGTGTGTGAGAGAGAGCTCAGAGCGTATGGATGGATGCTTTTGCTGACGGATCCCCCAGCTCGCGAGTCTGCCTCAAGATCACGAGCCCCGCTCCCCTCTTTTCATCATGATCACCTCACGTTTCAGCATTGCTACGGTCATCGTCCGAGGGTTAACGGAACCGTTGCAGCAAATCTCAAAACAGGCGGTTCCTTGCCTAACGAAGCCACCCAGCGTACGGTCACGACCTAATCTAGCTCGCTCGGCCTCGCTGAACCATGGAGTCGCCCGCGAGGAGTTTTTGATCCGCCGCTATCGACTCCGGCCGCCGACCAGCGTCCCGGGTTTCCCAGCTCCGCGGCGGCAAGACTTGGACCGAACCTTCATTCACTGGCTTCGAGATGAAGTTGATCTTCGACGTTGAGTTTATGCACCAGAAGTTGCTCGCAGCGCTTGGTGGCCAGCAAGAATGAAAGACAAGTGCTCGAACTCAAGCACGGCCAGAGGGTTCTCATACACAAGGGCAGGCACCTCATGCATGTTGTGTTGTCAATACGAGCGCTCTTGCAAGGAAGTTCTGCACCCCTCGAAGTCGAAACTGGCCCAAGACCTCGAAAGTTAGTCAGACTCGGGGCAACTTTGCGGCCCTAAATTTTTGCGGGTCAAGCGGATCCATCGGAACGACGGTCTTAAAAACAAGGTTAAGACCCTAGCCTTCGATAACGTCTTTCGAAGTTTTGATCCTTGGGGATAATCCGAGAACTATCCGAGCTTGGTTCCAGGGACCAGGCCTTATTCTAGAATCTCTTGACGGACTTCCCGTGCCCTGATTTTTGCTGGGAAAGTCACCGATGTGCGTCGGGCCGCAAGTTGTGTTCTCAACAACTTGTCCAGATTCCTGGATCAATAGACTGTGAAACTATTCCTGAAGAGGGACAAGAAATTGAGAGAGCCACAGAATCTCGTGGGGTTCCGAGATAAACTTGAGATAAGGATCCAACTTTGAGAGCTTCACCGCCATACCTGCTCAACATCTGATGCCCAAAGCAGCGCCGGGCTTTTTGTTGTGGTGCAATATCCACACCTGGTCCAACTGCAGTCAAATTCACAAAGTGGCAGCAGGAAAACCAACGTCACTTTTCTATTTCCGTTCCAAGGGCAAACTGCATGCATGCATGCAACCACGAGCGGGGCAGAACGCCTCGCTTCCAGCCTTGCTCCAGACCTCGCTTGAACTGTGACATTTGTTCCCCTGAGTGGCGAATAAAATCACGACTGAGCCATCCTTGTGGCTGTCACCAGCATATGCACGTGAATTCCGTGGCGAGGCGAGGCGAGGACGACCTGAGGACGACCTGCAGACCCCTGACAAAGCACAATAGTTGCAGAATGTTGAGGGTTTCGACAGTGGATTTGGCTATACGCATACGGATGCACCAAGGAACCAAGGAAAAGCAATGGTATCTCTCATACAACCTCGAAGACCACAGCCACGACTTGCCCTGTATCAGAGAATGACCCGTAGCAAGTACCAGTGTGCAGTACAAGTATTGCTCACCCATTTTCGTCGCATCTGCGCTGTCACTTCATATGTACGGAGTACTATTCCTGATTCTCGTGGTTGAACCAGCGGTGACACAACTAGCGCCCATGCGAACGCGCATGATCAAAACCCTGTGTACAGAATTCTGGAGAACCTCCTCAGCCTTACAGGACCAGCTTATCACATTTCTTCCACAAAGCCATATTGTAACCACACCGTACCGGACTAAAGGTTCAGTGGCAATAGCTCGCACCGTCTCGCTCCTTATCTCCAGATCCTGCAAATCTATAATAATTGTTCTCCGCACTCGTAGTCTGTGTTACTAGAAAATCCACGTGTTCGGGGCCAGCGCTCTCGGGGCCACTAATGCACTCGCACAATATTTGTACGACCTCAAAAATACCGTAAGTGGATAGACAGGCATTAGCCCACGGGATGATATCTACACTCGGTATCCGAAGCATACATGCTAGCAACATGCAATAGCGCTTTCGACATCTCGATACAACAACACGCAAAGAGCTGCAGGTAGGAGCGATGAAACGTATCATTCAGATCACATCCATGTTCGAGGTTCTGCAAAGGTTGCAAAGAAGTGCCACTCGGCCTTCGCAACCATAACCACAACCACAACCGCCCTCACTCAACATGCGAAAGATAACACAAGAATCCAAGCACCAAGCAGCAGTATTCTCAATGCCACAACTGTTGACGAGCATCTCCCCCATTCAGTCCCACCCACTTCCAAACACACTTCTAACAAGACTGGAAGACAACCAGAAACGTTTCTTCTTCATCGTGACCACTTGGCCGAGGACCACTGCGTCGAAGCACGAATCCTCCAATCAGAATCGTTCACCCCACGGAAAATGTACGAGCTCTCAGCTGATCGCTCAAGGCACTCACTCCCGTCAGGCTCAGTCTGATACTTGCACAGACCGAACATCAGGCCCATAACGCCGTCTCCTCGACAGCCGAAAGGAACGCTTCACCTCGTCTCGTCTCACCTGACCGGTCTAACGTCCTTCAGAACTCCGACGGGGTGCATCGCGTACGTCGCCCTGGGACCGAGGCCTAGCCTTCCTCGATGACTAGAGCGACGAGATAAAAAAGGAAGGAGGCTGAAGCACGGAGACAGACCTCACTCACCCGAGGCAGAGCGTCTATTCCGTCGATCGGTTAACAATGATGACTTGGTTTCAAACATCGAAGCGCAGAATTTCACTTGAAGCGCGCGTCAACCATAGGCTATTTACAACACTTTTCAAGCGCTGCGGCTGAATCTTCAATGACTTCTGCACTCCCTTTCTCATTAGCCTCTATCAGCCTTCATCTCCACACGCCCAAAAGCCAACTGCGACCCAGAATAAAGAATCTCTCGATCTCTAAAACCGATGGAATACGCAATATGCTCTGGTTCAAGACAATGGCATTGTAGATTTCAAAACCTGATTAACAGCTTTGAAGGCGACATATTAGCAAGCCACACTTAGCGCCAAAACTCCTTTTTCGGTTGCATGGCTGAGGTCGCTAATTTCCACCCCCTTTCCTCCTGTCTTGGATCCTGCACCTCCTCGCTGCGAGGTTATGGAATTCGATCGATGATAAGCTTCCTGCCAAGCTACAACCTTGATTTATGGTTGGTTGTCTTCTCTTGCGGGGATGTTTTCGATTGGGAGAAAGCAGGCCCCCGAGTTAGCCATCATCAACGCCATCGTCAGTCAAGCTTCCCAGGCCGACACCATTATTAAAACATTGGGCTTGAGGAGAGACAGGCTCGGCTCTGTTTACTTGTTCCAGAAATTCCCACGCCCGCGGAACCCGGATCGGTGGGATTGGTACGAACCAGGATGAAGTGATAACATCCAGAGACAATGCTATTGTTTCTCCACATGGCAAACCTGATAAGGAGGTTAGGAGGAGCGTTAAAACCAGGAATCCTCCGAGAGACTTGAGACTTCCGAGTCAGGAATTTTATTCTCCTACATCTAAATAAAAGAAGCAGAAGGAAAAAGAAAGTGGTTGTGGAAGAGGTGGAAAATACATGCTGAATCAAGTGACATTTTGAATGAGAGTTATTTCCCTTATCTTTTCGTTGCTGTCCTGCTGTGATTCGTGATCAAATTCTGAAGTCATCGAAAATCGAGAGGCTGGTTGTGAGAATGATACCTACGAGTGAGATGGATTTGCTTGGCAATTGACTTCACTTGAGTTGATTGAAGTCTAGGACCTTTACTACCGGTATTTTTGAGACCTTTCCTTCACCAGCTGCCGAAGCCATTCAGTCTAGTCAATTGAGTGCCGTACTCGTTCTCCCCCTCTCACTCGAGACTTACAGCCGCTCATCAAAGTTGCTTGGTGAAATTTCGGGCACTCACTGCCGGTATCATTTCAATTACTGCTTTAATTGTAAGAGTCGGAAGTGTCCCTTCTAATCTCATCGATCAGTGAGCTTACCTCTCCCTCTCTCACTCAAGACCTGCAAGGTAATCTTTACCCGGTTGACGGGAGGTCTCGGACAACCAGCATCCTTTCTATTACATCTATTTCATCTGAAAGATTCAGAACCATCCCTTCTAATCTAATCAATCCATCAGTCAATCGCTCTCCTCTCTCGGCCTTCCCTCACTCACCGGCCTACATCACCAGAGACGAGGCGAAGTGTTGCATGCCAACTACAGCAATGGAATCCAATTCTCCCTTTAACCAGGTAACCGGCTCCCAATATTTCAGGAAGCAACATCTTCTCTCTCCCTTGCTTCGACGTCAATTAGTTCAGTTCAGTTCAGTTCAGCTCATGCCGCCATATATTAACACGGTATGCAGTTCCCCATCGAGACTCGCCTCTGCATCTACGCATCTCATCTCATCCCAAGCTCCCATCCTGTCAACACAGACTTTACGCAGGACGAGAATAGAACTCCAGATGGACAACTGTGAATATAAAAAGATATGCATGCATTAGGTCGTGCTGATCGCAGTACCGAGACCGAATGAATTGAGGTTTTGAGCTAGTTACAGTAGTGACCAAGTGCCGAGATCGATCGACATTGCTGGCTGATCTTTTCGGTCTTTGCGGTGAGGGCATTGAAGAAAATGGAGATGCAATACTCTATACATGTATGTCTAGCTCGAGTATGGATGTGAGGAGGAAGAATAAGAGACACTTGACTTATATTCCAGAAGATGCGACGGCGTGCAGCGCCGTTCAATCTTGGTAGACCCCTTGAGCTAGCTGACCTGCCGCAGATCCGAGGGTGTGCAGTTGAGGCGCGCGTGGAGCAGTCTTGATGTCATGGCAAGGTGGAGGGGTAGAAGCTGGAATGGAGCTCAGAAACCCCTCACTTGATTGATTATCGATGTTCGAATTCTTACCACCCCGTGGGACAGGGGCCCGGAGCAGTTCGTCTGAGTCGAAAATGACCGCTAAGTAGTGCAAAGGACATTCTTCCAACGCTCGTTGTTGAGTAAATGAGTCTGGGAGTGATTCGTGACCACGGGAAGTGTTGCACCCGGAATTCGTTCAGAGACTCCTAATGGTTTGATTATTTTTATGTATCATACTCACAGCCATCATGAGGAGAAGCTATGAGAGAGCGAAAAATGCATGTGTGAACGACGAGGGAAACAAAAAGGAAACCGGAATTCGAGAGCTCTCAAATATCTACCCCCAATACAAATTCCAAGTCCAACAAGACATAAATCACGGGCGGAAGAGACGAGCCCAGTCTAAATTTCCCTTCCATCATATCCCCCCAGCGCCGGTACATCGAAACACAAACCAACACTTGTACTTTGTTATCCACAATTTCTCCCCTCAACTGATGAGTCTTGGAAGACCAATTATCATATATGCCATCCATGCATCCAACCCGCACCACATTAGCATTAGAAAAAACTGCACATGAGATAAGACAGAATTTAGTTGTCCTCGTTCCCATCACATTGCTTCCACATCTGGACCTTGCTGACCTCCATCTGGCCGGCACCGGGTGCGGTCCATGTCGGGTACCACTTGTCACGAGCCTCCCAGAAATCCTTCTTGGCAGTGAGCGAGGTGTCAACCCAAGGCTTGCCGCTCTTGCCGTCTTCGAACCATCCGTTGGTGCCGCCAACAGCCACGTTCAGGATGAGGTAGAACTCTTGGTCGAAGGGTGCGGAGTTGTGGCCGGATTGCGACCACACGTCGGTGAGATGGGTGCCGTTGCTGTCGAATGACGGGAAGCCTCCGCGTTTCCAGAGACCCTCGTTGAAGTTGGCGTACAAGACTTGGAGGAGAATGCTGTCGATCCAAGTGAAGATGTATTTTTGAGACCACTCGAGGCCGAAGGTGTGTTCGCTTTGAGCGTAGGTGGTGTGCAGAGCTTGTCTCTTGTTATTTGTGCGCCACCAAGCATCGTTGGCTGGGTTGGGACCCCAGTGAAGAGCAGAAGAGACAATGTTGTTTCCTCCCTGTGCATAGGTGTGGTTGTTTCCACGAGATTCAACTATGTCGATTTCTCCAGACAAGGGCCACGGGCCGTAGGTGTTGTTGACGGGCAACATCCAGATCGCTGGCCACAGCCAATCTCCTACAGGCAACTTGGCAGTAACTTGGACACGTCCATATTTGATTGTCCCTCCAGCCTTGGTGTTGATACGTCCCGACTTCACCGGTTGTATGATCGCGTTGGAAGAAAGGTTCGTGATGGAAACGCAGTTTGTGAGGACGTCTGAAGTACAGGTTCCGTCAGATGTAAGATTGATAACATTGTTGCTATCGATGAGAGTGGCATCTTGCAGCGTGGGCTTGATGATGAGCTTGCCGTTTTGTACAAACACGTTCTCGTCGGTGAGCGTCGTTTGCTCAAATTCTCCATTTCTGTGGCAAGTCAGTACAAGTTTGGCATAGAAGAAACATCAATTCTTACCCAAATCCGCCAACTTCAGCTTCCTTCGTCCAGATTGAAGGATTTAGTCCAGAGGAGAAATCATCGCTGAAGACTGGGCAATATTTGTGGTGCACCACCGACTTGAGGCCATCGTAAACCAAGAAACCAGCAATTCCGAATCCCAATGCTAACCCAATCAATGGAATAATTGTGACCCATTTCTCCTTCGGATCAACCTTCTCCCTCCACGGTTGTTCCACTTCTCCTTTGCGTACTCTTCTCGAATGGAAGTATCTTTGTGGGAGGCCTCGCACCGCGGATGAGGAACCGAATGATGAGGCAGGTCTCGAATTGAAGGGCGAAGAGAAGGGGTTGCCTCTGCCGGGTGCTGGAGAGATGTCATCGCCGAACGGATTACTCCTGCTCTCAGGTGTGCCAGGTCGCATTGGCGTGGTTGCTGTTGAGATGGCCGACATGCCACTCCCTCTATAATGAGCCTGATTTTCCATCTTGCGTCCCCCAGGAGGAGAAAGAACACAAGGATCGAGCTATATATTAAATATTATGGGTTGATATTCAAGAACGACTGCAAGCAGTTGTTCAACTTGCAGTGGTATTCTTCAAAACGAGCGTAAGTGTCGAGGGTGGAGTTGGTTGTGGTGGGAAGAGATGGCTTGTCTTGGAAAACGAGAGATCAAGCACGATTGAGTGACAGGGGTATATCAGTCAGGGAGTGGGCTCGACAGCGCTGGACCACCATGGCAAAGATTGCTGGGATATTTTGCTAGTGGTACGGAAGGGAAAACACTTGCACACGGGCCGGCGATCTCAGCTCTGGACTGGGGCAGGGCTAGGAAATACCGTTCGGTTGGGCGGAGGCGCGAGGACTCGAGGAGAGACGGGAGCCCGTTTTGAGATGTCTCTGTGCAGCACGGGCTGCGATTTGGCTTGAGGCTGGGACGGGGGGGGCCTTGGAAGAGATTGGCAGCGCCTCGAGGACAGCTTCCAGGGAGCAGTTGAGGGTCTTTGGCGCTGTTCTGTCCTGTCCTGTTCTCGAAAACAGTGGGGGAGGTGGTTGCATCCGATACCGTCCATGCGATTAGGGGAGACAGAGCTCGTCCAATATCAGCAATATCTGGTCACTACTCTGGTGCAGCGAGAGCAAATATTGGAAGTCGGATGCCAATCTTGGGCGTTAGGGTCACTGGTCACTGGCGACTGATCACTGGTCACTGTTACAGTTACCGGGACGACAATACGAAGTACACACACTTGACCGTGTGCTGCACTGCTGCGTTTCCAGCTTCCTGCTTCCTTGCTGGAAAACAGCGTGGCTCACACTACTCCATACGGCCCACGAGCAACCGCGTTCCAAAAGTAGTAGCTCATGGCCCATGCCCATGGCGAGAGCAGCACCTGCACACCATGACTTGTCGTGTTCACCCAGACCAGACCAGACCAGACCAGACCAGACCAGACCAGACCAGACCAGGGGTCGGCAAGTCGAGGACTCGAGATGGGCATCCTACTTAGTAACTTAGGTAAAGGAGGCTGGGCGGGCCCCACTTAGATTGCGGCAGCGCCGCTGCCCCTGAAGGCGCCGGCACCCTTAAAGCGGCGTTGCATTGAAGCGAGGACCGAGGCGCATCTGCCCCTGAGCTGCTAGTAGGGATAATACGAGCCTAGCACAGGAAGGGAAATAACCTTAACGTTCGCGCTGCGAGGGGTCCGGGCATCGAAGATGCTCTCTTCAATGCCCTTGCCCTCGAATTATCGAATTATCGAAAAATCGATTTACCGATTTAAACACAGCCCCGCTCCACGAGCGTCACCGCAATTTAAAACTCGGGCGGGGAACTTCCACTTCCATGCCAGGCAATCGGCAGCTCGGCACTCTAGATCGCGCAAGAAAGATTGTGCGGGGCTTCAATATCCAAATTCTTCTCCAGCGCAGAACCATCGTGCCGAAGCTTTAAATGCGTTAAGAACTCGGCCTGGAGCTCGATGTTCCGAGAATCTATAGACTATCGATACAGACAGAAAGAGCACCAGTTCTATTTGACATGTTGTCCAGACCTCCATCCAAACCCGCCAGGAGAGCGAGACGCCCAAGTATCAAAAGCAAGGCGTCAATTGAGACAGTAATATCCACAACCAGCCGTGCCAGCATCCTCACATCGCGGCGTCCATGAGGTTCACCGTCCACTGCGTCCAGTCCACTCACTAGTGCACTGGAGCGCAAAAGCGCAATATTGAAAAGTTCGGGGCTTCACCTACCTCACTGTATTACACTTTCTGCTCACTTCTGCACCACTTCGCCCCTTCGCCGCAGCAGCAGTTAAACTGGTATCTGCACGCTCTGCAGCAGCACGTCTCCTTTCGTTGTTTGATGGTCAAACTTATTTCCTCTGTCCGCTAGCTCTCTCTCTGCCTCTAGCCTCAATAAGTCCATGTCTTCGGTCCCAACGAGTCTGCCAAGATGGCGGTGCCACAACTGGACCCGATGCCTCGGAACCAGACTTTCAAGAACCCCAGGTCTCCATCCGTATTGAATCATCAGTCCGCCCTCTAGTTCATGACAATTATCGAAAAGTTGCCACCCTACAAGGCTGAAGGCCTGAATAATTCTCCAGAAATCATTATGTTCTTAGGAGGTACATCAGTTATATCATACCACGTGTTCGGGTAAATATCTTCACTTAGTCCCGAGGCTGAATGCAAGGCCAGCACCGCCCACGAACCCTCATCGCACGCCGTTTATCCGTTTCTCAACACCCATATTGCTGCAAACAACTGGCATAACACATAAGCGTCTTCCATATTTCCCCAAGCCCGTATCTCTCGCAGCCTTGTCCCAGTCTTCCCACAATTCACTCCGCAAGTTATTCCCTATCCATCCACTCCCTGCCCCTCGAGATTCCGAGGCAAAGTACCCCTCCTATCAGCGCACGAATCTCGTCGATCAAATGAAATGAGTAAGCCAACCAACCTCAGCCCCGCGATAGCACCGGAACAAACGAGTTCCAACGTTGAGCCTCTCACCCAATGGTTCCGAACCGCTATGAATAGAACACCTCGTGTATGTATACAAGTATTCGCCTCTCGGCCAACGGCACAGATCTTTATCGCACATATGCACAACATGCATCAATCAGCTGCCCCGCTTCCTCGCAGACAAGTATCGAAGTCTATCTTGCGTGTCGAACCGTGAATTTTCCCCGATTCGTGCCGCAGAGAGGGACGAGTTGGAGGGGAGAGGAAGGGGCTTGAGGCATTATGAAATTCGAAGGATGCAGGATCGGGCGGGGATCTGATCGTCGTTGCCTTCGAGAAGTTGGCTGCGCGGAAGGAATGGCAGGGTTGACATCCCGAATCCAAGATCCAAGATCCCAGGTCAGGGACCCCTCCAGATGAGGCTGGTTGCTTGTACGAGGAGTGGTTGTGACGGTGGCAAGTGCTTCATTGGAGTTTCGAGTAGCCAACGCAGAGTGAGGGTTTCTATCTTTGTAATTTGACTTTTTGACTTTCGAGTTGTTTGACGTTCTTAGTTTTTCCATTGTGGTGGTAGCCAAGGCGGTGACATGGTTAGTGGCAGGTCGGAATGGCTTCCTTGATCGTAAGAGGGAAGGGAAAGCATGTGCTTCGGGCCAAGACGAAATTTGCTGTATGGAAGGGAATTGAGCGATTTTATTACACGCCTACCCTGCTCCGCAGATTGACTGCAGGACATTGTGCATCTCTTGGAGCTACAGTATGTTGGAACGGAGCGGGGAATTAGGCACGAGTGGCCCCGAGGTGCTTTCATGTATACTGAGTTACTTGCACTGCACCGCGCCAGTCGGTACAATTAGTGCATATTTCTGCTTGATCAGAAACTTCTAAGTGAGAGCAGAACGACGGTGGCGAGGCAGGAGCCCTCCAGATCTAGTTTGCTGTGGCTGCCTAGAAAGCCGTCGATCCAGGCGCTTCAACCTAGCGTAAGTGCCTTATTGACTTCCACTTTAGAATCGGAACTCAAACCATAGCCGTCTCCAGTATTTCCACGTCATGTCTCGCAGACAGGGAAGCTTTTGGAAGTGAGACATCCAAGATGCCTTAAGCATATTTTCTATCCTGGAGCCAATATAAAGGCTCTCGTTCTTCTGCCCCATGAGTTCCCTTCTCCTCGGTCATTTCCTCTGTTGACAGGTTCCTTCTTGCAGTCCGTCTATCACCCACTATCATTCCTTCTGCCGAGACAAGCAATTTGCATTCCGTCTTTGTTTCTTTTCAATGAACTCGATATTTCCTAAGCAAGAGAAGCCGCTACCGCAACATTCAGGGTACATCAACATAAGTTACTTCCAGCATGAGCATGTCGCTCCCACCACTACTCAACAGTCTTGTTGCTAAAAGTGCCAGCGGCTCACCGAGAATACGTCATTCACTATATAAAGGCAGTCTCGCAGAAAGTTGCAAACAAACAAAACGTCTGTGAATCACAAACATGTCAAAGAGATACTGCCTCCCTTTCAAGACATATTCACTTCTTTCTCGTAGCATTTTCGCCCTTTTCTAAAAGCTTTATCTCTTCTTTAATCCCGGTTATTTGCTCCTTTAAAGGAGCTTCTACTATACTTCTTTATCGTTTGGAGTAAGTAAAAGAATGTGCATTTCTATTTCCGGTGAGAATGTTAGCTATTCATGGCCTCACAAGAGACATATTCAATACATAGACCCACAAATAGAGCAAGAAACTATGGTTGAGGGTCTTCTTGTCAATTGGCCTTCTAGGAGAAGCAGCTCTTATTTAGGGCCGAGTAAACTTCCACAAAATACATGTATGGCAGAGTACTTGAACTTTTCCTTGGCTTTTTGTTTAAAGCGCTTGTATAAAGAGTTCGTCTCATCTTTGCACTTACTGTTAAAGTTCTTACTACTGTCAATGTTTCAACGCCTCCTAAGTAATGTTCAGACGACTTCTAGGATATTTGTTAAGGCCTGGAGCGATGACGTGAGCCCACTTACCCACAAGTATACTTGAAGTCGTGAATAAGCTGTGGGATATGGGGCTTTATATACTTCCATTGCTGTGGCGGATGCCATCACGCTCCTTACCGCTCGTTACCTTGCCCTGTTTCTTATGAATATCCCAGATAGCTAAGGATATTCTCTTGGTGAAATCGCCTTTTAGCGAACTTGCAATTTGGAATAGGCACGCCACCGGGCTATATATCCATACCGGAAATGTCAATACTCCCACTTTACTCATAGCCATCAACCAAATACAAGGGCACCCGTTCCTTGCCATACTTTGGAAAAGCTCCACGAGGTTCTCGCTTATTTTTAATTACTTTCCTCCCCCTTTCTCTTTCCCTCACAGCTCGACGGAGTTGCAAGCAGTATTCCCTTGACTTCGTCCGACTTTCGTCCAAACTTTCTTGAAAGGACCTCCACCGTAGCAAGCAGTCTCTCTTTAGACAGGGAAGCCAAGGATCCAGGGCGCTCGCATTGCTTCCATTGCGGTATTCCACATCTGGCCTGGCCGGAGGTACAATTTAAAGAAGAGAAAAGGTTACAACTAGCCTGTAAGGAGAAGCTGGCAAGGAAGCCGCTAAGAGGTAATCCCCGTTAAAGGTAAGAATGATAAAGAGCTCTCGTTCTTTGAAGGGAAGCATGCCCTCAAGATCTGTATATATAAGGGCTGATTCCGTCTTTCAATGGTTGTGCCCACATGATCGAGAATATCAAGGTATCACATGCAGGGATAATCGTTTATAAGTCTTATTTCGTAGAACTTTGCTTTTAGCGAATGTACTATAATGCTGAGACATTCTCTCGATATCAGATTAGTTAATTACTCGGACTTCCAAAGGGGGTCTAATGATAGGAGTAACAATGCAGAAGACATTCGACTTTTTGTCCAAACTGTTGACAGCAATTGCCTTAATTCCTTGTCGAGTTACCTGGTGATTCCAGACTGTACTGAACTTTTCTCACTGTTATATTCTAGTAAATGACTTCTTCTCGAAGCGGAGCACATCCACACTTGGACGCTCGCCTTCACTAGAAGGTAACCGTGCTGATAAACTTCTGTTTTGAGCCTCGTGGAAGAGCAAGCAATATATAAGAGCCCGGAAATCTTCAGCACACGGTGGCTTCCGTGGATCGTTCCGCTTTCTAGTAGAAATGATTGCTCCTTCCCCTCTGAGCCGAGTCTCGGACTTCGGCCGATATCCTTCTTTCATATTTCCGAGCTGAAATCAGAGCACGTTTGAGGTGTGGCTGTTGCAAAAGTGGTGAAACTTTTAAGCCGTAACTTCCGCAGGCTACAAATACTCTGGAAAAGTCCTCGACCTCCTCAAGTGCTATCAAAAGTCCAGTTGCCCCTGCCGCATGGGAAGACATTCGCTCAGCCAAGAAGGAGTCGGCTTCTCAATTGAAGGTATTTTGATTTTCTAAGCTCCCAGGCACTCGTTCCGTGGATAGCAAAAATGAAGTTTAAGAAGTATGCCAGTCATCTGAATTTATTCGGCAGTAAAGCTTTCGTAACAATCGAATCTGGCTTGAAAACAGCAATGCAAACTTCAGAAGAGCTGGCAACCGATGCCAACTGCGGTTTTAGTTCTCTTGCTGCATGTCAAAGGTCTGCTGTGACACTGGCGAACTGTGAATAGTTGTGAGAAAATGGGGAAATTGAGCTACTTGTCTCCCAAGGATATGAATCTGCTTCACAGAATCTTGTCATGCCTTGGACAGTCATTGCAGGTGTGCCAATTCAAGTAAAATGAAGCAATCTAAGCTACAATTTTATAGCTAACTAGAGCCCAAGATATAGAAAACTCGAGAATATTCCAGCCAATTTGGAGTGCAGGGACAATGATAATTATTGTATTGTGATGCTGCAGGACATTCATGTTCTCATTGAACGAAGGACTCCTGCAAGTGGTGAGAAGGATATGTGACACGAGGTAATTATTTGGAGAGAAGAGTTGTTTAGACACCATGACCGTGTGCTGAACGTAGAAGAGGGGTATGATAGAAGGTGGTAAGACACTTTATTCTTAGCAACACTTCAACATCAATGTAGAACCAGACCATGGAACGGGTTATTTTTGAACAGTCTGGTAATGTTTGTGCGTAGGATAGTGATGTTGGATGGTTGGTTATTTTCTCGTGGGTGTTCAGGACAGCAAGATGTACGTTTCGCAGATTTTGGGGGAGTTTCTGCTAAAACTGTTGCTGTCACGTTTGGGGGGTTTTTGGCTCGTGGAAAATAACTGAAAGACGGGACGAATAGCAGAGTGGCCAAGAGTTCTCAATGTTCCAAGTTAACTTGGGACATTCTGCTAACCAGCATCTTATAAGACAAAGAAACATTCACCAGTTGCTCCTCTCTTTATTTACTTTTCAGGGGTTAGCTTTACTTTGCCCCTGACTAGAGCATGCATCATGTCGAAGGAATTTCACGTCAATTACAGAGGAGACAGAACAGCTACTAGATGAATATCATTGGACAGACTTGATGTCTTGAGAAAGATGATCTGAAATAAGAGAAGTGGGCTTGTGACCGTATTGTACTTGAAACATCCACACATCATTGGCTCGGAAGATTTGGAAGCTTCCCCGGAGAGTCTGTGACAACCCTATAAACAATTATTCTCCTTTCCGACATCACTTCGGATGCGGCCTGCCGTCAAGACTCCTCCATTTGTATCGAATCTACAGTCATTCCCGGTTGATATTCTCGTTCACCGCCTCTGCTCGCACTACAAATCAAATGCTGGCCGCGCTCCGGACAGCTTCCTGAGCACAGTGTGAAGCTTGAACAATTGAGACAGCCAACACGATGGATCGCCGAAACGAAGCTGCTGAAAGTCGCGAAGGGCTCCTTCGCTCCTACGATAAAGGAGAGCGTACGCCTATGCGCATGTCCCTCGAAAATGCCTACAGATCCGACAGCGAGTCCGACATCGATGCCACTGATTTCCTTGACCGAGATCCTCTCAACCACCAATCTCAACCTGCAGTCCAAGCATACGGTCCCAGCATAGAGCTGGCCCGCCTCCGCCGCTCCTTTGCTCGACGCTCGAAATGCTTCTTCGCTATTCTGACCATTCTGATCATCTTCTGGACCGTAGTTGCGGGTGGAGGGTTCTTCCTGTACAAGGTCGCTCCAGTGGATGGGATGTCTCCCCCTTGGTATCCGACTCCGCTAGGTGGAACGTCGTTGAAATGGCAGGACAGTTATAAGAAGGCGCAAGCATTGGTCGAGAAGATGACCCTGCCGGAGAAGGTCAATATTACAACAGGGACTGGATGGCAGATGGGTTTGGCTGTTGGAAATACTGGGCCTGCCATCCATGTTGGATTTCCCGGCCTTGCTTTACAAGATGGGCCTCTCGGCTTGCGTTTTGCAGATAATGCAACGGCTTTCCCTGCTGGAATTACCGTTGGGGCCACATGGAACAAAGAGTTGATGTATTTCAGAGGCAAGGCACACGGGATGGAGGCACGATTAAAGGGCATCAACGTATTGCTGGGACCTTGCGTAGGACCTCTCGGGCGGATGCCAGCTGGCGGGAGAAATTGGGAAGGATTCGGAGCCGATCCTGTTTTGCAGGGAATTGCCGGGGCGTTGACGATCCAGGGCATCCAAGAAGAAGGCATCATTGCTACGATCAAGCATTTCGTCGGCAATGAGCAAGAGCATTTCCGACAGTCGTGGGAGTGGGGTCTTCCAAACGCCATTTCATCCAATATTGATGATCGGACTCTACACGAAATGTACGGATGGCCATTCCAAGACGCTGTGAAGGCTGGCGTTGCAAGTGTCATGTGCAGTTATCAGATGCTCAACAATTCATACTCGTGCGGCAACTCAAAGCTTCTCAACGGGATCTTGAAAGACGAATTAGGATTCCAGGGTTTCGTCCAGAGCGATTGGCTTGCTCAAAGAAGTGGCGTCGCGAGCGCCTTGGCCGGGTTGGATATGAGTATGCCTGGAGATGGATTGTGGTGGGGGAAGGGTCAGTCGCTATGGGGCCCTGAATTGAGCAAGGCTGTTTTGAACGGTTCTTTGCCCGTTTCGAGGCTCAACGATATGGTGACTCGAGTTGTTGCTTCGTGGTATCAGTTGGGTCAAGATGACAAGTCCAAGTTTGATGGAGAAGGGCCGAACTTCTCATCTTGGACAAACGATAAAATGGGAGTTATCAACCCAGGAAGCCCAGATGACCGCGACCAGAAGGTTGTGAACAAATTCATCAATGTTCAAGGCAGCGGCGATGAGGCTCATTCCATAATTGCTCGCAAAGTTGCAACGGAAGGCATAGTGCTGGTCAAGAATGAAGGTATCTTACCATTAAGCAAAGATGGCTGGCCAACGAGTGAGAACCACGAGATCAACATGCGTGTCGGTATCTTTGGAGAAGATTCTGGAGCTGGCAGAGGTCCAAATGTCTGTCCAGACCGAGGATGCAACCAAGGTACTCTTGGCTCTGGCTGGGGCTCAGGTGCTGTTGAGTTTCCATATCTCATCACGCCTGCTGAAGCCCTATTGGACGCATTCAACAAGGACCGAGTCTACGTCACGAACTTCCCTAGCAACGACCCACCGTTCAAGACGACTCCTGTGATACTCAAGCAGCAAGATGTGTGTATCGTTTTTGTCAATGCTGATTCTGGGGAGGGGTACATGGCTGCTGATGGTATTCGAGGAGACCGAAATGATCTTTACATCCAAAAGGATGGAGAAGGTCTCATTGTGAAGGTGGCATTAGGTTGCGGTGACGGACAAGGAAGCACTATTGTTGTCATCCACTCTGTCGGCCCAGTCATCATGGAAGGCTGGATCGATATTCCCGGCGTCAAGGCTGTGCTTATGGCTAACCTCCCTGGTCAAGAAAGCGGAAACGCAATCGCAGATATCCTTCTTGGGGTCGTCAATCCCAGCGGCAAGCTTCCATACACAATTGGCAAGTCATTAGAAGATTACGGACCAGGGGCGAAGATCCAGTACTATCCTAATGCTGCCATTCCCCAGCAGAATTTCTCGGAAGGTTTATACATTGACTACCGTCACTTCGACAAGGAAGGCATCGAACCGAGGTTCGAATTCGGTTTTGGATTATCATACACCACTTTCGACTACTCAAACCTGGTTGTCAGTCCAGTTCTTCCAAAGTCATCACTACCTGCAGCTCGTACTCCCGGCATCGATCCTCCCCAATACGACGACAAGATTCCAGACGCCAGCGAAGCTCTTTTGCCCAAGGGATTCAGGAAACTGAAGAAATTCGTCTACCCCTATATCACCAGCACTTCCATTAAGAAAGGCCCATACCCATATCCAGAGGGGTACGAAATCAAGCAGACACCATCAGAAGCCGGTGGAGACGAGGGAGGTAATCCTGACTTGTGGAACAACTATGCCACCGTGTCGGTCGACATCAAGAACACGGGTTCTGTGACGGGAAAAGAAGTCGTGCAGCTCTACCTGGGCTTCGACGGCGTCAAGGGCGAGGCGAAGGAAATAGATTTCCCTCGAAGTGTATTGAGAAACTTTGAGAAGACCGAGCTGGAGAGTGGTGAGAAGCAGGTCGTAGAGTTCAATCTTACGAGGAGAGATCTCAGTTATTGGGATATCGTAAGGCAGAATTGGGTTATGCCTACCGAGGGCAGTATCACGATCAAGGTTGGTTCTAGTTCGAGGGATCTGAAACTTACTGGGTGGTATTAGGGTTGGAAAGAGAGAGTTTATGGGGAGTTGGGAGTTTGGAGCGTGGAATGTGAGTATCTATTGTATATAATAGGTCTTTTGAATCAAGACTAATCTGTTTGATACCCGTCATGATTGCATGTCCAGAGGAGAGCGCTTTCTGATACCCTTGGAGAAGATGTGGATGAGTGTCCCCAGTTCTAAGCGTATACTTGCCTCTCTTGCTTTCTTACCACCATCCACCCATTTATCTACAAGTGTTTCACTCTTTCGTACAGCCTTGAAAAGTTGCAGATGCTGGTCGAAAGCAGTCATTCCTTTTTCTTGTCTGCAGCATGCCCTTATTGCCTGCCTTTCTCTCATCTCACCTTTGTTATATTGCACTTCAGATTGTGATAGGTGAACCGGGACATGACGAGTTTCGTTGCACATCGCACTTTGCGCGCACCTCATTATATTGCCAATTTGGGATCTTTCGTTCCGGATGTCCCAAAGCGGCGATTTTGGTCCTCCACTCTTCAGTTTCACTCCACGATGCAGAGGTTTTCGTTACAAGATGTAACGGTTAATAACAATTTAACCTTTACCTCCAACCCACGGTCATGTCGACTCAAAGAGTGCATGAAAGATGGGACAAAGAGAAGGATGAGGTGATGTGAAAGCAATGATATATTTGGTATCTCAACGCTTAGCCCCCCAAAATGCATCTCCACCCGAACGTTCTCAACTCCCAAAGGCAGCCCTTTCAGAATTTATCTCTTCACATCCAAGACTTAACTTGCCCGACTCACTTGGCCTATTCAGGTGAATACTTTATCCTCTCATCATTACCCACAATACGACACGGACTACTCAACACTACTCAAGCCAGTATGAAGACCATTTAAAGTTCATCCACTTATCACAATCCATACACTGCGCGTGGCCACAATATTCACACTCGTCCGGCTCCGAATTAATGAGAATCATGGTACTCTCGAAACACTGACAGCAGTGCAAGTACTCGGCCATGACGACAGGCGGGGTACTCACTTCTTGGATTTCGGAGTTGGAGTTCATGTCAGGGCTTCGGCGTCGGCTGGGTCCGAGAGTCACTGAGGTTGGAATCCCTGACGAGGCACGTCCTGGGCAGGAGAGATGCAAGGAGTTCGTTGCTGTGTGTGGACATCCCGAGTAAGGAGCCTCGGACACGGCAGCGTTTGAGGAGACTGTTGCTGATGCTTTGCTCATTGCAATTGTGCTCTGGTGTTGATCTCGGCACTCTTTTGAAGTGCTTCACGAATTTGGTGCATTGCAAAGCGGCTGAGGTCACAATTTTTAAAGTGATGATACGGCTGTGAATCATAGAAAAGGTTCTTAAACCTTCCACGTATATACAAACCTTTATGCGTGGAGTTGGACATTCACAACTGGAGGAGGAAAGCCGAGCGGGTGGTTATAAATAAAGAACTACCCTTCTGCGAGCTTAGAGGGATCTCTTAACTTTCTTGAAAATATCTTTCTTCAACGCCCCAAATACAACTGAAATAAGGCAAATATTCACATTCAATGCCGATAATCTGGTACGACCTTCTCTGGTGTTGCTCCTGTGAGTATTATACGGGGCCTATGGAGCCAAACCAAAAGGTGCCGGGAGGATGCTGCTACTGCAAGCATTATCGATGTTCAGATTGTAGACTTCTTCGCAGGCCTCGGGAAGAATAGTATGGTGAAGGTGGAGGAGTTGAGAAGAGCACTCTTATGAGAGAAGATTGCTACTGTTGGTGCAACGCGACATTTGGGGTGTGCCACGTTTGCAGGGTTGCAGATTTCGAGCAGAAGGAGCGGATTGGAGTCTATGCATGGGTTCGGAATGGCGAGCACCTGGGTCTCCGGTGAATGACTGTATGATTGTACTTCTAAAGCTGGTTGAATGCGGATGATTTAACTTCATATTCAACATTCACATATCCCTCTCCTCAAGTACAAATCAGCATGCTTGGTTCCTTCCTCGTCAAGTTCTCAACTTTCTCCATCTACCTGCAACCCCCTCACCTGATTTGTACAAAATGTCCCATAAGACTTAAATCGGGAGGTTCTAGTTGAGGATAAGCTGTGGAATCTGTTACCTTGGGTCTTCAAGTGGGGGGTGGAGTTGTTGGATTCGGCTTGCATGGCTTTTAGAGACGAGGATCGTTCTGGAAGTTCAAGCTTCCCCCGTATTTTTGGAGTCCCTTCAGATTTCGTGCTCAGTTCCCCTGCTGCCTTAATTGCGAACAGGGACAATTATCTCGAAATTGGATTGTAAACGCTCAAAACTTAAAGATTGCATGTTATATAATGGAAGATAGATAGAAGCAACAACGCGTTAGTTCCACACTGGGATATTGATGACTCGGTTTGGATTGCTCGTTGTGATTGCACGTTTGCGTGATTGCGTGGAGCCACACAGATGATTCACAACCAAACGGGATCGGGCATAAAAAGGCTTCAATTCTCCTTCCAGTGTTGCATCTCATTAATATTTGGAACCTTACACTACTGAAAACTTGCCGCCGAGTCAACATCACGGATCGAACTTGATTCATACGCAACTTCAAATCGCAAAATAGACCGAGGACGCTCTCGAGATGTGGATCGTTTGCTGCCGCTGTGGCACTGGATATAGGGTTACCCTCGTGGGATATCCTGACCAAGGAGTGTGCCCAGATTGCCAACACTGGCAGTGCGGCGATTGTAAATGATAAGAGTCAGAAATTAGGGAATAAGAGAAGAGCAAACCAAGAAGACGATAGGTTGAGCTTTCCAAAAACATTCAAAACCTTTCACTCGCTCTTCTAAATGACTCACCTTCAAGTTATGATTCAAAGCAGTTTATGCGACAAGCAAAATTCGGGTATAACAAGGTCTGAATTCTCTCTCCAGTCCTCCATCCACCATCATTTTCCATCTCCTGGCACAATAAATCTCAGAAAACACTTGCAATCAAGGCAAAAACTTGTCATCAGCCTCAATACGCACACAACTAAAAGATAAATAACAGTAGAGCAAGCACCACCAACATGTGGATCGCCTGTTGCGAATGTGGGAAAAGGTACACGGCATATTTGATGCCAATTTGCTGCCCGGAATGCGAGCACTGGCCGTGCGGATGGTGTGACTCGGACGAAGAATGATGGGGTGATGTAGGAGGAGGCATTCGAATGAATGATTCGTTGAGCTACTTCAAAAATGTGTCTTGGTCCTTGGCCTATGTATTGTGAATGACCCAAGTATATGTGATTAACGATCCATGACCTCATTCGCAGTAGTAATGAGTTGAAAGATAGAACACAGCTCAAATAATTCAATTACAGTAACTTAACCTCAGGTCTCCCTTAACTCCAGCTATAAGATACGTAGATTGAATTAGACGGTATAAATATACCTTCATTATGAATATCGATGTGATAACCTCGTCTGCGGATGTGCTGCAGCACTCGACCTTGAGCTCACCACGCATCCAAACGCCCAAAAAATTTATAGGATTTAGTAAATCATTTACAGATTTACAAAATTTATCTGACTTCAGAGAAGTTTTTAGAGAGGTCTTTGAGCTTCATGAGTCTTCGAAATTTCCATTCAGAAACATCAAGAAATATCAAGACACATCAAGGAACATCTGTACTCCAGAACATTCCCAACAATAACCTCAAGTATTAAGCCGGACACCAAGAGCAAGCCTTCGAGACACAGAGAGAAAACCAAGTCGACTCCAACTTCGAAGTGATGGCTTCCATCAAGCACGTATTCGCCAACTTTGCCGCTATGCCTTTCGTCAAGAAACTCCTGGTTGATTACCTCAAGACGATGAAGTGCTGCAAATGCAGCCAAAACACCTCCCTCGATCCAGCTGCCCCAGGTACTACACAGTGCAGCACTTGTGCACATTGGGAGTGCAACAGCTGCACCTTCTCCTAAAAGAAGGTCGACGAACGAGGAAGGAAGAGAGGCCGTTTTCTCATCTCGAAGGATGTTGAAGAAAGCGCGTTCCGACTACCAGTAGCACATGCATGAGCGACGAGGGAGGGCTGTACTGAGGCCATTAGCGGGCTAGTCGACAAAACGCGCAAGCGAAAAGTGATTTTCTGATTTTTTGATTTTCGCACGAGCCCCACCCTTGCCCCCCCCTACTGAGGCCATTAGCGGGCTAGTCGACAAAACGCGCAAGCGAAAAGTGATTTTCTGATTTTTTGATTTTCGCACGAGCCCCACCCTTGCCCCCCCCTACTGAGGCCATTAGCGGGCTAGTCGACAAAACGCGCAAGCGAAAAGTGATTTTCTGATTTTTTGATTTTCGCACGAGCCCCACCCCTGCCCCACCCCTGCCTCTCTCCTCTCCCTCCCTAATATAATACCCAAAAAATCATAATTTTGCTTATACTCTCCTATCTTTATTCTACTTTATTATAAATATAATATTTAAAGCTTAAAAATTAAAGTAAAAGGTTTCTTATAAAAATAATTTAAAATTAAAAAAAAGAAAACTAAAATATAAGAAAGCTATAAAAATATAAGTATATATTTTTTTAATATATTAGCTTAAAAAAGCTTAATATTTTAAATTTCTTATTTATATTTTATATATATTTATTAAATAATTAAATAAAAATAAAAATATTGCTTTATTAATATTATAATATTTATTTAATAAATTATTATAAAACTTTAAAATTATAATTTTAAATATATAAATCTAGTATTATTATTAGTATAATTATTTTTTTAGGAATTATATATATAGTTACGGGATATAAGATATGAGATATAAATAATAAAATATAAAATATGAGATATAATTATATAATTTTATATTCTATAAATAACTTAACTAGTAAACTAGATTTCTTTAGGCTTAGTAAATTTAGGAATTATATATTAATATTATAATATTATAATTTTTATTTCTAAATAATAATAACTTTACTAATTAATATAACTAGTATTTTTATAATTATATAATAGTATTATATATTACTAATAAACTAATACTAATTAGTTTATATATATAAATTAGAAAATAGAATCTTTTAAGCTAAAGAAATATTTAATAGCCTATAATAAAATTAAACTAGTCTATATTAAAGAAGAGAATTACTTATTAATTTTA